CTGAGTTTTGTCATATGACTATAGTTCATCTGGAATGGCCATTAGAGATTAACGATAGTCATATTAAATAATCAAGTGTTCTTTAACTTCTTTTGAGTAGTATATATAACATTTTTGCTGTTTAATATTTTTGTCTACTTATATATGATATAAAATTTCAAATCATATATATTAGGCTGAAAAAGATGATACCCCGGTAGTAAATTAAGTAGTCTATACATTCTATTTATTGTTTATGTTTTGTCTACTCAAGCATGATAGTAAAGTTAGTAGTCTATACATTCTATTTATTGTTTCTATTTTGCCTATTCAAGCATGATAGTAAATTTAGTAGTCTCTATATTCTATTTATTGTTTATATTTTGTCTACTCAAGCATGATAGTAAAGTTAGTAATCTAAACATTCTATTTATTGTTTATGTTTTGCCTATTCAAGCATGATAGTAAATTTAGTAGTCTATATATTCTATTTATTGTTTATATTTTGTCTATTCAAGCATGATAGTAAATTTAGTAGTCTAAACATTCTATTTATTGTTTATGTTTTGCCTATTCAAGCATGATAGTAAATTTAGTAGTATATACATTCTATTTATTGTTCATATTTTTGTCTACTTAATTATGATAGTAAATTGCAACAATTTTTTATCAGTGTCAATATCATTTTAAAATATTGAATACTATTTGAACTAAAAAGCCTAAGAGGGCAGTTAAATCATGAGGGGTGTTCTATTCTCAAATCATGTTTGTTAAAAAAGAACCCAGAGTACGGCAAGATGTCTCAAAATCAACATATCTGAATACATCAGAAAGCGAGACACCCAAGCACACAACTGTCATGCATAATATGTTGTGTCTTAAATCATTCAAAAGTTTCATGTTATGCAGAGGAGCTGTCCAAAATCAACTATCAGTTTGAAGGGCAGCTCTTGTCATTTATGCTGAACTATGCACGACTTCAACCTGCCTCATGAAATTGTTTTTTCTTAATCTTCGTTTAGACATTTGCTTTCAGTCCAGTTGACTATATGTTTCCACGCAGACAAAGAAACATTATACAAACTGATTGAAAATTGTAGTTCGCTTAAATCTTAAATCAGGTAATACCGTAACTCGTAAATTATGTGTCACTTATTTAATGCAAGTGTCGTTCCCTGGCCTAAATAGTGTCAGAAAATGAATGTGTGTAGCCTTGCCCTTGAACTATAAAAACGGATATTCCATAGAATTACATGATATAATGGGCCTAAATGTTAGTAAATTTTGGGAGCTATGCTTTACCGCGCTATAACCAAAGTGCTCAATTACGAGGGAACACTCTACGTAACAACTTGTAATGTGTGTGAAAAGTCGTACCAAAATACGCTATTTGAAGGGGGCGTGGCCTAAATGCAAATGTCCGATTAGGATATTAAATTTTCCGGACCCCTATAATGCGGTGAAAGTAGTTTGAATATTAGTAGTATCATTTGCTATCCTCACAACCTTCAATTGCTTTACATGTGATCAACCATTACATCACAAAAGTGAAATTTCAAATAATGCTTATTCAAATGGGTCACCGATGAAGATTGAAAAGATTTTCATGAGATCATTTTACAGGGTTACCAAGAACAAGGACGCCATCATGCATGTTGGTGACTGTCATAACTGCTTGATCAACTTAGGGCAACAAACCTACCATCAAAAGAGTGAAATTTCAAATAATGCTTATTCAAATGTGTCACCGATGAAGATTGTACAGATTTTCATAAGATCATTTTACAGGGTTACCAAGAACAAGGACGCCATCATGCATGTTGGTGACTGTCATAACTGCTTGATCAACTTAGGTCAACAAACCTACCATCAAAAGAGTGAAATTTCAAATAATGCTTATTCAAATGGGTCACCGATGAAGACTGTACAGATTTTCATAAGATTATGTTACAGGGTTACCAAGAACAAGGACGCCATCATGCATGTTGGTGACTGTACCTACTGCTTGATCAACTAATGTCAACAAACGTACCACATTTTACAAAGAACATTTAGTGTTAATCACAGTGTTTAGTGTGAGTTTTGTTATGTGTCATTATTTCCGCCAATATGCAGTGAACCTAACATGACAATAAACTCGAGATGTCCAGATAAAAATGCTTCATTTTTTTAAAGCGGGCCATTTTTCATATTCATTTCATGATTTATAGTATTTTCTGGACTTCCCACACTATACAGGTACTCGAGCACTGGATATTTATCAAGAATTGATATTCTTTCACTAATTTTATGCAAATGCATGTCAGAAAGTGGCACCAGTTTTCACAGATTATGTCCATACTTGCTGATACATAACATGTTACCTTCAAATTGTCACCTTTTACAGAGAATTTGAAATTTTCAGCTTATGCTATGGGTTCTAAACACTCAACTACCCTATCCAAACAAAACATCTGCTATAAATCTCCTAATTGTGTTTCCAAACAAAACACCTGCTATAAATCTCCTAATTGTGTTTCCAAACAAAACATCTGCTATAAATCTCCTAATTGTGTTTCCAAACAAAACATCTTGCTATATATCTCCTAATGGTGTTTCCAAACAAAACACCTTTCTATATATCTCCTAATGGTGTTTCCAAACAAAACACCTGCTATATATCTCCTAATGGTGTTTCCAAACAAAACATCTTGCTATATATCTCCTAATTGTGTTTCCAAACAAAACACCTGCTATATATTTCCTAATTGTGTTTCCAAACAAAACACCTGCTATATATCTCCTAATGGTTTTCCAAACAAAACACCTGCTATATATCTTCTAATGGTGTTTCCAAACAAAACATCTTGCTATGTATTTCCTTATTGTGTTTTACAAACAAAACATTTTACAATATATCTCTGAATTGTTTTTTACAAACAAAACATCTGCTATATATCTCCTAGTTGTGTCTCAGGAGTTTTCTCCTCTTTATACTGTTAATGTCAATGACTCTAAAGCTTTTATTCTCCATTTTAAGCAAAGGCTCAAAGATAATTTAGAGTAATTCTGGAGTGCTCTTCTCCAAAATGTGATCTTTATAAGCATTTTAAATCCATGTTAAATGTTGAAAGGTACTTGTCATGTCCACTCCCTACCCATTTAAGAATTGTTTTTACTAAATTCAGATGTTCAAATTTTAAAATAGCTTTAGAAACTGGCAGATATAGTAAAACAGACCGTTCACTCAGATTCTGTAACTATTGTAGTAGTAAGGGAGTTAATGTCATTGAGGATGAATTCCATGTACTCTTTAATTGTTATTTATATTCTGCCCTAAGACAAAAATACCTTGTTAATCTTCCTATGCCTACTCATTACAGTAATTCTCATGTAATAAATATTCTTAGTAATTATAATGAGCAAACATTATTTCTAGTTTGTAAATTCTTATATTATGCTCACAAAATAATTAATGATAAATTCTGTGCCCTGTAAATGTCATGCTCACATGTCTGTATTTTGGGCCATTGGCCTTTTACTGAATAAACATGTCTGTCTGTCTGTCTGTCTGTCTAATGTCAATGAAAGTACTACAGCATCAGGGGAGTTGTTAGAAAAAGGAAGAGGGTAGTTTTTAACAAAATAATTCCTTGTCACAATCATCATTTAAAACATAGTAAGATAGATAGATATGACAACAAACTGTTTCTTCTTATTACGCTTCGACCTTAATTAACACATTATAGTCATGATAAAATAACAATAAACATAAACATTAAATCTCTTGCTTCAGGTGCCAAAGGCAGACATGGCCCAATCAACTTGCCAGACAAAGCAAATTTTGTTTAAGTTAGTTAAAACCCATTTTTTCTTTAAACTCAAATTCTAGGATGTAGATCAATCTAGGTTAATGATTACCCTAATGATGCAGAGACACTGTCTCCGTTGCATCCGTATCACTCAGTACAATGCATCCACTTAGCCCAGACATAGGCACATTGTCCCCCTTTAAAGGGCGAACATTTAAAAAGAGGTGGAAATAATTCCTCCATCAGTAGTGCCAACTGTGAGTTGGAAGCCCAAACATCTAGTGCCAACAAACAAGCATGTATACTGGACAAAAACTTTGTTAGTTTCTTTGTTGATTAACCCCACACTCACAATAGTCCAGCTATATGATGGCAGTCATTTGTAACTGAAATAAATTTTGAAATTTCTGGAATGAATATATACTAATAAACTAAGTAATTGAGTGAATGGTTATATATGCAATAAATGAATTGTAAGTGATTCCGCAGCATTTGATTGGCTACCAAGCAATGATATTTGCATTTATGTTTCCAAAACCAAAAAATAAAAGGCTAGCCCACTATATACAAACTACTGTTTCCTGAAGGGCTGAGGCTAGAATAGGTAGGTTTGGATGGTATTATTGCACTGAACAATGTCACTGGTTTCACAATGTTAACTATAGATATTTGTGTGTTGATCATTCAATATGCAGTCTGAGAAGTTATTATTGTAGCTAAGCAGATTTTACACAGTTTGCACACCACTTTTTACAGTCATACCTCCATAAATGAAACAATTTTTAAGTCAATTTTTAAATAAAGTTATGCCATGGCAGTCTGAACAGTAATCGGCGGGCATGGGTGTCTAAGTTGTCTAAGGCGCCACAATTTGCTGTGCAGAGTTGCGTCCCTTGGACACACCAGAAACCTATGATTGTGGGTTCGAATCCCGGTTCGCCCCGATTATGTTTCTAGGTTTGTCAGCACCATACCCGTGCTCGTGGGTTTATCCGAAGTGGTAAACATATGAGACCTGCATCACTTGGGGCTTTCCTCCCACATTAAGCTGACACGCCGTGATATAACTGGAAAACCCAACTCACTCACTCACTGAACAGTAATCAAGATGGACCAGGCAAACTAGTGGTCAATAGTGTGAGCATGGATCCTGATCATGGCTCTGTTCTTACTACAGGCAGTTGAATAAATTTGTCAGAGTTGCAAAATAGTACTTCTACATATACCTACACATCACTGGCTGTTGAGAAGGTCAGATCAAAGATGGCCTCCACAGACATCCACTTGACCGGGAGTTTCCCTCCATGACGGTTGACGTAGATTTTGTCATCGTAGATGAAGCGCGTTAGGCCGAAGTCTCCAATCTTCAACACCTTGTTGTCATCAACTAATATGTTCCGTGCAGCCAGGTCTCGGTGAACAAATGATTTACCCGACAAGAACTCCTAAAAGATAAAAAGAAAAGTATCTTATTGTTGTATCGTTAAACATTGTGGGGGCGGTCGAGTAGCCTAGTGGTTAAAGCATTCGCTCGTCACGCCGAAGACCCGGGTTTGATTCCCAACATGGGTACAATGTGTGAAGCCTATTTCTGGTGTCCCCCGCCGTGATATTGCTGGAATATTGCTAAAAGCGGCGTAAAACCATACTCACTCACTCACTCAAACATAGTAGACACAAGGCCTGGGACGGGTAACTGGGTACTCTAGTTGGGTGGGTCTTGAGTAGGACAAAGGTACCCACAGGAATCCCCGGATCCATTGTTAGTTAGGTAATATATTGTTTAATGACATTAACATGACGCATGATCAGATCCTTTTATGAGCGTATGTAAACAGTTTTTGCCAAGGCTCCAGTAAAACAGATCCCAATCTTGAACCCAACTCCTTAGATTAGGCCTACAGCAGGTACCCAGGTAGGGTCGGGTAGTATGAGGTTGGGAACCCTGGTATTAAATGTGGACTTGTCCCAGTCCAAGTAAACGCCATGAGTTTCATGTTTCTAGCCCACAATTGATGTTATAGTAGATGCACTACTCGGAGAAAAGTACCATTCCGTGCAAATGTTCACTAGTCTAGGATTACTAGCAGACTAGTCGTCATGTCGATTCATGTCAACATGCAATTGTTGGATATAAGAACTTGTAAAATGTGGAATGAAAATCTTTATATGAAAAATGAAAAACAGTATTAATGATTTAAAAAGATATTTTTTAGTTTTTACAAGTAATTAATGTTGAGATATCAAGCTATAGAACAAAAGAGTAAACTATTTCATGTAACAGAGCCTCACCCTGAGTGAGTGAGTGAGTGAGTGAGTGAGTATAGTTTTACGCAACAATATTCCAGCAATATCATGGTTGGGGACACTAGAAATGGGCTTCACACAATGGACCCATGTTGGGAATCAATCCCGGGATTTCGATGTGATGAGCAAACACTTTAACCACTAGGCTACCCCATGTAACCTGTGCTTTTAAGTAAGAGGTGACTAAAATGGAGTTCGGTGGTCAGGCTTGGTGACTTGGTAGGATGTCATATTACCAAGGTGACACAGGATGTTGTTCATAATATCAATCACTGGTTTGTGTGGACAGTACTTGATTATTTTCAGACACCTGTGATATGACACTCTGCACTCATGCAAGAATCAAACCCTGGTCTATTGTCTGACAAGCAAACACACTAACCACTGGTCCACGATGAGTAACAGGATATGAGGAACCACAAACTGTGTCTACATTAGACAAAGACAACCAAGTACAAGACGCTCCTGTCTTTCAAAAGGAGGACTATTCGTGGTGATGAAGCTCCCCACAGTGACATCTCAATCCTTGAGCTCTATATTAGGAGGGTAACAAAGGTGGCATGCCCTGTAATGGAGCTTGAGTCATTACCAGGTAGCCCTAGCAATTCTGATAACTGTTAAGGAACAAGTTCAAATCTCTATATGGTACAACTGAACCATATTGATCTCCATTGCTGTACTTGGTTTAACTGAATAAACCCCCAAAGAACTATTTTTTTTAATTACATTCTATCTACCCACCATTCCTCGTGCAATCTGTCTGGCGAATGAAAGCAGGTCCAGTGGGGTGATATGTTCCACTTCTCGATTCTCATAGTGGCCGGTCTCATCCTCCTGCTGAATACAAATAGACACATTTTTTTACATTCATGACTTTTCATATAACAAAAATCTGTTGTTACCAACACAACAATTTTCAAAACAGTGGAACATTACGATTTGTGAAAAAACGCGGCTGTAAAATCACCGCCACATGGCCATATATGCTCTCCAGAGTTGTGTCCCTTTGATATCATTTCTTAAATGGTTTCCCAATGGCAAAGAATATGGATGGCACCATGTGTCTTTCAGACGGATTCAACAGAAGACTGAAATTAAAGGTTTGGAACGACAATGTGTTTGTGTATTCATCTACATGTCAATATTTCTCCACTCTAACTTCAGTAGCCAACGTGTCAACACTTTCAGACAGAGAAGATAATTCCATGGTTTCCAAATGCCTAACCAATACCCTACATACATATGATATCACAATGCAGAAAATGTACTATAAAGCACTAAATAAGGACGCAACAAACTAACCACCCGTTAGTCAGCTATGTTTGATAATAATAGAGAAGTACTTTTAGTTATAATTATATAAATGACACCAAAGTCCTTAAATAAAAAATGACACAAAGTGGTCATAGAAGAAAGGAATATGTCCGACGACGAGGGTGTGAGCCTATGTTGTTTACGTCGTATGCAAGCTATGACAGGACAGTCTGGGTCAGAAAGACCAGTGGTTGATATCATGAGCATCCATCCACACCGTCGGCGTACGAGGGCACAGAATCAGCTTCCAGTTTGCGCCCATTAAGTCGGCTCTTATTCAGCAAGCATGCAGTACTATGAGGCATTCTGCCCCGGAATCCCGTCAAGGGGGGATGAAAAGCTTGTCGAACATCCTACCACGCACCCGTGGGAATTCCTGGTAAGAATATAGGTCCAAGCAACTTATGTCGGCGTATGAGGCGACCAAATGGATCGGGTGGTCAGGCTCTGTGACTTGGTTGATTGCGTGTCATCGTACCCCGCCGGGTGGATTGTTTCTCACAATATCAATCACTGGGTTGTCTGGTCCAGACTTGATTATGTACAGGCCGTCATCATATAGCTGGAGTGTAGCGTTAAACAACAAAACAAAAAATCGTACCACGCGAAGACTGTATCGGATCTTCTTCAGGTAGTGAAGGAGGTCGCCATTCGCCATATGCTCCACCACGAGACAGATGGGCTGACGGAGAGTGCAGCAGCCAAGCATGCTGACGACGTTGGTGTGGTAGCCGATCCTCTTCATCAGGTTAATTTCCTTGATGAAGTCGCGGTAGTAACGGCCGTCCACGCCCTCTGAAGTCAGACACAAACACAGTAGAGAGGCAGACGACAATGGAGGGACTGATTCACCAATGCGATGTAATACAGTAAAACCACTGAACAGCACTGCTTTTTAAAAACAAACCATGTATATTAACACATTACCGATTTAACGGATCATGGACACGGAGTACTTTCAATTGAATACATGGAGATGTATCTTGTAGTAATTTACGTTCTACGGGATTGGTCCGTAACGGGTCGAAAACTAACAATGTTAAAACTGCATTACTCTCATTATCCACCTCCTGATGACAGAAAATTATTTTGACAGAAACACAAAATGACACTTCAGCATTTTGCCAAGAAGGGATATGACAAACAGTTAAAAACAAACTCGCACGTTGGCTGTCATCGTTGAATCAACAACAGAATCTTGTACAGAACAATGGGAATCGCATTGTATATATTACGCATCCGGTCAGACGAAGCATACACTTGAAAATTGGATGCGATCAAAACATTACAAACATTATCCAAAAATTATCATAATCGCTTCGGCCTACCACACAGTTATGATACCCGTATCACATACACCACCATCGAATAACCTTTTTTTCTCATTTTTTGCAACCATTAAACATGGTTGTATACTTAATATTGTCCGGCGGTTTATTTATCACATTTCTTGATTTCAAGTAATACATCACTTATTCAAGCTATGACTCTATTGTCCTTCACGTGTGAGATTGAATTGGGATCAATATATCAGAAGAAAGTCCCAAGTGACGAAGGTCACAGACGTACCCCTTTGGAGAAATCCTCATTGAATGCTGTTTACAAAACAAGAGTCATAATTGGAGCGAATTTTAATCGAACCCACGACCAAGCATGACTAAGGAACGAAACTCTACACGTGAATTGCACTATTCAGTCAAAGAATAGATCTGAAGAGGACCCAAAGTTGTTCCTTCAGATAAAAGCGCGCGCGCGCGCGCGCTGCCAATGATTCTTTGTTGTTTAAAGACGCCGCAGCAATATTCCAGCTATATGACGGCGGTCTGTGTAAATAATCGAGTCTGGACCAGATAATCCAGTGATTGATATCATGAGCACCGATCCACGCAATTGGGATCGATGACATACATCAACCAAGTCAGCGAGCCTGACCACTCGATCCATTTAGTCGCCTCGACAAGCATAGTCGCCTTTTACAGCAAGCATGGGTTGCTGAAGACTTATATTCTACCCTGGATCTTCACCGTTCCAATGAACCCAGGAGTGCATGGTCACTGTATTGTGATAAACGTTCACAGAATTATACACATCTATTGGGCATTCGCTACACAATTAATGTTTCAGATTTCAGACTGCGCAGAGCAGTTTTGCAAACATATAACAGTTGACTACACTAAGAATGCGTTTCACAAATTCTCCCAACCAAAGACGTATATATGTACGTCCGTGTCCCAACGATGGGGTTCGAACTCATTTTGGTATGTTGTGCTAACGCAATCCCAACACGCATCCTCCACGCCAGCGATCAAAATATAATGATACAGACTCGTGTTATGCAAAACTTGACAGAATCTTATCACTACCCAACCTTGTAACATCTTGACAGCCACCGTAGCATGCATCTTATCCCGACCCTCCGTCCGAGGTATCTGTGCCCCTCGGTGTTGCAGCATAGCGTAGGTTACTTTGCCCTCCAGCACCAGGCCAAATGCCCCACTCCCCAGCACCTGTCCCAGCTTGAGACAGCTGTGGGGCAGCTCCCATCGGTCGGCAACTACCGGGGGGCTCTGAAGAGATGTGATGTCGGCCCTGAAACCGTAGAGTAAGTGTAGGGCTATTGCTGTGGTATTATGACACCTTATAAATAATCTCGGCTAAGAGAACCAGTGGTTGACAGCATGAGACTAAAATGCCATCGGGATGTGGCATCTTATCGAGGCAAAGAGGTTAACTGACTGAAAAAGTCCAGTTTCCAGCTTTCTGGGCTCGACCATAGAGCTACCAGTTGCTGTTACGGGTTATGTCCCTTTTATGTCCCTGCTATTGACCAATCAAATTCCACCTCTCATGTTATTTGCAAACAAAATGGCGGCGCCTAGTCAAGACGATCAGATCGATAATCAAGACCTTTATTGTAATAAAACGGGTCTTACTTCGCTAACAGCATCAAATCACGTGGATACCTTGATTAGAAACATGAACGAATTTGGAAAATACCTCTTGACGCTGAGTTGGTGGTACACATGCTTTACAAATCCTGTAATCGACCGAAATCAGCGCGGCAGTTGACGAACCGGATGTCGATTTGTCAGTCCAGTCAAGATATAACTCCATAATTCCAGCCTAGTCCGACAAGGGTGGAAACTGGATTTTTTTGGTCAGTTAACTTCCATGCGTGGGGAGGATGGGGTGTGGTGACACACAATCATCCAGGCCACACATTGTAAGCCCCTGATTCCCACGTGTGTGTGTGTGGGTGTGGTTGCTTGTACTAGTCCCGGCTGGTGCCGATTTATGTGCTAGCACTCTGAGATACCATACCTCAGATAACATAAATACCCCACTCAGACAGAGTATATTGACTCAGAGCCGGCCAGTCGTTGTTTTAGCCCCTTAATGCCGAGCGCCAGACAGGGTAAGAACAAGTACAATATTTTAATGTCTTTTGGTATGACGGGGCCGGGATCGAACCCCCGACCTTCTGCTCTCCCACTAGATCACGGTGGCGGTCTTATATAGTGAGTGAGTGATTATTGCTTAACGCCGTAATCTTGGAGCTATTCACGGTGACGTCGCAGATGGCTGGTGACCTATATTGTTAATAACTGGATCTGTATCAGTAATGCCAGTCTATGACAAGCAAAAACAGCGGTCAACACAGACAGAGAAGTCACATATTGTAACCATCCGATCCACCGACATGCTATGCACCTATTCTATTCATGTTCCGGTTCACCAAGCACTCAATCCCGTTCATAGTCTATACCGTGTCCGTCCACCGAGGTCGTAGTAGTAGCTGTAGGCGTCGCTGTCAGGTCCAAGTCGCTGTTGCAGGTGGGACAGTTTCTTCCTTCTCTTCTTGTAAACAATCCTGCCAGCAACAGCTAGCACCACGACGACCGCCGCCACCACCAACAGCGTCACTGACACCGCCGTCATCACAGCTTTGTTTCCGCTTCGGGAGTCTACAGAGATCATGCACCAGACGTACAAAAACATTCGTATAAAGGCGAACTTCTGCTAAACAAAATAAGACCGTTTCATAAGTATATATACTGTATACGTTCTTAACAACATGAAGGATTGAAGAAATCACAGTTATTTCATGTAACGTTTACGTTCCTATTTTTTTATAATGGGTTGGGTTAGCGCCGCTTTGAACAGTATTCCAGTTATATCACATCAGATTTATGTGGGAGGAAAGTCCTAAGTGATGTAGGTCTAAGACGTTTACCACTTCAGTGATACCAACGGGCACGGGTATGGTGCTGACAAACCTTGAGGTTTTTCGGGGCGAACCGGGATTCGAACCCACGATCATAGGTTTCGGGCGTGCCAAAGGGACGCAACGAATTGCTGCACCACAACGAATTGCCCCTGTCCCTCCTACTTATATAGAAATGGAAGATACCACTAGCGGTAATATCACATTCACAATAATGGGTCGCGTTACCGACGAAGAATGTACTTATATGATAGAGAGGGTATTAAACTCATGTGTCATAATATGTATGCTACAAGTATTATTCCTAGTATATGACATTTACGATTCGGAGACACGCTGGGGTAAAATTCTCTATTTAAGCCAAAGTGATCATTAATTAAAGATAACCATAGATTTACCTTCTTTTCTTCCATCAGGACTTGGTGCAACTGAAAACAAATAGGGAAGGTCACAATGAACACTCCTCCCGCTCCCAATCAATACTCGCTTCCGAAAGCGGACGGGAATCGGTGATATTGAAGAGAAACAAAAGCGTAAAAAAACTTCATTAGATCTGTGAGAAAACTGGACCTCATCTGAGGTGAAAGTTTCGCTACATCGATGTTTCAGTAAAAATAATGGATATAATTCAGAAGATTTCAAAGGATTCTTTTTCACTGTTTACACTCGTCTGGTTGGCAATATCACCTTTGCATCTTTCTCACGAGGACGAAAATACAAATTGCTAGGATTTAAACTTGGTTGTGCTCCTAATTAAGTACCAGTTCAAAGTTGAAAGCAGCCGGCAGTAAAAGTCGCATATTGCTTGTTTAATAGTTTAGATGGAATCTGATCTGTTCGTTTATTATTTTTTTCGATATAGGGAATGCAAATCACGTTCACTTGTCAGAAATACCTGCAGCGAGGGATGAGGGTTGTGAGTTACCTGCCCTTTGGTAAAGAAAAACTCAGGAAATGACCATTCTATGCCATTCGCCACCACTCGCATCTTTCCGTAACCTACCAGAAGGGTCTTCACCCGGCTTGTCTCGGAGTTGGCCACAAATGCATTCTATTCGTTACCGGCATATTTCCGTGCTTTCGCCATACGACTTCCCGGACTGACCCGAGTTTATCACGATTGGAAAAGGACTTGAGTGAGTGAATTCAGTTTAACGCAGCTTTAAACATTTTAATTATATTACAGTGTCTCTGCTTGATGTGGGAGGGAAGCCCGAAGTGATGTACCACTTTGGTGAAACCTTCGAGCTCGGGTATTGTGCTGACATACCTAGACAATATAATATATGACTTATGGCGACTCTTGGATTCGAACCCACGATTACAATCACTCTGGCACGCTGATGTTTCGTAACCTTGCATAGCGGTGCCTTAGACAACTGGCCCCCACGTGCCTACCATAAGGGATTGAGTCGAGGTATATGGCATGGGCCAAGAAACAAAGAGAAAGACGAGAAACAAAGACCGTTTATCGATATGTTCTCATTACCTTGTTCTTGTACCAAGGGCATGGTGAAGACATGGACTTCCGCAGCTGGCACTGGCTCTGGTTCTGTGCGCCTAAGGTTACCATGACCGCCATCTTTTGAAGTGTTGTATAGCGGAATTACCTGTTATGTATAGGAATAAGAAATGTACATCAAGTGTTTTGAAAAGAATATAGTTCACGAGCCCGTCACTGATATGTGATTTGCTTGTTTTTGTTTGTTTGTTGTTTAACGACACACTCAGCAGTATTTTCGGCTATATGATGTCGGTCTGTAAATAATCGAGTCTGAACAAGACAATCCAGTGACTGAAATTAACATACATCAACATGTTCTCCGTAACATGTAATTCAACACATATACATCAACCAAGTCAGCGAGTCTGACCACCCAATCCCGTTTGTCGCCTCTTACGACAAGCATAGTCGCCTTTTACGGCTGGAATGGGTTGCAGTACTGTGACATGGTGAATCACGTGTTACGGAGAACATGTCACTGATATGTGAATCTTGCAGTACTGTGACATGGTGAATCACGTGTTACGGAGAACACGTCACTGTTATGTGAATCTTGCAGTACTGTGACATGGTGATTCACGTGTTACCGAGAACACGTCACTGATATGTGAATCTTGCAGTACTGTGACACGGTGGAACACATGTTACCGAGAACACGTCAATGATATGTGAATCTTGCAGTACTGTGACATGGTGATTCACGTGTTACGGAGAACATGTCACTGATATGTGAAGCTTGCAGTACTGTGACATGGTGGAACACATGTTACCGAGAACACGTCACTGATATGTGAATCTTGCAGTACTGTGACATGGTGGAACACATGTTACCGAGAATACGTCACTGATATGTATAGGTGATGTGAGCGGTGTCATGTTAGATCTATGTCATGTTTGAACGGTAGACATCTGGTTAAAAAACAAGAACAATGGCTATGAACGAAACTGACCTGCACCCCATAGCGCTTCTTTGGAATGAGGTGATCCAGCACCACCGACTTGGTGTCCTGTGAAAAGGGGCGCTAAGCAACATTACATTCACTTGACATAAACACAGTGTTCTGTCAAAAGAGGACGTTTAGTTACAGAACATACAATGGCATAGACTCGGTGATCTGCAAAAGGCGACGTTTAGCAAGGTCACAAACACTTGACTAAGGCAAGGTGTTCTGTAAATAGGGGAGGTGAAAAACATTGCATACACTTGTCTGTTCTGTGAATAAGGGGTGGTAAGCAACATTACATACACTTGACATATGTGAAGATAGACACAGTAAATTTCGGGTTGAGTTGATACAAGGAACTGCATCTTGCCATGAGCAATCACGTCTGTGTGGTCATGGCACTTTCACGTCTGTGTGATAATGGCACTATCACGTCTGTGTGGTCATGGCACTATCACGTCTGTGTGATCATGATAATATCACGTCTGTGTGATCATGGTACTATCACGTCTGTGTGATAATGGCACTATCACGTCTGTGTGATCATGATAATATCACGTCTGTGTGATCATGGCACTATCACGTCTGTGTGATAATGGCACTATCACGTCTGTGTGGTCATAGCACTTTCACGTCTGTGTGATCATGGCACTATCACGTCTGTGTGGTCATGGCACTATCACGTCTGTGTGGTCATGGCACTATCACGTCTGTGTGGTCATGGCACTATCACGTCTGTGTGATCATGGTACTATTACGTCTGTGTGATCATGGTACTATCACGTATGTGTGATCATGGTACTATCACGTCTGTGTGGTCATAGCACTATCACGTCTGTGTGGTCATGGCACTATCACGTCAGTGTGGTCATGGCACTATCACGTCTGTGTGATAATGGCACTATCACGTCTGTGTGGTCATAGCACTTTCACGTCTGTGTGATAATGGCACTATCACGTCTGTGTGGTCATAGCACTTTCACGTCTGTGTGATAATGGCACTATAACGTCTGTGTGGTCATAGCACTTTCACGTCTGTGTGATAATGGCACTATAACGTCTGTGTGGTCATAGCACTTTCACGTCTGTGTGATAATGGCACTATAACGTCTGTGTGGTCATAGCACTTTCACGTCTGTGTGATAATGGCACTATCACGTCTGTGTGGTCATGGCACTATCACGTCTGTGTGATCATGGCACTATCACGTCAGTGTGATCATGGCACTATCACGTCTGTGTGATAATGGCACTATCACGTCTGTGTGATCATGGTACTATCACGTCTGTGTGATCATGGTACTATCACGTATGTGTGATCATGGTACTATCACGTCTGTGTGGTCATAGCACTTTCACGTCTGTGTGATAATCACACTATCACGTCTGTGTGGTCATGGCACTATCACGTCTGTGTGATCATGGCACTATCACGTCTGTGTGGTCATGGTACTATCACGTCAGTGTGGTCATGGTACTATCACGTCTGTGTGGTCTGTATGGTCATGGCGCTATCACGTCTGTGTGATCATGGCGCTATCACGTCTGTGTGGTCATGGCGCTATCACGTCTGTGTGGTCATGGCGCTATCACGTCTGTGTGGTCATGGCGCTATCACGTCTGTGTGGTCTGTATGGTCATGGCGCTATCACGTCTGTATGGTCATGGCGCTATCACGTATGTGTGATCAGTGTGGTCATGGCGCTATCACGTCTGTGTGGTCATGGCGCTATCACGTCGGTGTGGTCTGTATGGTCATGGCGCTACCACGTCTGTATGGTCATGGCGCTATCACGTATGTGTGATCAGTGTGGTCATGGCGCTATCACGTCTGTGTGGTCTGTATGGTCATGGCGCTATCACGTCTGTGTGGTCATGGCGCTATCACGTAGGTGTGATCAGTGTGGTCATGGCGCTATCACGTCTGTGTGGTCATGGCGCTATCACGTCTGTGTGGTCATGGCGCTATCACGTCAGTGTGGTCATGGCGCTATCACGTCTGTGTGGTCATGGCGCTATCACGTCTGTGTGGTCATGGCGCTATCACGTATGTGTGATCAGTGTGGTCATGGCGCTATCACGTCTGTGTGGTCTGTATGGTCATGGCGCTATCACGTCTGTGTGGTCATGGCGCTATCACGTATGTGTGATCAGTGTGGTCATGGCGCTATCACGTCTGTGTGATCATGGCACTATCACGTCTGTGTGGTCATGGTACTATCACGTCAGTGTGGTCATGGTACTATCACGTCTGTGTGGTCTGTGTGGTCATGGCGCTATCACGTCTGTGTGATCATGGCGCTATCACGTCAGTGTGGTCATGGCGCTATCACGTCTTTATGGTCATGGCGCTATCACGTCTGTGTGGTCATGGCGCTATCACGTCTGTGTGGTCTGTATGGTCATGGCGCTATCACGTATGTGTGATCAGTGTGGTCATGGCGCTATCACGTCTGTGTGATCATGGCACTATCACGTCTGTGTGGTCATGGTACTATCACGTCAGTGTGGTCATGGTACTATCACGTCTGTGTGGTCTGTATGGTCATGGCGCTATCACGTCTGTGTGATCATGGCGCTATCACGTCAGTGTGGTCATGGCGCTATCACGTCTGTGTGGTCATGGCGCTATCACGTCTGTGTGGTCATGGCGCTATCACGTATGTGTGATCAGTGTGGTCATGGCGCTATCACGTCTGTGTGGTCTGTATGGTCATGGCGCTATCACGTCTGTGTGGTCATGGCGCTATCACGTAGGTGTGATCAGTGTGGTCATGGCGCTATCACGTATGTGTGGTCATGGCGCTATCACGTCTGTGTGGTCATGGCGCTATCACGTCAGTGTGGTCATGGCGCTATCACGTCTGTGTGGTCATGGCGCTATCACGTCTGTGTGGTCATGGCGCTATCACGTCTGTGTGGTCATGGCGCTATCACGTCAGTGTGGTCATGGTACTATCACGTCTGTGTGGTCTGTATGGTCATGGCGCTATCACGTCTGTGTGATCATGGCGCTATCACGTCAGTGTGGTCATGGCGCTATCACGTCTGTGTGGTCATGGCGCTATCACGTCTGTGTGGTCATGGCGCTATCACGTATGTGTGATCAGTGTGGTCATGGCGCTATCACGTCTGTGTGGTCTGTATGGTCATGGCGCTATCACGTCTGTGTGGTCATGGCGCTATCACGTATGTGTGATCAGTGTGGTCATGGCGCTATCACGTCTGTGTGGTCATGGCGCTATCACGTCTGTGTGGTCATGGCGCTATCACGTCAGTGTGGTCATGGCGCTATCACGTCTGTGTGGTCATGGCGCTATCACGTCTGTGTGGTCATGGCGCTATCACGTCAGTGTGGTCATGGCACTATCACGTCTGTGTGGTCATGGCGCTATCACGTCAGTGTGGTCATGGCGCTATCACGTCTGTGTGGTCATGGCACTATCACGTCTGTGTGGTCATGGCGCTATCACGTCTGTGTGGTCATGGCGCTATCACGTCTGTGTGGTCATGGCGCTATCACGTCTGTGTGATCTGTGTGGTCATGGCGCTATCACGTCTGTATGGTTATGGCGCTATCACGTCAGTGTGGTCATGGCGCTATCACGTCTGTGTGGTCATGGCGCTATCACGTCTGTGTGGTCATGGTACTATCACGTCTGTGTGATCATGGCGCTATCACGTATGTGTGATCATGGCACTATCACGTCTGTGTGATCATGGCACTATCACGTCTGTGTGGTCATGGCGCTATCACGTCAGTGTGGTCATGGCGCTATCACGTCTGTGTGGTCATGGCACTATCACGTCAGTGTGGTCATGGCGCTATCACGTCTGTGTGGTCATGGCGCTATCACGTCTGTGTGGTCATGGCGCTATCACGTCTGTGTGATCTGTGTGGTCATGGCGCTATCACGTCTGTATGGTCATGGCGCTATCACGTCAGTGTGGTCATGGTGCCATCACGTCTGTGTGGTCATGGCGCTATCACGTCTGTGTGGTCATGGTACTATCACGTCTGTGTGATCATGACGCTATCACGTATGTGTGATCATGGCACTATCACGTCTGTGTGATCATGGCACTATCACGTATGTGTGATCATGGCACTATCACGTCTGTATGGTCATGGCACTATCACGTCTGTGTGATCAGTGTGGTCATGGCACTATCACGTATGTGTGATCATGGCGCTATCACGTCTGTGTGGTCATGGCGCTATCACGTCTGTGTGGTCTGTATGGTCATGGCGCTATCACGTCTGTATGGTCATGGCGCTATCACGTATGTGTGATCAGTGTGGTCATGGCGCTATCACGTCTGTGTGGTCATGGCGCTATCGCGTCTGTGTGGTCATGGTACTATCACGTCTGTGTGATCATGGCGCTATCACGTATGTGTGATCATGGCGCTATCACGTCTGTGTGATCATGGCGCTATCACGTCTGTGTGATCTGTGTGGTCATGGCGCTATCACGTCTGTGTGGTCATGGCGCTATCACGTCTGTGTGGTCATGGCGCTATCACGTCTGTGTGGTCATGGCGCTATCGCGACAGTGTGATCATGGCGCTATCACGTCTGTGTGGTCATGGCGCTATCGCGACAGTGTGATCATGGCGCTATCACGTCTGTGTGATCTGTGTGGTCATGGCGCTATCACGTCGGTGTGGTCATGGCGCTATCACGTCTGTGTGGTCATGGCGCTATCACGTCTGTGTGGTCATGGCGCTATCGCGACAGTGTGATCATGGCGCTATCACGTCTGTGTGGTCATGGCGCTATCGCGACAGTGTGACCATGGCGCTATCACGTCTGTGTGGTCATGGCGCTATCGCGACAGTGTGATCATGGCGCTATCACGTCTGTTTGGTCTGTATGGTCAAGGTACTATCACGTCTGTGTGGTCATGGCGCTATCACGTATGTGTGATCATGGCGCTATCACGTCTGTGTGGTCATGGCGCTACAACGTCTGTGTGGTCATGGCGCTATCACGTCTGTGTGGTCATGGCGCTATCGCGACAGTGTGATCATGGCGCTATCACGTCTGTGTGATCTGTGTGGTCATGGCGCTATCACGTCTGTGTGGTCATGGCGCTATCGCGACAGTGTGATCATGGCGCTATCACGTCTGTGTGGTCATGGCGCTATCGCGACAGTGTGATGATGGCGCTATCACGTCTGTGTTGTCATGGCGCTATCGCGACAGTGTGATCATGGCGCTATCACATCTGTGTTGTTATGGCGCTATCACGACTATGTGGTGTGTGTTTTTATGAGACTATAACGATTGTATTATATGTGTAATCATGGCACTATCACTCGTGTGGTCATGGTGCTTTGTGGTCATTTCGGAAATAAAAAGGAAAAAAGGAGCGTTGTCTGGAGTCTATCTGATGTACACAGGAAGACATTTGTGTCCACTTGAGCAGTGGCCTATCAGCATTCAACACTGTGTCGACCACAAAAAGCCAAAATATGATGTTACCAAAAAACATGCATTCAACTTTCGATCTTACCATCCTGGTGCTGTCTTACTGTTCAAATATCGTAAAGGCTACATGGCGTGTAATGTTTTTGTAAACAAGTAAACAAGTAAACGTACTTTGATACATGTAACGATATGTCAGGTACTAAAGTTCGGCCAGAACACATCATGGCGCATAGCCAACACATTTCGAATCCCCTAATCGTTTTTCTTTTGTCTGGTTTATATTTTTTTTAAATATACTGCATTAAGAATGTTAACTTATTTATCTACCTTGACATAACATGTCTGGCAATACATAAGTCCGGCAATACTTCATTCAACAGAATGTCGCATTCGCTCAGGTTATACGAAACGCTCTATATTTATAAAAATAAAACGTCAACCAGTCTCGATTATACGACAAACTTGATTCCTTTGGGCGTAAAAGGCAGAATAGCGGTGAAAGTTATGAGAGGATCGCTGACACCAGCGTTTTGTGGAATGGGTAAGCATGTCCTGCTCTAGCGGTAGCACACGCGATATTCACAATATAAACTACTGCAATTGCTTATTTTAATATATAGAGTATTTTTGTATTTTCTTGTCAGATGAGCTGTTTATCTTATCAATTGACCTGCAAAGCTGACACTTTGTCGCAACTTTGCAGGTCACGAGATGCGATACACACGTTGTCTAACAAGAAAAGTCAATCATTCCTTTTACTATGTATTTTCCTGCACGATTTTCACGATCTTACTCTGAAAACCATAGTGTCATTGAGGTACACTGAAAGTCGTTCCCGCATAAAGAGTTATTTCTCTCGAGAAAATTATCGATTTTATATTTGGAGAAAAGCATAATTTTCAATTACTAATATATAATGTCACAATTAAGGGAGGTACATTTTATTTTTATGAGGGAAGGGATAAGTTTTAGAAAAATCCATTTTTACCCCAGCTCACAAAAGATTTAATTACTGACCTGAGCACCACCAAACAGTCTATTCATTTTCACTATTAACTCACACAAAATGGACGTTTGTGTATTTTCCACAAACAAAAATATTCTTTCTCCCACCACGGCTAACACACTATTCATGGATGCTCCCTTAGTCTATGTTCTGCTGATTACCTTGTTGATCCAGTGTACCACATCATACAGATACAAGACAGCGACAGTTTAACCGGCCAGAAAAATACACATCGACATGTGTATTAGTGGGAGCGTCAAGTTCGATATGTATAGTATGCAGCACGTTATAGATACAAACAATCATTAAATCGATCACTAGATACATTAAGTGCATGCACAGTAAACTACGTTTATAACGAACACGCCTTTAACTAACTGACGGATATTTCTTGATTCCGTCCATATATGTTGTACATATGCTTATAACGAACTACGGTTATGACGAATTAAAAATAGTGGTCCCTTTAAGTTCGTTATATCCGTAGTTTACTTACACGTTCCACGGATGAGGGAACAACACAGGTGTGAGATACACGACAAGGACAAGGCATCTTCCTGTACCGATTTATTACAAATGATATATGTTACAGAGAAGAGACGGGAGGTAGATTGAATGCAAATAAATAGGGAATTTCACGGTCACGACAAATGAATGCCAGGTATATATGATGTGACACACTGAATGTTCCAAGGGAGCTAACTTGTCGAGTGTTTCCCAGAATATTTGTCTTCCTGAAACGAAGAAGGTAGGGAGATTAGGTTCGTGTGTCGTACCCATGAGAAGTCAAGCTCTTCTGGAAAAGATATACTGCATTTGGAAACAATCGTATGATTCCAGGGCAAGCTGAACCCTTTCATCAACAATTGCCCTTTTCGTAACCTGGAAACCATTTTGAATGTCCCGGGATGACACGAAAGCTCACGAATGAAGCTTACCTTCTTCATTCGTCTCCACTCGCCCCTTTCCGTAAGCCAATCGGCTTGCCCCGGACTGACACGAGTTGGTCCCAATGGACTTTTTTGGTTACGTGTGCACGAATGAAACAACCACTTACCTCTTTTTTGTCCTGATTTTGACACGATACATATATCTTCGATTATCGAACGTACTAGATGCTTCTATTATGATAAATACCGTGGACCCATTAACGTCCATGGAGCTCCTCGTCCAGGGAATGTCACATCTCCAATTCTCTTATCAGTAGCTTTCACAGAAGTTCCTCACATATGAGTTGAGCAATACATCCGAATCGGACGCTGAGCGAAGCTGTGGTAGCGAATCTTAACACGGTATTTATCAAACCAAAATAGGACTATAGTAGTAGATAATACACTGGATAATCGAGGATTATCAATAATCCAGCTATATCAGGACAGGAGAAACCAAGAAATGGTTTCGTCGATTTTACCCGTGTTGGGAATCGAACCTGGGTCTGCAGAGTGACAACCCAAACCAAGGCTACTCCACCAACCCTTATACGTAATGATGTAGTCAAATATTTTCAGGCCGCCGTGAATATAAACTGTCAGGCAAAAGAAATAATACACACATGTCTGATAGTGGATGAAAAGTCGCTTTTTTCGATGGTGATGTATACATTTGAGACGGGTATCACAGTTATGTTTTGGACCTTATGTTTGCAGTGTTTCCGCGAGTGATTTCAGCCCGGTAACGTTTTAATAACGTTTTTAATTTTTTATCAAATCCAATTTTCAAGTGTATACTTTCTTTTGCCCGGCAGTATATGTGAATTTATGTGTGGAGCCTAAAGGGGACTGGAGATAACCGAGTTCGAGTCAACGAATTCATGGTATATGTGTATCGATCTAATGGTCTTGGGTGCTCTACACTGAAAAAGAATTGATGAATTCGTTCTTACCCTTGTGATAAACGTTGTGTTTTTATTCACCAAGACTGGTTCGCCAGTGCTGTTCAATGCACGCCCCCAGCGAACACTGAAGCCTTTGAGGTTGTCACGTGACCGCTCCTCGGGCATGGCGACATACACCCTGGCCGCTTGGGCCTTGGGTACCAAGACGATGACAACACCATTGTCGTCCTTCAGAACGGTGGCTGTGACCAATACAAAGTAGACATCAACGACACGCACGTCTCCAGCGGTAATATATAAGGCAGGATGGACTTTGGCCATGGTTTGTTTGTTTGTTTGTTTGTTTGTCGCACTCAGCAATATTCCAGCTATGTGACAGCGGTCTGTTAATAATCGAGTCTGGACCAGACAATTCAGTGATTGACAACATGAGCATCGATCCACACTATTGGGATCGATGACATGCATCAACCAAGTCAGCGAGCCTGACCACCCGATCCTTACGCCTCTTACGACAGGCATAGTCGCCTTTTACGGCAAGCATGGGTTGCTGAAGACCTATTCCACCCCGATCTACAAGGGTCTTTTGGCCATGGTTCACCTTAAGAATTGACTTCAATATGTATTTGCTTTTATGGAGGTATAAACGTAAAATAACCGGCGTGCATACTGTGTAAAATAGCGTAACAATAATAACGTCACAGACTGCTCATTTATTCATTAACACAAACACCTGTAGGCAACATTGCAACACAAGCCCCGCCAATTCTATAAATCAGCCAATCACGAACGAACAGTACTCAATTAGTGGGCGTTGTCTAATTTTTTATTCGGTTTGTGGAAACATAAACGCAAATAACTTTGCTTAGTTAATCAAATTCCACGAACTCACTTGCATTTTATTCATTATCGTATAATTAGTCAGTTTTGTGTATTTAACAAAATGAAAACTTGTTATAAGCTTCAGGACTTTCAGATTTCCCGCCTCATCAAGAACAAAGCCAGCATAGATGTCACCTTCTCTAGCGGCAAGTCCACAAAGACCCATCTACGAGCAAATGGCAGAGGCACAAGCAGCGCAAGTCCCAACCCCCGAGGATGTATATACCAGGTACCCTGCAACTGTGGCCACCAGTACACTGAAGAAACCCTAAGACCCCAGAAACACAAGACCCAAAGAACATCGGACCTCTGTTAACAAACTCGACATGAAATCCGCTATTTCCGAACACATCCCGAAGAACGAAAACCATAACATCATGTGGGAAGCCACCAAAGTCCTGTCTACCAACAAAAACTGGCGACAAAGGAAACTACAAGAAGCCATTGACATCAGGAGACACCAGCCAGCCATGAACCGTGACCGGGGAACCTGTCTGCCTAGTGCTTGGGACTTATTGCTTTGATCTTTGTCGGGGCTAATTGCCTATAGCTGGCTTCAAGTTGCCCCTTGCTACGTCCATTCTTTTCTTTCACCTATCAGTGCTAATTTCCCCAGTTCCTCCCACATTATCTGACACGCCCTGATATAAATATTGACAGACAGCCGTGACGTAAGTGGAAAATTGCTGTCAGCGACAAGCAACAAACGAACAAACAATGATACGTGAGGTGTACAAAAAGCTCACCGTATTCTTCTGGAAGTTTGATAGGGGTTGTAATAGCTGGCTCGGAATCGTCCTCTCTGATCGGCGCGGGGGACATGGAGGTGACAGGCGACAACCATGATCCAACCAGTCTGTGCCCGGGTGGTGTCGCGATTATCTGAAAGGGACAAGAAAGACAATATACATAGTGATATACAATTATGTAAACAACAACATGTGTACAATACATGAGCATAGACTACAATCTTTTATTTTTTATTCTTGCTGCTTCTTCCAATTTAGTACTGTACCGACCATTGAAAATTCCTATTAGTTTAAGGGAAGGTGGGGTAGCCCCGTGGACACAGAGTCGACCTGTCACGCCGAAGTTAAACTGGGTATACATGGGTACAATGTGTGAAGCCTGTCAGCGGTGGCCATAGCCGCTAATGGTTGGAGTGAGAGAGTATGGTTTTACGCCGCTTTTAGCAATATTACAGCAATATCACGGCGGGGGACACCAGAAATGGGCTTCACACATTGTACCCATGTCGGGAATCGAACACGGGTCTTCAGCGTGACGAGCGAACGCTTTAACAACTAGGCTACCCAACCGCCCCGCTAATGGTTGGAGGTTTGCTGGTTACGGGCTGTCATTGGTTAACTGGAATAGTAAGTTGTAGCAGGATCCCGAGGGGTACATGGGGTTTTATACCACGAGGTTCCATGTCAGAATGATGGGATCTGATTGGTCCACATGATCTTGATAAAATACTGTGTAACCCGCCTTGGAGAGTAATAAATTTCTCAGCGGGGGAATAAATCTCTTATACCCCGCCACGAGCAATACAGGCTGTACGTGAATTCTTCCAAGCAAAAAGCTGCACGCTTTTTCCGAGTCACGTGACATAGCACACGCTCAATCGAACAGCTGTTTTCTATCAATTTTTAATTTGTTTGAATTATTATTTTACAATGTCATATTAAAACATGATAAGTTAGTCGGTATGATAAGTTCGTTATAGCAGGATCACGTGGGGTACATGGGACTTTATGCGTCCTTTGTCAGATTTTATACCACTCGCCTCGGGCTCGAGGTAACAATGATAATGGCATCACACGTAATGTGGTATAAAACCTAACGCGGGACGCATAAAACCCCATGTACCCCGAGTGATCCTGTTACAACTTATAATGTACCATACGTGTCGGAGGAACATATTTGTGTATACACGTGTTTGATACGTATCGGGGGGGGCAGGTTTGTACATACCTTGAGCAGGGACTATCTGGATAAGAAGCGGTATGTAAATCTAAAAGTCTTTAATTTACTATATGTGTCGGAAGAACAAGCTTTTCGCCATACTTGTTGGTGGAACCTGTTTGGACATACCTGTTGGAGGAACCTGTTTAGCCATACTTGTTGGTTGGAGGAACCTGTTTGGCCATACCTGTTGGTTGGAGGAACCTGTTTGGACATACTTGTTGGGGGAACCTGTTTGGACATACGTGTTGGAGGAACCTATTTGGCCATACGTGTTGGAGGAACCTGTTTGGCCATACGTGTTCGGGGAACATGTTTGGACATATTTGTTTTGGGGAACCTGTTTGGACATACGTGTTGGGGGAACATGTTTGGACATACTTGTTGGGGGAACCTGTTTGGACATACTTGTTGGGGGAACCTATTTAGACATACCTGTTGGAGGAACCTGTTTGGCCATACGTGTTCGGGGAACCTGTTTGGACATACGTGTTGGAGGAACCTGTTTGGACATACTTGTTGGGGGAACCTATTTAGACATACCTGTTGGAGGAACCTGTTTGGCCATACGTGTTCGGGGAACATGTTTGGACATACTTGTTGGGGGAACCTGTTTGGACATACGTGTTGGAGGAACCTGTTTGGACATACCTGTTGGTTGGAGGAACCTGTTTGGACATACCTGTTGGTTGGAGGAACCTGTTTGGACATACCTGTTGGTTGGAGGAAAACTGTTTGGACATACCTGTACACCATAGGTGTCCGAGGTGTTATGAGTGGAGTTCGCTAACTGAATTTCTGTCCATGTATGATTCTGAAAAAGAGGATACACACATTATACATGGCGATTTTGAAAATCAAGCAGCTGAACTCTTGTCTTTTTTTTCAGTTCCTGGCAAGGGCAGGTAACTCATGGCACGCTTCAGTGGACTCTCAAGTCCGTTCTATTCATGCCACATCCGACAAACTACTGACCTACTGGACCGAGACTTGTCGAGTGGTTTGGCGACATGCATATTAATGATTTGTGGCCGTTAATGTGAAAACCACTACTATTATTGAAATAAACAGTCCCTCGTTGGTTTAGCAGATGGTTTGATGTGTCTTGTATGCCAATTAATATCCTATGTATACAAACGGGGGGGGGGGGGGGGGGGGGGGGGAAGTAACTGTGCTTCATTATAAATTCAATTAAAATGGATTTATTCTGAAATTAAATTACTCATCTTTTAATACCTATTCTCCTCGATTTTAAGGTCGTAAATTCAATTAAAATGGATTTATTCTGAAATTAAATTATGCATCTTTTAATACCTATTCTCCTCGATTTTAAGGTCGTGATTCCCAACCTGCACGTGCATGTTCATGCCAGGCGAACAAGTTGCCAGACATCGGAACACAATATCATCTCGTTGGAGACGCTATCTACAGCAGGGCAATACTCATGACTTGCCTCAGGCCGATCGTCCACGTATGACGTCACGTCAACAAGACAACCATATTCGGTTGGTGCATCTACGGAATTGACACAAGTCTGCGGCAGAATCGTACGCAACCGGTTGAGAGAGCACAACATTCGGCCTCGACATCTGACGACACGCCCAATTTTGCTTCACATCACTGTCTGGAGTCATCAGTGTGATACGGGGTACGCAAAAAACATCGTACTTGGTTCGCAGATTTAACATTTTAAAAAATATTGATGGACGTAGACAATGACATTATATATTTTATTTATTTAGTCTGTCTTTTGTCAGTAATTTAACTTCAAATCGCACCCTTTTCTCAATGCTTTTGTGATTTCGGGATTCAGGGGTGAGCAATGAGACAAGGAGTGGAATATTTGATGGCATTCGGGATTTAGGGGAGGAAGGGTTTGACACTGTTATATTAATGAAGCTTAAGCCTATTGAAATCAGATGATAAAGCAAGCTTACCCCAGGTACAGTCTTGGTGCTGGTGTTGTACAGGGTACCGAGGCCCATCAGTTCGTCGTACGTTGATAGGTTGAGCTTGCCCCACCTGATGTGGTACTGGTCAATCTGACCAACTGACCCCTTGTCCGTGGGGGCCTTCCAGCCCATCAGCACACGATGACCAGTCTGGATGGGCACCACCAGCATTGTAATGTCCACTACGTTGCCCGGCGGGTTATCTGGGATATAAATAAGTCAGGAAATGTAGTCGGGCTGGAACGGGTAACTCGGGTACTCGGGTCGGGGTGGTACTAAGTAGGACACAGGACTACCCGGACCCGTGGTTAGTCACGATATTGTTTATTGACAAAAAAATGTCTAAAACTCTATGGTTACACTACAAGTCAGTATTGTTCGCATTTCTTTCTGACTATGCACCCATTCCTTCTGACCTTTACAGGTTTGAATAAAGATAAAACTTCAGTCGTATTCAGTGTATGCACGACCTGATCGTGTTATACGTGTATCTAAATACATTTTACCAGGGCTACGGTCAAACTATTCCCAATCGCACTTTTTACACCCAAGTCTTGAGACATATAGCGGGTATCCGGGTAGGGTCGGGTGATAGCGTGGTGGGTACCCGGGTAGTAAATTTGGACTCGTCCCAGCCCTAATATGTAGCCTTATTACACTTTTTGTGGACCTGGTGAAAAATCATTTATAGCTGGAAGTGCACGTAATGTACTCAAGGTCATGTGACATAGTAGAAATCAGTGATTTTACATGTTTGATTGACATCATGAGCATCGATCCACGCAATTGGGATACCTTCATCAACCAAGTCAGCGAGCCTGACCATCTGGTCCCGTTAGTCGCCTCTTATGACAAGCGTGGGTTGCTTGACCAACTCTGACCAACTCTGACCTGACTCTCGATAATTTACAGACAGTCGGGTGGGGTTTATACTCACAAATAGGCGTCGCCGGACATGAGAACCCGATCACATTATTGCAGTCTGAAATGCGTGCAAATAACAAAAATATATTCAGCGTTCTCTGTTTCGGTCGTACAGGGGCCAAGTAAAGTCAACATGGCAACTTTGCAGATTTTAATACTTTCGGGCATACTTTATTACAAATACTTGACCAATATTTAATTTGAGAACGGGATATAGCGTAAAAAGACGATAAAAAACCACAGGCAAAATAGTCCCCCGAACGAAAAGTTCCGTCTATGCGGGGAATCCCCTAAGTGGGGTTAAACGGGTTCCCCGGTGCTCGAGTCGCTGCGCAATAACAACGATCGGGCCGGCGCCCAGTCTGCCTGGTGGTTTATTTAGGATCTTTCAACTTGTCCAGCTCCTATTCTTACGAGTGCAAATTCACCCGATCGAGGTGATTGGTAAGACTATAGGGTTTTAAGCGGGCATTTCACATTTGACACAACTTATTGGTGAATATCTTACAAAATATAGCGACACAACTAATTGGTGAATTTGTTTCACAAACGCTGTTATTTTAACTATACACAATGTAAAGATCGAAGGTCGTTTCAAACACTCAGAAATGTATGCAATGATATTTTTGAAGAATTAAACGAAATAGCAACGCTTTTAGATAGACCGCTGTTAGCGTTTTCTTATAGCTGCTAAGCATCACAAGTCTACATATATCAGTTAATGAAAACATTGTTCACGCATCGTTGTAGATTTAGGCCGCGCCCCCAAAGACTATGGAATCCGATTACGGAACGTGTGATTTCAGCACTTTTACTTGCATATTTAAATACTTTCTACAAATATCATGATATTTTTTCTCTCGGGAATTGACTTAATATACACTCTTCAAAAAAAGAAACACAAGGTAGTATGTAGTTCATTGAACCTGACTACACAGAAAATCCGGTATATAAATTGGATATATGTTATTGGAAAATGTTGGTGGCCTGATATTCGACAAACGGTGCGTCAAAACGCAGCCATTGTCGATTTGCAATGTCTTAAACGGCATTGTTTTCACACTTGTTCAAAACTGTCATGGAGGAAAACAGCAAAGCAAAATGCACGTGCAAGTTATGGCATTATAACTCGTGGTAGCGGCTATAAAAAGGCAAGCATAAGCCAATAATTTGTCATTCAATTGTCAACATTTTTCAAGTTCGAAAATGCCGAGATATGGCGCTGCCGATCGGAACATCGCAATATGACGTATCCAAAGAGGGGAATCGCAGTTTTCGGTTGCACGCCACTTCAACGTCCACCACAGCACCATTAGCCGCCTTTGTGACCGATACACACAGTTCAATTCCACTGCAGACCATCCGAGAACCAGCCGACCAAGAGTTACCACCCCTCGATAGGATCGCTACATTCGACTGTTCCACCTACGTCATCGCAATGCCACAGCTACGGAGACTGCAGGACGCATCCCTGGTTTGAGAAGGATATCGGACAAAACTGTTAGCAACCATCTTCGCGAGGCTGGAATCCGACCCAGAAGACCAGTTATCGTCCCTGTTTTGCAACAGATCCATCGACAGCGACGCTTGCGTTGGTGCCATACCTTACTCCCTTGGAGATCACCACGAGATCTGACTTCGTTGTGGTTCAGGGAAATTTGACAGCAAATTGCTACATGTATCAAATTCTTCAACCTCACCTTCTTCCAATCATTGACCGCCAGAGGGAGCTGTTTCAACAGGACAACACTTCACGGCACACAGCTCGTGTCACGGTAGACTACCTTATAATGCCAACATCAACGTCATGCCCTGGCCGTCGAGATCTCCGGATCTCAACCTAACCGAACACCTCTGGGATGAACTCGATCGACGTCACAACACGCCGCAGACACTCCCTCAACTGGCCATCGCGTTTCAAGCAGAATTGCGCAGAATTCCGCAGGACACTTATCCAGTCAGTGCCGAGGAGATGCTGAGCCGTGACTGCATGCCCGGGGCCACACGAGATACTGAGTTCAACGCAACCTTCTGGCCTTATGTGACATGACAATGAACAATTTTTAATGCCTTTGTACAACGACAACATGTGACTATCGAGATCCAAAATTTCATATTTGTATCTATGAAATTAAATTTAATATATCTTTATGAGGTACAATAAATTTACTTTCTTTTTGTTGAAGAGTGTATGTAGGACAATTGATATTCGCATAAAATCGCAATCATCTCTTCACTTTACCTGTGATCAGTGCAGCTCAAATAATTTATAAATATACGAACTTGTATGTTGCAACTTAACCCCGTCTTGTCACCGTGTACTAATATATAGTACACATAACCCTGTTTTGTCACCGTGTATATTGCAACTGAACCCTGTTTTGTCACCGTGTATATTGCAACTGAACCCTGTTTTGTCACCGTGTATATTGCAACTGAACCCTGTTTCGTCACCGTGTGTATTGCAACTGAACCCTGTTTTGTCACCGTGTACATTGCAACTGAGCCCTGTTTTGTCACTGTGTATATTGCAACTGAGCCATGTTTTGTCACCGTGTATATTGCAACTGAACCCTGTTTTGTCAACGTGTATATTGCAACTGAACCCTGTTTTATCACCGTGTATATTGCAACTGAGCCTTGTTTTGTCACTGTGTATATTGCAACTGAGCCATGTTTTGTCACCGTGTATATTGCAACTGAACCATGTTTTAAATCTCATAAAAATCCGAGTGCAATATAAGTGTTTTGTCTAATATACGAACCGAAAAACGAAACTTTAAACAACATTTATCAACATGTTTGTGTTTCAAACACTTGAAAAAGACATTCTTAAAAGCTTAACTTAGACTTAACCCTGTTTGGTTACCGTGTACTAGTATATTGTAGACTTAACCCTGTTTTGTTACCGTGTACTAGTATATTGTAGACGTAACCCTGTTTGGTTACCTTGCACCAGTATACTGTAGACGTAACCCTGTTTGGTTACCGTGTACTAGTATATTGTAGACGTAACCCTGTTTGGTTACCGTGTACTTGTATATTGTAGACTTAACCCTGTTTGGTTACCGTGTACTAGTATATTGTAGACTTAACCCTGTTTTGTTACCGTGTACTAGTATATTGTAGACGTAACCCTGTTTGGTTACCTTGTACCAGTATATTGTAGACGTAACCCTGTTTGGTTACCGTGTACTAGTATATTGTAGACGTAACCCTGTTTGGTTACCGTGTACTTGTATATTGTAGACTTAACCCTGTTTGGTTACCGTGTACTAATATATTGTAGACTTAACCCTGTTTGGTAACCGTGCATATTATAGACTTATTTTAACCCTGGTTTTTTTATCACGGGTACTATAAACGTGTGTAGGATATACCATTCACGTGTTATTACCTACCTATGTTGATGTTAATACGGCTGGATAGTCCAACTACATTCGGGGTGCATCTTGAAAATGCCCGCACCTGAGAACCAAAATGAAGCAGTGATCAGTTCCAGATGTACACGAAGGAGACCGCCTCCGTGGTCTACTGGATAGAGAGTCCTCCAGGACGATGGGCATACTAAAAGACGTTAAAAGATGGTACTTGGTAACCTGCCTGGCGCTCGGCATCAGACGGAATGCGTCTGTGTCTCAGTGGGCTAGCACTATAGGACCGGCATGGGATTAGTGGAGTTGGCATGGCACATCCATGTGCTAATACTTTACATTAGTCAAGACAAAGACAAACGCGCACGCAGGCACGCACGCACCCACGCTCGCACGTCCTTACACACGTGAATGTAAATCGTTAAATAAGTGCAATAATCTTGAAAGCGACGTTTGATCTCTTTCACCTCACGAATGAATTTTTTTCGGCTTAAAACTCCTTTCAATAAAGCTGACAATACATGCTAACCATCCCCGCACCTCTCCGTAGTTCAGTAGAGGAGCGTCTGCCCGGAGAGTGGACGGTCGGGGGTTCGATCCCCGGCCGCGTCATACCAAGAGCCTGGCGCTGGGCAATAAGGGACTAAAACTAGGTCTGGTCGGCTCGGAGTCAGTTTACTATGTCTGGGTGGGGTATTCATGTTAAACTGCGGCATGGTATCTCGATAGCACTAGACATTAGTTCGGACTAATACAAGCAGACACACACACGCACATACACACGCACGCACGCACGCACGCACGCACGGGCATGTACGTCGCTATATATGTACAATAATATTGAACGCTACGTTGAACCTCACCTCACCTCACCGTAAGAACCATCTAATTCACGGCATTTACTCACCTGGAACTGGAACTTACACCCCATGCCACCCTTTGGTATTCTGACATTCAGAATATTGGTATAATGGGTCTGAAATAAAGCGAAGTTTCTAAGATGTATTGGAGGTCAGGGAAAAGTTGTTCGGATATTGACATTCTTCTGCTGGTATTCCACTGCATTCAAACATGTTTTACCATTGAACTTTTGTTTCTACAACAGAGGAGCACGGGTGGCCAAGGCAACTAAACTCGCTGTGCAGAGTTGCGTCCCTTGGGCATTCTAGAAACCTATGATCGTGGGTTCAAATCCCGGTTCGCCACGAGTATATTTCTAGGTTTGTCAGTACTATTCCCGTGCTCGTGGGTTTCACCGAAGTGGTAAGTGTCTGAGACCTGCATCACTTTGGGCTTTCCTCCCACATTAGGCTGACACGCCGTGATATAACTGGAATACTGTTAAAAGCGGCGTTAAACCCAACCCACTCACTCTACAACAGACAAACAAACTGAATCACGGAAACTTGTAATTTACATCCCCACTTAACAATGATGTGCATTAGTTCTTTTAGTGCCGACTGAGAAACTACAATAACAGCTTTAGCCGTTCGAGCAAGACCATTGTACGATTGTGTTACAATTTATATACTTGTAGTGTATAAATACTGGTTGCGGAACATTTTTTTGACGAAACATGTCACTTGATGTTTAAAATATTAAATTATTGTTCACGACAGTGAGAGCAAGATACAAGTTTTGATAGACAGGCCCATCCTCGATTACCCAGTGTAGTATATCTCCCTTCTGTTATGGAAATACCCCGGATCTATTGGTGTGAGTCCGATTCAAATGGCCGGCCAATCAAATACACTTTACGAGCGATTGAAACTCTGTGCTATATTAGTGAAACTGGAAATACGAAGATGGTGACGTTTCTTCAGAAAGGAAGTTATGGCGGCGAATAGGGTCAAGTAGCATTTACCAAAACACCACCGTCAAATTCCGGTTACAAATGGTTTTCAGCAACCCATGCTTGTGGTAAGAGGCGACTGACGGGGTCGGCAACCCATGCCTATTTTGTTCATCTTCCCGAGGCAAGAGAGTTAACTGACTTTAAAAGTCCAGTTTCCACCCTTGCCGAACTGGGCTGGAATTACTGGGCTAGATCGTAGCGCCACCAGTGGCTTTTACCAGTTATGTCCCTTCTAAGCCTCCCCTATGGACCAATCAGATTCCACCCCTCGTATCACTTGCGTTTGCTTCACACAAAATGGTGGCGCCCAGTCAGGACGATCTGATCGGTAATCAAGGTCTATATTGTGTTAAAATAGGTCTTACATTGCGAAATGTATCAAATCACATGAGCATCTTGATTAAAAACATGAAAAGATTCGGAAAATATCTGCTGACAACGAGTTGGCGGTGCACATGTTTTTCAAATCCTGCAATCGACCGAAATCTGCACGACGGTTTACGAACCGGATTTCGATTTCGTTGCGCGATTTTGATTGGATTGTGCATAGACTCCAGCCAAAATGTAACTCCATAATACCAGCCTAGTTCGGCAAGGGTGGAAACTGGACTTTTATAGTCAGTTAACCCTCTTGCCTCGGGAAGATGACTTTGCTTGTCGTTAGAGACGACCAAGGGTATCGGGTGGTCAGACTTGGTTACTTGGTTCATGCACACCATTGTATCCCAAATGATCGATGCTCATGACATCAGTCACTGGATTGTCTGGTCCAGAATGGAAAGTTTACCGCCATCATATATATGGAATATTGCCGAATGCGGCGTTAACTAACAAACAAATAAACAAGTTATCATAATAGTTATTTGGTGAGTGAGTGAGTATGGTTTTACGCCGCTTTTAGCAATATTAGAGCAATATCACGGCGGAGGACACCTGAAATTGGCTTGACATATTGTACCCATGTGGGGAATCGAACCTTGGTCTTCGGAGTGACGAGCGAGCACTTTAGCCACCAGGCTACCCCGCCGCCCCTTATCATAATAGAATGGAGGTACAATAATCGTGGGCAGCTACACCCACCGAGTTTTGGGAGTCGAAGTAGACAGGCACACTTTGACCGCTGTCACTGTTCGAGCAGGGCTGGTCAAGGTTTTCCGTCCAACTGTAGGTGATGATTTCACTTCTTTTCCAGCCTGAAAGAGGTCACTGGCATTAGCATGCGTCATTACAGTGGAGGACTGACAAAGCTGCATATACGAAAGTTTGAATTGATTGCAACATCGAAAGCTAACATTTTGGTGCGTGCGTGCGTGCGTATGGCTGCTTGTACTATTCCGGACTAATGCCGATTTTATAGTGCTGACCCACTGAGATACCATGCCGCAATTTAACATCCATCTCAGACACAGTATGAGGACTCCGAGCCGACCAGTCCTTGTTTAGCCCCTTAATGCCGGGCGCCAGGCAGGGGAATAACATGTACCATCTTTTAATGTCTTTTTGGTATGACTGTGATTGAACCACCGACCTCCCGCTCTCCGAACAGACCTCGGAGGCCGTCGTTGTACTATATGCTCTGTGTGTTATAGAAACTGTACTATGTCTTTGTGATGATATCTTGTGTGCTGCAAGATTAGTCGCAATAAACAGTTCAAGTAATCAATTATAATAGCTTGAAGGTACCGTATCAAACAAAGTAGTTCTGCATGACATGTTTCCATTTTAGATGAAAATCTCGCACAATTACCACTGATGTTGTTTTAAACACTGCGGCCCTTGACCATTATAATGACGGCACGCTATTGTTGTTCCAGTTGATTCTGAACCATGTACTCACAGCCCCATCTGACCGTGTATTTTAAGAAATGAAACTGACGCAACTATAGCTAATGATGCAAAATTATAGAGAAATTTTATATCAACCAAGTCAGAGAAATCATTCGAATCTATTGATTCCGGAAGTAGAATCAACGCGCCCCGAGTCAACTTCCGGAATCCACAGATTCTCATTTCTCAGTCAGCGATTGGTCGATTGATGGTGAAGTGATGTCACGTTGGTGTCATGACAAATGCCAGTCCAAGGGAATACAACTGGAGCAATGGCATCGTGCAACATGCCTATTACCCAGCATGCTTCACAGAACGTCGTGTCTTACCTTCCGGTTCCTGCCAATATAGTTCGAACTTGATCTCCTCAGTCCTGGCATCGAAGACTAATGGGCTATGGGTGATGTTCCTTACCTCCACAGGCGCGATCGCTGTGGAATATACATGTAGTCATCTCAAGGTATAATGAGTGAGTGAGTTGTCATCCATGTCGTATTTAGTCTTATTTTTTAGGTCGAACCCGATCTTCAGATCAGTCAATTGAACCAGTACAGGATGATGTTAGGACAGGCCATTTCATAATCGGCTCGGATTACACAGGAACAGCTCATTTTCAGGACAGCTCCACCCAAAGGAAATTACATCGTCGGCCCTTCAGTGTTTTGTGCATACGAACCTCGTTGTGTCGAACTTTGATGTGTCGATGTTCGGTTGTCCCGAACTCATTTGGGAGTCCTAAATATCCAAATTAAGCGTAAAATTCCCCTGATGTCTCGAAACCCGGATAACTCGAAGGTTTTTCCAGGTCCCCATGAGTTCGACACAACGAGGTTCGATTGTATCTAAATCTGAATGTTTATATTGAATGCATATATGGAGAGGTAGATCATATACCTGGCGTTGTGATGGGATCACTAAACCATCGGGATCCGAACCTGGATACCGAGGCGACTCTGAACATTGGCCGTTCACAGACATCTGTTACCTCATTTACAAAGTAGGTGTCGCTGATTGTCTGAAACAGAGTACGTTCAGGAATTATTCACAACATTCAGGAGTTCCGAAAGGCGACGGCAACTGTTTCATTGCTACATCGAAGACACTTTGCATGAGGCACTGCAATTCGCGGTGCAGAGTTATGTCCCTTGGACATGCGAAAAACCTATCTGGGTGGGTTCGAATCCAAGATTTACTTGATTATTTGAGGGGTTATATAAATGGTAAATTATCAACTTCAGAGATTCTATAGGGATTCAAAGATTGCATATGCAAAGTTATATTGATTGTTTGTTGTTTAACGCAGCACTCCGAAATCCAGCAATAAACAGCATAGGCATCGATCCCCGCAATTGGGATACGTTGACACGCAGTCTACCAAGTCACAGAGCCTGACTACCTCGACTCTTACCACAAGAATGGGTTGCTGGGATCGTATATGAGTGAGTGAGTGAATATGGTTTTACGCCGCTTTTTAGCAATATTCCAGCAATATCACGGCGGGGCACACCAGAAATTGGCTTCACACATTGTACCCATGTCGGGAACCGAACCCGGGTCTTCGGCGTGACGAGCGAACGCTTTAACCACTAGGCTACCCGACCGCCCCTGGGATCGTATATGAAATCCGGGGTTTTATTTCAATTACATGATGTAGGAATTCAAGTTGTTACCTATTACATGTATATGAAATCAAGGAATATGAATATGGAAGCAAGTCAATGGATTTGAGATGCAGGTCAGTGTGTTAAATACATAGTTCAAGTTGAGTTAAAGTACCCATTGATTTCTTGGTGTCTATGCATACAATTCCATCCTGGAGATATTTACATAAACACGAATTCAACACTATCACAGTATCAACCCCAACTTGTCCGAAAACATCAAGCCATGTCACTCACCCACCCCACCCGTGAGGATCCGGGGTAGAATAGGTCTTCAGCAACCCATGCTTGCCGTAAGAGGCGAGTAAGAGGGATTGGGTGGTCAGACACGATGACGTGGTTGATGCATGTCATCGTATCCCAATTCCGTAGATCGATGCTTATATCAATCATTGGATTGTCTGGTTCAGACTCGATTATTTACAGACCGCGGTCATATAGCTAGGGATATTGATGAGTGCGGCGTTAAACAAGAAACAAACAAACAAAGACTCACCCAGCCCTGCGTGTACCAAGAGTTGCTCCTGAGCTTCTGGGGGTTCGGACTGGGGAGAGGGGGCACATTGAACAACATCTCGGGGTGGACAGCCAGATCCCACTGGACGATGTAGATGACCTTGTGCTGGGTTGTGGCGTCCAGTGTCCAGTGGAGCATGATGTCCCGGGTGACGGGGTCCCTAAGGATCTTCACGTCCGGCTTGGGAGGAAGGTACCCTGAAAAGGTATAGTTCTTCCCTCAAGCGTTTTCTCCCAAGGAATCAATGATCTTTGTATGTAGTTGGTCCAAAGGGGTCAATAATAATTGTATTCGTTTGGTACCATGGTGTCAATGGTAATTTAATCTGTTTGGTCCCAAGGAGTCAGTGATCATTGTATTCGTTTGGTACCCTGGTGTCAATGGTCAAAGTATGCGTTTGGTCCCAAGAAGTCAATGGTAATTGAATGCGTTTGGTCCCAAGGAGTCAATGATAATTGAATCTGTTTGGTCCCAAGGAGTCAATGATCATTGTATTCGTTTGACCAAAGTGTCAATGGTCAAAGTATGCGTTTGATCCCAAGAAGGCAATGGTAATTGAATGCGTTTGGTCCCAAGGAGTCAATGGTACTGTTTTACCTGACATTTGTTTTTGCCGGTCTTATTTGTGTCACTTTAAAATCCCTGTTACTTCTTTATAATTTAGGGGGATTTGAATTTGGAGCAACGACCTTATTGTTTGGGGGAAAGAACACCCGTAACCCAGGCGAATACAAATGGCCTTATCTCAGACACCAGTCCGTGGTATTATCTTACGTGACTACTGCCATAGGTGCAGTACCGTGTTTAAGGCTAAATACTACTCCACAAATCAAGCTAAGTGTCTGAATGCTGAAGCCATCTGAAATCATATCTTGTGCAGCAGGGCCTAAGTAATGCTGCAATGCAATCAATGCCTCGGCCCCGCGCCACAAAACAGTCTTCTTCTTCGTTCGACCACTGTCGTAAATATATGGTGTACCAGTGGGGCTAAGGAAAGGGCCCATGACCTACATTTAGGCGAAGATGCAATGTACCCTACGTAAAATGATCTGGAAAAAACACTTTTCATTTAACACCACAATGTAAAGAAAACTTACGGCAGTTGTACTGATATCTCTTCGGGAAAGAGATCCATGCTATACAACGCCATCGCCTGGATCTACTCACAAGAACTCATGTTGAGAAGACAAGACACTATTGTCTGTCCGTCGCTGAATGCCGCTTGTTCCATTCCCTGACCGCTTGACACCAATGTTAAAAGATGGTACTTGTTGTTAACATGCCTTGCATTCGGCATTAGGGAATAAATCAAGGACTGGCGGCCCGGAGTCAGTGTCAGACCTTTTTGAGCGAGCATATTCACTGCGGCATGGTATCTCATGGGTTAGCACTATAATACCGGTATGAATCCGGATTAGTACAAGATGTCACGCACACGTGGCACGTCGCTATATAACTCACCCCACAAGACACACACACCCCTCCCCCACACACACCCAATGTATGTCATCGTATGCCAATTGAGTTAAATCAATGCTGATGATGTCAATCACTGGAGTGTTTGGTCCAGACTCGATTATTTACAAGCAGCCCTCATATAGATGGAAAATTGCTGAAAGTGACGTTAAGCAACAAAAAAAAAACAATAACAAGACATCATTGCTATAATGCAGCAGTTACCTACCGCCTTGACTGATGTTCTTGAGCACGGAGCAGTACCCAGCTCCTCTACAGTCGCCGCCGTCCTGCAATGGATACAGAGGAGGGTAGGCCAGATTGTGTACACGACTTCCAAACACCAAACAACGTTGTGTGTGCAATTTCCAGATCGAATTAAGAATAAATACTGATGTGTACTCACTGTGCAGTTGAATACCCATTGCCTCTGTGTACTTGGTCTGCAAAGGTCTTCGCATTTATCCTGAATAACACATGTACACGATGTAATTGGGGCAACACATTTCCCGCAGGTCTTTCTCCATCTACATATTTAAATTTATACAGTATAAACTGTAAAGTGCAATCTTTGGAAGACTCGAACTCCGTTAATTCGATTTATCATGAAAGTCGATGTGACATTTTAGTCTCGGCTGAATCCCTTTTGGCTCTATGATATAATATCGACACTTCGCCTGTCTCGAACAACGGAGAACACGATGTATTTAAGATGATCCCGAGGACTTGAGTTAACGAGATTTCAATGTACATCCAATAGTACAATGTAGTATCCATGGGTTCATGAACCATGGTTTGTATCAATTAGGCATAGCCAAAGCGACCATGCTTGTCGTAAGAGACGGGATCGGGGGGTCAGGCTCGCTGACGTTGTTGATGCATGTCATCATATCCCAAGTGCGTAGATCGATGATCATGCTATAAATCATTGGATTGTCTGGTCCAGACTCGATTATTTACAGACCGCCGTCATATAGCTGGAACATTGCTGAGTGCGGCGTTAAACAACAAACAAACAAACAAACAGACAAGGTCAATAAACCTGAGATGATGTGATTGACCGAAATACTCATCATTCGATTATTATATGTGCCTACCACTAGGTCCGGTTGCTCCTGACACAGGGCCTCGCACTGGGCATCACAGACTCCTTTAACGGAAGACAGCTCTCCCTGCCGGAGAAACACACTGGTGAGGTCACATAGGGTCAACCACAACGTCAACAACGTTACAATACAATGAATAGCGTTCTTCATGTCGTAGAGAGCAGGGAGAATTCTACATGTGGCTTTGTGGGATACGTCAACGTGATTATCTCTACTTCCACTGCCCACTCAGAACATGAAGTCAGATGACACACGCATTGGAACATTCTTATCAAGGGAGTCCATCTCTACTGTTCTCATGGAAACGCCTGGCATCACATCTCGGACGTACAGGAAAACAGTGTTAACATAGCACTCCTCAAAATGTCTGAATTGAGTTGAAGCGATGTATCCGGTAACAAAATGTTTAATGGCGACAATGAAAGACCAAATGTTTCGACAAGATAATATGCCATACGAGTGTTCCCATATCCAATACACCTGTTAGTTGACACCGATAACACAGAAACCTTGATCTGCTAGTGTAAATATTGGTTTGTTGAAGTATGGTAGATAAGATTAAAGTCAACGTTGCTCTGACGAGTTAAAATAGTTCGTGTCTCCTTTGTGTTTATACAGTTGAATGATGTAATAATCTAAATGTACAGAAAACTCGAATAAATACAACCACAGAGTCATCGTTTAGTTTCTGTATGAAATGTAACCGCTATAAAAATAGAAAATGATTACGATTTTTTTGTTAATTTGTCCTTTTTTATAAAGGTAGTAGAGAAAATTTAATTCCAAAATGTTACCATGTGCAACCATCTGTTCAAAAATGCATCAGTCTTCTATCTACCAGAAATGATTCTGTTATTAAAAACCTGTCCATATATTTAAAAAGACATTTACCTATGTAAATACAAATGTAAAAAATATTAACGTTTGTTTTAAGAAAATTTGTACATGTGTATAGCATATATTATTCCTGTAAATGAACTCTGGGCCATGTGGCCTTCATTCATGAATAAACTTCTTCTATTGTGTCTATTGATGTAATAGCCATTTTTTTTTAAATTAAGCGGCATTTAGAAAATATAGTATCAATGAAGGTACGATTGACGTATGGATTACAATTTTAAACGTTTTAGTTATAAAACAAGCGATAACAAATGGGATGTATTGATCACTTGCTTGATAAAGCTGGGAGTAGTTAGTATTTTGAAGGGCCCGCAGTATAACAGCCTTCTGGTTACCCCATCAATACCCCGACAGTCTTTACATGATCGAATCTGGATCAGACAATCCAGTGATTAATATTGTGAGCAACGTCGTCGGGGCGCGGGGGCATACAATCAACCAAGTCAAAGAACCTGACCATCGCATCCAGTCAGTCGCCTCATACAAGCATTTGGAGCTTCGGGAAGTTAATGTCCCGCAATCCCCAAGTCGTACTAATTCACAGAGTGTCACTACATTAATGGCGTGAAATAGTAAGGAGATGGCGACAGGTGAACTTTCTGAACAGCAATCAGAATCTCGGGCTCTCAATTCCTGGTACGTGCGAGCGAAGCATTCAGAACGGCTATCTGATGTTTGTATCTCGAAAACGAACATAAACGTGCAGTTTCAAATGGAAATAATAATGGCCGTGCTGTTCTATTGTGGTGGGTATCTTATACATGCAGTTGTTTCTTACCTCAATGGCATCTAAACCCAAAAGAGAGTACAGTGTAAGGATTAGTTGTGGTCGGTATTGGTTTTGCTTTCTTAATATCCAAACTACAGAACCGAGGTGGTAAGGGACTGGTCATTTATTTTAATGAAGGGATGGTTTTGGGGTGGGGTGCGGGTGGTGGCGAAAGATTACGGGACACAGCGAAAGGACGGGGGCGCTAAAATCACAACAGGCCATATATAATAGGGAGGTGGGAGGGGCATGAAAAAATACTATATATGAGTGTAGGGGGTGGGGGGTGGGATGCATGAATAAGTGTTGCATAAAATGAGAGGGTCGGCAAAATATTATACAGTCCTAAGACCAATCACACACAACCACATGCCACCACCATCATCACCCCAAACCCCGACATCCGGTTGGTCAAGAACTTGTGCACCCTTCATTTACATTGGGCGGTTTAAGTTAGCCAGAGTTCGATCACCTGACGCGACCCCCTATTGAGAATTGGTTACATCTTCACACACACAGACATTTGGCCGGATTAAACACATTATTTAAATGAGAGTGGAAACAAAGTCTGAGTGAAACCGATGGACAGCCACAGTCTACCTCACCGCAACAGAAATGTCACATTTGCGTATCTAATTTCATGTCAGTGTTTTGACGTTGGCGTACTAGCTGTATCATTGCCAAAAAAACGGTGTCGGGCCGGGAAGTCGAAAATCTATTTACCAGTAGTACCGGAAAGGCGAATGGAGGGGTAAGGGACTGAGGACCGGGAAAGCGAATGAAAAGATCAGTGATGTGTACCCTCGTTATGTATACAACGGACACTTATACATCGAGGACACTGGGGTGTTGTGAGACGGAAAAGTGCAGAAAGAGATAAAAAAGAATTATCTTCACTACTGACAAGAACCTAGAACTGTTGTGTGAAGCAGACATTGTGTATGCAGATGGCACTTTCTCGTCTTCTCCGAAGCTGTTCGACCAAGTGTACACCATTCATGCTGAGTTTCAAGAGCATATGTTCCCTCTTGTATTCTGTCTTCTACCAAACAAGGCAGAGTGTACTTGCGTGAGAGCTTTTGAATACATCCAAGAGGCTGCACACAACTTAGGTTTTGACTGGACTCCCCGGGTGTTTCAGCTAGACTTTGAGCGCGCTGCCCACAACGCCGTTCAATCTGTGTTCGCAACTACACATACTAGAGGCTGCTTCTTTCACTTTACCCAGTGTATGTGGCGACGCGTACAGAAGGAAGGACTGGCAACAGAATACCCCAGCGTTGAAGAAGTGAAGAAGGTTGTAAGACGAGCTTCTGCCCTTCCCTTGGTGCCACTAGACATGGTTGAAGACGTGTGGGCTGATGCGATTGCAGACAGGCCTCAAGGCGTCAAGGTGACGCGCTTCATGGACTATGTTACCACTACATGGGTAGAAGGATCTTGGAGCAAGGACCTGTGGAATCACTTCGGAAACCAGGGACGCAGAACAAACAACAACCTTGAAGGATGGCATCATCACCTGAACAAGAGCGCCCAGAAGACTCACCCTAACATCTTCGAGGTAGTGAATCTTCTGAAACGTGAACAATCTCTAACAGAAGTGAGGGTTGAGCAGCTAGGCGCTCACCCAAGAGCACCTGCTCGGGAGAGAAAATACCGAGTGATTGACTCTAGACTCCGTGCCTTGAAAGAAGATCTGTTGAACCAATTGACGACAACAATGGACTACACTGACGATGTGGCAGATCTACTGCACTGGGAATGAACTGAATTATTACATAAATGATAAAATGTATGTCTATATATATCTTCAAATACATGCATGATATATGATATGTTATACTATACTTGTTATATATTGACTTTGTTGCCCAGATTAAATAGTGTCCTCATTTCATTGGTGTTTTCTTTGTAATTAACAAGTACCGGGAAGGCGATCATCTGCCATAATAAGAATTGTTGTGATGACCGGGAAGGCGAACGTAATTTCTAACTCTGAGGGATTGATTTTCGCCTTCCCGGCCCACAACCAAATAAACATCATGGGGTCAGATTCCCTATGAAAATGTTCTCATGTATCATGCTGTGAATTTCTATAAGCGCACAACTCAAAATTACTTATTTTTTCTCTGAAAATTTAATGTTTGATTTTCGAGAAAAAATAATAATTAATATTTAACCCATGTCAATTTGTGTAGTGAAATGTCAGGTTATTACCATTGCCTGTTAGAATCTAGATCTAGAGATGCATAGCAGTTCGAGAGCGAAAGTAAATTTGAGGGGTGACCTAAATATGACGTACATTGTAATTAGTCAAATCTTCATAATGATTTAGTCCACCAACAATAATGAGAGTTTTGTTTCACGTACAATTAATGCTCCCATGTTATTGTGCTGCAATGATATCTCCCGGCTGCTGCGAGCACTTCCGGGATTGATACGATGGCCGATTTGAACGCCAAGTATCAGAAATTGGCAGCCGAATACTCCAAGGTTTGTTAATCATCTTCTTTCAGTATGTTCCAGATCATGCGAGGAAGAGTTGTTCCCTATAATGAATGCCAGTGGATAAATGTTAATAGTTACATTATTGAAATACGGTCGGTGAAAGTGGGTCGGCGAGTGGCACACGCCCCCGATCATCTGATGTGATTGTTTACAACTGACACGATCTCGAAATAAGAAACTACTGTTACCTGCATCCTAACTCTGTCACAATATAAACATAATATAATAAATAGAACACGATGGATATGTCATCAGGTCAGTAATGTCACAGTATCATTATATTGAAGGACATAATTATCGTCCTGAACCAAGTGTATGTTAGGAGATGCTTGGATGTCACGATCACTTGGCCAAGTCTAGTGTAGTCCTAAACTGTGCAAGTAATGCCCTATATGTAACTGACTGGTGTTTCTAGCATTAGAAACTAACAAATCCACTAGTCCTTATAATAATAACATATAGCAAAATCCATAAAAATGGCAAATTTCTACTGGTCCTTATGATACCTTAAGTATTGGGCAATTTGGCAAGGACTACAGGACATAAGTTTCAGACTCGCAACATCATTTATAAGATGAGTATGGTTAATAGATGGGTTTTTTGGCAAGTCTCCAGGATGTAAAGTAATATATTGTATCCCGTGTTATGGCTTTTTGGACGCTTAACATTTCTTTTGTAATTTTCTTGTTAATTACAAGAGCAACTGTAAGGCATCGCACTCATTTATAAGAGACAACTTTATCGTAAAAACAGGTTATCATATGAGTATTTACAATGTCTGTGTGATGCCACACCCCTTGTTGTAGCGCGAGTATTCGCGAAAACCATGGGCGTCCGAAAATGTATGAAGGCCGAAAACCTATGATCCGACGATACTCTAAACCTGCATGAGTATACAATATTCATACTAACAGTAACACTGATGCTCTTTTCAAGGACTGATCATCATAAGTGACATAACAAGCCTAAGCTGCCTTTATGTTTTTATTGTATTAAAAACTATTGCAAAGTCAAACATGCATTACATTGACAATGACCATTGAATCAATCTACTTACAGCTCAAATCCCAGTATCCAGTTCTGAAGAAGGCATACATTGATGAACAAGCAGAAAGTGAAAAACTATCGGTATGCATGAAAATATAATCATCATGATCATTACCCATAAATCAATGTTTGGTTTGTACTAATGAACAACATGTTCAAAGGTGAGAGGGGCTTGGGTGGTCCAATAGTCTCAGGTGCTCTTTTTTCATTGCAGAGTTGCATCCCTTTGCCAGGATCATTCTGTCATATTGGTTGTGGGTTTGAATCCCAGGTTATGACCCTTGGTTTGTCAGCACCATTCCCATGCTCATGGTTCTGACCACAGTGATAGATATGACAAGGATTATTATGGAAAAGAACTTTTCTATTACACATAGTGACATACACAATGCAAAGACTCAGTGGGATAAATGTCTACAACATGTCATTTTGGGCTTTCCTTACACATTATAAAAGCTGACAAGCTGTTGAATAACTCAGTATTCCCACTGGCTTTTGAAACTGCCAGTCCTGGTGGACCCATCTACCATAATTTTTGTCAGTCCCAACTTTCAACAAATAAACAAATGTATGAAAATGACCTGATTTTAATTCTTTCAACATCATGTTCAGTGCAATGACGTCATCTCTGAAGTAACTTAGTTAGATCTACACATCATTCACACAAACTTCAGTCACAGTTTTATCTCTCTTTTTTTTATATATTAACACAAAGTCGCTACAAATTTGTATTTCACCTCGAAGCAAAGCAAAATGTTATTTCCTTGCACTAAAAATTGTCAAGGGGAAACCCTGATGGTAACAGACAATCTGACTTCGTTTGAAAAATATACTCATATGAATATCATCAATGTTTTGTTCAACAACAAAGATTTATAAGGTAATTTATATGCCAGTCACCTGAATTACCGGTCCAAACCTAAATTTACCAGTAAAATACTGGTAATTACCTGTTAACAGGAACTCTGTAACTGAAATACTGTTCTTAGCACTATTGAACTCACTGACTACAAGGGCCAAGCTTCGGTATCAAAACTATCATAATGTCTTATGAGTATAGTGATGATTATTGATATCAAATCATAAGTTAATTAATCAACAGATCAATTAATCTGCAAGATAAAATAACATTGGGCACAGAGTTCATCTAGATATAACATGAAGTGACCCGAGTTTTGAAATTATTGGCAGTGACTAGTTGATTGTTCCAGATCACATCCAATTATCTAGTGTATTAAGTCTCCATTTTATTACCGTACAATAAATACCCTGGACATCCTACAAAGCTTCATTTTGGAAATATTGTCACCATCTCTCTTATCACCAACTTTGTGCAGAATTTCAGAAAATTGAATGCACAATGATCCATTGACCTCACAGGTGGGTCATGAGGGTCTGACACCCCCTTTGTAAACTTAATGTAGTATGTTGTAGGCAGGAAAATTTACCGTGATAGGATTTTGATATTTTGGACCCCTCCCTTGAACCGCGGTCATAATAATGTTACCTTTGAAAATGCCACTGTGTTGTGTGGAAATGCAGCACAATATAAATGGCATTATTATCATTGTTGTTTTGTTATCATTATTGTTGTTGTTTATTGTTTGTGTTGTTATTATTAGTCAACAGCTAATCAAAGTGACATAAGTTCAGAATAAATCATAGAGAAGCATAATAAGTAAAGGAGTTTACATGTATAAAGAGTCCCAAGTTTAATGAACTTTTGGCTGGGAAAGATGTATAAGAGGATGGATCATTATGCTACCCTGTTGTGTTTGATATGTTTAAGATGGTACTCAACAATAAAAGCTGAATTTAGTGGTATGGCCGCTTGTTACAATCATGAACAACACCTTTCGAGGACATCTATTTTAACATTGTGTCCTCTAGTCTTGACACAAAGTAAGTTATTGTTGCCGATGGTTCCGATGTCTACCACTCAACATTTGCTAAGGACCACACCTTTGACTACTGATGGTAGGTCCTTAGCAAATGTTGAGCAGTATATTTATCATGCTATAGAGATATGCTACAGGTCACAAATAATTTGTCTTTCGTTGCAGCTGACTGTGAAGGAGAAGGACCAGTCCATTCGCAAACTAGAACAAGAGGTTGACAGTCTTGTTTTTCGTAACCAGCAACTGTCAAAACGGGTGCTATTTCTGCAAGAAGATTTGGAACAGATTGAGACATCCAAAAAGAAAAAAGTGACTATCTGTTATGAATTTATGTTTTTCCCATGTTTTATCATGAATAAGATAATTAGGGGACATGTTATAGGCTATTGATGTTAGATAAGCAAAGATGAACGTGTAGTTGTTTATTGTGTTTCATTTCAATACATTGTCAGAATGTACTAATGTGGATAAAGATGACACAATACACTTACATCAAATTTTGATATGAATTACTTTATGATATGTAATGACACATATTTTGTTACAGAAAAAAGGCATTACTTTTAGTTTGGACTTGATGAACAAAATTATTATTTTTTCAACATGACCATTTTGTACATGTTGTACTAGTAATTGTCTAGTAGTGAAGACAATATCTGATTAATTTGAATATTGAACCTAAAACACTGTAAAAGTTCATGAGTACTTGATTACAGACCGTATATGAATATTATGTAATAGTGACACCTGTGAAGATCCGGGTTAGAATAGGTCTTCAGCAACCCATACTTGTCACAAGAGGCAACTATGCTTGTCGTAAGAGGTGACAAACGGGATTGGGTGGCAAGGCTCGCTGACTTGGTTGATACATGTCGTTGTATCGCAGTTGCATAGTTCAATGGCCATGATATCAATTACTGGATTGTCTGGTACGGACTGCCGTCATATAGCTGGAATATTGCTAAGTGCGGCATTAAACACCAAACAAACAAAAGTAATAATTAAGAATTGTGAATTTGATTTATTTTTGGAAAAATAATGGTTTGGTACTCAGCAAACATAGCAGGTATCATATCCCCTAGTTCTGTGTTTTGGTATTTGTTTCATCATTTCTTGTACACTCTATCATTGTTTTTAGGGGTAGTCAAATTTAGCCTGGAGCAATGCCAAAGCCCATGATGGCTAAACAATGTGTGTGCTGAGCACAAAGTTCACTGACATTGTGCCAAGCATGCGTGACACTGACAAATATGTCTCTGCGCATATTTGATAGTTTGATATTGATATCAGAAACATTAAGAAAGCCTGTTAGACTTGATGTCTATCTATGAAGCTGATTTTCTCTGAAGGGAAAGAGCAATGATGCGGTGAGCACATCTGATGGCGTGAGAGGAACTAGTGTGTTGAGCGAGGAGCTGCATAGTAAGATAGAGGAGAATGCTCGGCTTCATAAACAGGTTAGTTAATTGATATGCAGTGATTTATCTTGACCTGCTCAGAGGCAGATATGTAGCCCCAAGTCTGCAGGAAGTGTCAGTAAAATTTCCCAAATTAAAAATTATGAAGTTATTGTTCATGTTTAAACATGCACTGTATAGTTACGAATGTTTAACCTATGAAGATCTGTGTTAGAATTGATCTTCAGCAACCCATGCTTGTCGTAAGAGGCGAGTAACAGAATCAGGTGGTCAGGCTCGCTAACTTTGTTGATGCATGTCATTGCTAACTTGTGAAGATCTGGGTTAGAATTGATCTTCAGCAACCCATGCTTGTCGTAAGAGGCGAGTAACAGAATCAGGTGGTCAGGCTCGCTAACTTTGTTGATGCATGTCATTGCTAACTTGTGAAGATCTGGGTTAGAATTGCTCATCAGCAACCCATGCTTGTCGTAAGAGGCGAGTAACAGAATCAGGTGGTCAGGCTCGCTAACTTTGCTGAAGCATGTCATTGCTAACTTGTGAAGATCTGGGTTAGAATTGCTCATCAGCAACCCATGCTTGTCGTAAGAGGCGAGTAACAGAATCAGGTGGTCAGGCTCGCTAACTTTGTTAATGCATGTCATTGCTAACTTGTTAAGATCTGGGTTAGAATTGCTCATCAGCAACCCATGCTTGTCGTAAGAGGCGAGTAACAGAATCAGGTGGTAAGGCTCGCTAACTTTGTTGATGCATGTCATTGCTAACTTGTGGAGATCCGTGTTAGAATTGCTCATCAGCAACCCATGCTTGTCGTAAGAGGCGAGTAACAGAATCGGGTGGTCAGGCTCGCTAACTTTGTTGATGCATGTCATTGCTAACTTGTGAAGATCCGTGTTAGAATTGCTCATCAGCAACCCATGCTTGTCGTAAGAGGCGAGTAACAGAATCAGGTGGTAAGGCTCGCTAACTTTGTTGATGCATGTCATTGCTAACTTGTGGAGATCCGTGTTAGAATTGCTCATCAGCAACCCATGCTTGTCGTAAGAGGCGAGTAACAGAATCGGGTGGTCAGGCTCGCTAACTTTGTTGATGCATGTCATTGCTAACTTGTGAAGATCCGTGTTAGAATTGCTCATCAGCAACCCATGCTTGTCGTAAGAGGCGAGTAACAGAATCAGGTGGTAAGGCTCGCTAACTTTGTTGATGCATGTCATTGCTAACTTGTGGAGATCCGTGTTAGAATTGCTCATCAGCAACCCATGCTTGTCGTAAGAGGCGAGTAACAGAATCGGGTGGTCAGGCTCGCTAACTTTGTTGATGCATGTCATTGCTAACTTGTGAAGATCCGTGTTAGAATTGCTCATCAGCAACCCATGCTTGTCGTAAGAGGCGAGTAACAGAATCAGGTAGTCAGGCTCGCTAACTTTGTTGATGCATGTCATTGCTAACTTGTGAAGATCCGTGTTAGAATTGCTCATCAGCAACCCATGCTTGTCGTAAGAGGCGAGTAACGGAATCGGGTGGTCAGGCTCGCTAACTTTGTTGATGCATGTCATTGCTAACTTGTGAAGATCTGGGTTAGAATTGCTCATCAGCAACCCATGCTTGTCGTAAGAGGCTAGTAACAGAATCAGGTGGTAAGGCTCGCTAACTTTGTTGATGCATGTCATTGCTAACTTGTGAAGATCTGGGTTAGAATTGCTCATCAGCAACCCATGCTTGTCGTAAGAGGCTAGTAACAGAATCAGGTGGTCAGGCTCGCTAACTTTGTTGATGCATGTCATTGCTAACTTGTGAAGATCTGGGTTAGAATTGCTCATCAGCAACCCATGCTTGTCGTAAGAGGCTAGTAACAGAATCAGGTGGTAAGGCTCGCTAACTTTGTTGATGCATGTCATTGCTAACTTGTGAAGATCTGGGTTAGAATTGCTCATCAGCAACCCATGCTTGTCATAAGAGGCGAGTAACGGAATCGGGTGGTCAGGCTCGCTGACTTGGTTGATGCGTGTCATCGTTTCCAAATTGTGTGGATCGATGTTCATGATGTTGATCTATGGATTGTCTGTCCAGACTCGATTATTTACAGACCTTCATCATATAGGTAGAAAATTGCTGAGAGTGGCCTGAAACAACACACAAACAATATGACTACTGTGCTGGCTTTGCAGAGATGACTTGGGTTTCACTGATAACAGGGCCTATAAAAAGGGAGAGGAAGGGGCCTTCACAGACCTTTAGTCATTTAGATAAAATATTCATAACTAGTACTAGATGTAGTTTTGAAAAAGACCCATCCAACTGTTGACAGTGTATTGTTTACTTCCTCAGTCTGATTACGATCACGCTTTAGGACACTCTCTCTGGTTGCTTGATCAGAGTTCCACATATCCAATTGTGTAACAAATTGTAAAAAGTGACGGCAGATCACACTGGCAGCTCAAAACATATGATTTTCATTTGGTTACATGCACAGCATAGCAATGGATGACTTCATGAATCACAGTGGGAAAAAAAATCAAAACTGGTTCATCAATGTCAAAACTAAAATTGTGGGTGTTAAACATGCTAAAAGACCAAATTTGTGATAAAAACACCATTTTTGGTCAATAATCTGGAAAAGTATGCTTTGTTTCCAGACAAGAGAATCTTTACTATTCACTTGTCCAGGAACAAGTTCACAATTTGGTGGTGTTTCCACTATCTGGTAAATATACTGAGAGGCACAAATAACGCATACTCAAATTTAAGTGTAAATAATTTTTTACTGAAATGAAATATACAAATGACAATCAATACAAATGACTAATTAAAGATTACGCTGATGAATTTCATGAACAGTTACTGTGTGACAAAGAATTAATGTCTATGAAAATGACGTCAAAGGCGAGTGGTGTCAATAACAAGTGTGTCCTCCTTGTGCAGCAATGCATGCTTGAAGCCGGCGAGGCATTGAGAGACACAGTCGACAAATTGCAGCCTGAGGAATACGTCTCCAATGATGCAGAAGAGCTTGAGTCAGTTGTGGAACCGTCTGTGGAGGATTTTGTTGACGTCGGACACGGCGGCCAAGTTCATCCCACAAATGTTCTATAGGGTTCAAATCTGGGGACCTTGAAGGCCAGTCCAACACATTAATGTTGTTCTGTTGCAAGAAGGCATTTGTTATCCTGGCAGTGTAAGGGCCTTGCATTGTCATGTTGAAAGACATGGCGACGTAAACCACATTCAATAACACATGGTTGTGTAAATCGTTCATGTTGGCGTTGGTATACACGTAAACGTCCATCAGGGTAGCTGACTGTGAAACGTGATTCATCAGAAAAAACAACTTGTCTCCAATCTCTACCACCCAGATTACCTCCCCATCTCTGCCGTGCTAACCTGTGTGCATGAGTCAAGATTTGTCCACGGTAGGGTCGTCGACACCTCAAATTCCTGGCAGCAAGACGACGACGCACTGTACGGTCACTGATGTGTCTTCCACGGAGACCAATAGTTGCATTTGCCGTTGACCTGGCAGACGTAAAGCGATTTCTGAGGTGGCTGTTAACGATTTGACGATCTTGTCTCTGTGACGTCACAGGCGGTGCACCTGGTCGAGGACGGTCCCTTACGCTGCCTGTGGTTCTCAACCGCTCATGTAATCTCGATATTGTCGTTTGATGGCAATGGAAATGAGCAGCAACTTGTTCTTGGGTATGACCAGCATTTAACATCCCCATTGCTTCATTGCGCTGATCTTGCGTTAACCGTGGCATTGTGTAGGCAAGTTATGGCAAAATGTCATGGTGTGCATTTATAGGGCCTACCTTTGAGGTTTGCACGTGCATCATGCCTTTCACAAAATGTGCATCGATAGCAGCATTCCCAGTGGTGTGTTGCGTTTTGGTGATTGGCTTCGTTTCCAGAAACCATTTTTTGTTTTGTTTACAGTAATAACCAACAATGGACAGTGTCAACAAGGTAAAATGTAAACGGACCTCATATGTTCTTAAAAAATTATATCTTAAAATTGAGTATGTGTTTCTAATGCCTCTCAGGATATTTGGGATATGTTGCTTTGTCTACGCATTACAGAGTCTATGACAAAATATGAATTTCATTTGTGATGGCTTACAGTGAACTCATTATCTCGGAGTGCCAGTGTGTAAGAAAACAAATTGACATTACTGTGTTGGCAGATCCAGGGAGTGGTCTCAGTCATTATTTAATGTGTAAGTGGGACATGTTGGAGATAAGCTGTTTGTGATAACCTCACAATTGTCACATTACCGACATCCACTGTTATGTGTAGATGTTATGACTTGTCACTTTTCATATCATGTCCCATCTAGGCTTATATTTCGTGTGTATGTGTGTGTGTGTGCGTGTGTGCGTGTGTGCTCGCAATATTCCAGAAACTAGAGAGTAACCAAGAGAAGTTGACTGGACCATTATGGCTGGGGGGTACTGATGATGCAGCACTCGGCTTTTCTTCATCAGATAATCAACCAGTTGAATCAACTCTAAATTTAAATCTAAGCAAGCTATGTAATTGGGCAAAACACTGGTTAATTAAATACAACCCTCATAAAAGAGAAGCAGTTGTATTTAAAAGATGAATCAGACCTTATTTCTTTGTACTTTGATGAATGTAAAGTTAAGAATGTTCAATGTCATAAACATTTGGGTATAACGTTTGCATGAAATGGAAAATAGTCTAGTTGTGTAGGTAATAAAATTAAATCTACATCAAAAATGATAAATTCAATAACAAAATTAAAATTCATATTGAACCGAAATATTGAACCGACAAGGGTGGAAACTGGACTTTTATAGTCAGTTAACACCCTTGCCTTGGGAAGGTGCATTTGGTCTCCTCTTACAACAATGAATAGGTTGCTAGGAATTTAGCACCCCTTCTGATTGATCAATGTACACAAGACCTATTTATTTGTGTATAATATGCACTCGTGTGTAATATGCACCCTCAATTATGGGCAATTAAATTCTGGAAAAATATATCTGTCATATATAAACATTTCAGGCTGTCAGCATAAACCACGAAATCTATCTTTCAACTCTGTTTTTTGCACCAAAATGATGTTCTAATAAGAGCCCCCTATTTCTAATTTTGAGAGCATCCTGGGCGCTTATTACGTCGAATACGGTAATTATCATTCCTAGCCTGAACTGATCTGGCAGCGTTCCCGTGATTTTTTTTGATTTTTTTCAAGGATTGTGTTTCCATGTACACAGGTCATTTCTGTGTTTTGCACGGCATGTCTTCTACTTCCACAGCTGCATGAGGCCAACCATCAGTATCAGGGCAAGATCCAGGAGCTGGAGCACCGCCTGAACACACTGGAGCGGGAGAACAGTCAGCATGAGGAGGTCCTCAACGCAACCAGGCTGAAGAGCAAGACCCAGGTGGACAAACTCCAGGAGGAGAAGGCAATGCTGGAGGTGGGTGGGGGAGTAGGGAGCTGGATAGGGGAGTAGGGAGCTGGGTGGGGGAGTAGGGAGCTGTGTGGGGAAGTAGGGAGCGGGTGAGAGAGTAGGGAGGCGAGTGGGATACCTAGATGTGGATGGGGTAGCTGGGTGGGGGTGGTGGAGTGGGTGGGACAGTAAGATGTAGGTGGGGATGCTTGGAGTATGTACATAACATTTGTAATCTGAATCCTGAAGTAGATATTGATGAAGGAATGTTTGAGATTACACTCCATGTCACAGATCAACTGTGACATTATCCTATTTGATCCCTTCAGGTGAAGCTTCAGACTCTGGAGACAGAAATCAAGGAGTTCCGAGGACGTGCGGAGGGAGCGTAAGTAGGGCTGCAGACTGTATTTCAAGCCAAACATGCATGATAAACTACATAGGCTTCACAACCAGTCAGACACATGCCCAACCAGCTCAATAGTCTGTAAACATGGTTAATGCCAACCAAGTACACTCTAAACCAGACACATGCCCAACCAGCTCATAGGTCTGTTACTGCCAATCGAGTACACTCTAAACCAGACACATGTCCAACCAGCTCATTGGTCTATTACTGCCAACCGAGTACACTCTAAACCAGACACATGTCCAACCAGCTCAATAGTCTGTTAATGCCAACCAAGTACACTCTAAACCAGACACATGTCCAACCAGCTCAATGGTCTGTTACTGCCACCCGAGTGCACTCTAAACCAGACTCATGTCCAACAAGCTCAATAGTATGTTAATGCCAACCGAGTACACTCTAAACCAGACACATGCCCAACCAGCTCAATAGTATGTTAATGCAAACCGAGTACACTCTAAACCAGACACATATCCAACCAGCTCATTGGTCTGTTGAAACCAACCATGTACACTCTAAACCAGACACATGCCCAACCAGCTCAATAGTCTGTTACTGCCAACTGAGTACACTCTATACCAGACAGATATCCAACCAGCTCAATGGTCTGTTGAAACCAACCATGTGCACTCTAAACCAGACACATGCCCAACCAATTCAATAGTCTGTTAATGCCAACTGAGTACACTCTATACCAGACACATATCCAACCAGCTCAATAGTCTGTTGAAACCAACCAAGTACGCTCTAAACCAGACACATATCCAACCAGCTTATTGGTCTGTTACTGCCAACCGAGTGCACTCTAAACCAGACACATGTCCAACCAGCTCAATAGTCTGTTACTGACAACCAAGTACACTCTAAACCAGACACATATCCAACCAGCTCAATACTCTGTTGAAACCAACCGAGTACACTCTAAACCAGACACATGTCCAACCAGCTCAATAGTGGGACAGTTTTTACAAGGAAAAGTTTACCATGACTTGTGTTGCATGTCCGGCAAAACATTACTGGTGAAAATGTCCCTAAACCCTAACCCTAACCTTAACCCTTACCCTGATATATATAATCATCTGGACCTTAAATATGCAAGTTGATCTTTTCGAATCACTGAAAATTTGTTCTACCTGCATGCACACAAGTTCACTGAAAAGCTACGAGTACACTGGCAATGTTTGTTCTGGGTGAACTAATTCCATGTGGAACTGATTATCGTTGACACCTGCTGTACATGTGTTACAGGGAAGACAAGCTGGGAGCACTTCAGCAGCATCTCCAAGGCAAGCTGGATGTTGCCACCAGGATCATCACAGACAAACTGCCCTTCATTGACACCAGTATGTTCAATACACTCGCTCGTATTCAAGTGAAATACCAGGGACTGAAAATATGAATTATCTGTCACAGTCTGCAAAATACTATTGCCTGTCATGGTAACTGATAATGTGTTGGAACAGCTAGTCCATAACATGTTTTATTGTTCCGTTTTATTTGACTTATGTCCAAATTTCAACATATACTCATTAATTCTTTATCTGGATATAAGGGGCGGTGGGGTAGCCTAGTGGTTAAAGCATTCGCTCGTCATGCCGAAGTTGGGGGGGGGTCGATTCGTAACATGGGTACAATCTGTGAAGCCAATATCTTGTGTCCCCCACCATGATATTGCTGGAATATTGCTAAAAGGCAGTGTAAAACCATACTCACTCACTCTTTCATTTGGAGGGGCGGTCGGGTAGCCCAGTTGTTAAAGCGTTCACTTGTCATGCCGAAGACCCAGGTTCGATTCCTGACATGGGTACAATGTGTGAAACCCATTTCTGGTGTCCCCCACCGTGATATTTCTGGAATATTTCTTCAAACCCTACTCACTCACTCATTCATTTGGATGTAGTTGTTGAAAGGCTCTGTTCATGATAGTTCTGTAAATTGAAACCTACATTAAGACAGTGGTTTGAATGGACACCTGTGTGTTCACAGAAAACCGAGATCTAAACAGCCTCAATCTCCCAACACATGATCGAAAACATCAGCTACGAGCCCGGGAGCTGGTTGGCCAGGCTTCCAACCTCGTCGCTGAACTTGTGCAGGGCTTGTCCAACTTCTATACATACAGTGAACAGAGGTCCAAGATATACCCTGCTGATGGCGTGTCCGAACCCCTCAGTCAAATAAACTCTCAGGTATGTGGCATGTGTCTAGCATTCACCCAGTAAGGGTTCCTGGGCAGAATGGTTCCCAAATAACCTGAGTGGCTTAAATGACAATTGCATGCTTAGAATTTAGAACCTAGCTGATTATCTGCCATCAAATCTTGACAGTGTTGGTCATCACTGGTACTTCCCTGTTAGAAATCTTCAGCAACCTATGCTTGTGCAAAGAGGCAACTAACAGGAACTGGTGGTCAGGCTTGTTGAGTTGGATGATGTATGTCATCATATCCTTTTTGTGTAGATCGGTGCTCATGATATCAATCATTATTGTCTGGGCCAGACTCGATTATGTACAGACCGCTCTCATATACCTTGAATAGTGCTGAATGCGGCGTTTAACAACACACAAGCATCGCTCATACTGTCAGTCACTTGTTTGACTAACCCAGATTCTGTTATTTACAGCTTTATATTATTTGTGTAACATGAATATTGCTGGCTGTGGCATAAAACAGCATTCACTCATTCACATACATGAATTGTTGATTGGATTTTTATGAACGGAGAAATAAAATATTTACCAAGATTATATATGAACAAAATCTGCAAATTAATGCATATTATTTCAAGGTATTGACATTTGTAGGGCATGTTTGGAGGAGGGGGGGGGGGGGGAGTATCTTGAAACTACATTCTTTGAAACATGTAGGAGCTAAAATTAATGAAATAATGTGTGTTTTAAAGATTGTTTTGGTTCTGTTTTCAGTATTGTAAATACCTCCACGAAAACCTTGCCTACCTACGACCAGTGGAACAGTCTTTACAACATTTCTTTGAGACACTCAAAGAGGATGCCCTGACAACACTAGTAGGTGTTAAGTGTTACTGTGGAGTGTGAATGAAATAAGAAGATGAATTGATTTGTTACTACTACTTGTTTGTTTTTTAGTTTTTCTTTTTGTGAGAAAAAGGGATTGGACACTTGGAATGAATGTTATGCAACAACGTACCATGTTTTCTCCACATGGTTCAACTTTCATATCTGTCATTGACTAGTCATGTTCATTTAGCCATGAGCCGAGACTGGTCATGTTGTGTCTTCAGTTAGCCATGGACTGAGACTAGCCATGTTGTGTCTTCAGTTAGCCATGAGCTGATACTAGCCATGTTGTGTCTTCAGTTAGCAATGAGCTGAGACTGGTCATGTTGTGTCTTTAGTTAGCCATGAGCTGAGACTGGTCATGTTGTGCCTTCAGTTAGCCATGAGCTGAGACTGGTCATGTTGTGTCTTCAGTTAGCCATGAGCTGAGACTAGCCATGTTGTGGCTTCAGTTAGCCATGAGCTGAGACTGGTCATGTTGTGCCTTCAGTTAGCCATGAGCTGAGACTAGCCATGTTGTGTCTTCAGTCAGCCATGAGCTGAGACTAGCCATGTTGTGTCTTTATTTATCCATGAGCTGAGACTAGCCATGTTGTGTCTTCATTTAGCCATGAGCTGAGACTAGTCATGTTGTGTTTTCAGTCAGCCATGAGCTGAGACTGGTCATGTTGTGTCTTCAGTTAGCCATGAGCTGAGACTAGTCATGTTGTGTTTTCAGTCAGCCATGAGCTGAGACTGGTCATGTTGTGTCTTCAGTTAGCCATGGACTGAGACTAGCCATGTTGTGTCTTCAGTTAGCCATGAGCTGATACTAGCCATGTTGTGTCTTCAGTTAGCAATGAGCTGAGACTGGTCATGTTGTGTCTTTAGTTAGCCATGAGCTGAGACTGGTCATGTTGTGCCTTCAGTTAGCCATGAGCTGAGACTGGTCATGTTGTGTCTTCAGTTAGCCATGAGCTGAGACTAGCCATGTTGTGGCTTCAGTTAGCCATGAGCTGAGACTGGTCATGTTGTGCCTTCAGTTAGCCATGAGCTGAGACTAGCCATGTTGTGTCTTCAGTCAGCCATGAGCTGAGACTAGCCATGTTGTGTCTTTATTTATCCATGAGCTGAGACTAGCCATGTTGTGTCTTCATTTAGCCATGAGCTGAGACTAGTCATGTTGTGTTTTCAGTCAGCCATGAGCTGAGACTGGTCATGTTGTGTCTTCAGTTAGCCATGAGCTGAGACTAGTCATGTTGTGTTTTCAGTCAGCCATGAGCTGAGACTGGTCATGTTGTGTCTTCAGTTAGCCATGGACTGAGACTAGCCATGTTGTGTCTTCAGTTAGCCATGAGCTGATACTAGCCATGTTGTGTCTTCAGTTAGCAATGAGCTGAGACTGGTCATGTTGTGTCTTTAGTTAGCCATGAGCTGAGACTGGTCATGTTGTGCCTTCAGTTAGCCATGAGCTGAGACTGGTCATGTTGTGTCTTCAGTTAGCCATGAGCTGAGACTAGCCATGTTGTGGCTTCAGTTAGCCATGAGCTGAGACTGGTCATGTTGTGCCTTCAGTTAGCCATGAGCTGAGACTAGCCATGTTGTGTCTTCAGTCAGCCATGAGCTGAGACTAGCCATGTTGTGTCTTTATTTATCCATGAGCTGAGACTAGCCATGTTGTGTCTTCATTTAGCCATGAGCTGAGACTAGTCATGTTGTGTTTTCAGTCAGCCATGAGCTGAGACTGGTCATGTTGTGTCTTCAGTTAGCCATGAGCTGAGACTAGTCATGTTGTGTCTTCAGTTAGCCATGAGCTGAGACTAGTCATGTTGTGTTTTCAGTCAGCCATGAGCTGAGACTAGTCATGTTGTGTCTTCAGTTAGCCATGAGCTGAGACTAGTCATGTTGTGTTTTCAGTCAGCCATGAGCTGAGACTAGTCATGTTGTGTCTTCAGTTAGCCATGAGCTGAGACTAGTCATGTTGTGTTTTCAGTCAGCCATGAGCTGAGACTTGTCATGTTGTATCTTCAGTTATCCATGAGCTGAGACTAGCCATGTTGTATCTTCAGTTAGCAATGAGCTGACAAGCCATGTTGTGTTTCGAGAGATGAGCCTGACATGCTGTATCTATTTGCAGGAAACAGCCACAGACCTACAGGGATTTTCGAAAAGCTTTGTCACAATGGTGGCCTATATGAATAAACTGTTGCCTTATCAGTTATCAAGGTAGGTACTGCAGCCACATATATATGTCAGTGTGTTTTCAAAACTGGGAAACAGTATCTCCAACTATTACTGCCAATCATGAATTGTCTGAAACAGGCCATATTTTCAGCTATTCATTAATGTACTGTCACGATTAGTAGCTATGAATTCATGCATAAATGTATGACTTCTGAGCAGCAGCAGGGTTGCCTAGTGAGTGTAGCTTTGTCTTGTCATGTCAAAACCCCAGGTTTGAATCACATGGGGAAAACCAAGTCTTGGAGCCCTGTGCCAGATATGGTTGGGACATTGTTAAAAGAAGCATAAAACCCAACTCACCGACTGACTTTTTATGTCTGTATTTTGGATTCGGGGAAAGAGCTAGTCACAAACAACCCAGATTGTCTAAAGGTTAGATTTGGTTAGACTTTGTGACCTTGTTGATCATGTGTTATCGTTAACCAATGTCGATCTCCGTATGGCACCTGAAAATTGGGATCGGTAAACAAGACAGCACTTATTTTAATACCTCTCCCTATATAGGAATCGAGTAACAGAAGATAGTCAAGGTGTAAACATAATATTTTCACAAAAAATACCTTGCTGGTCAGTTTCTCATAATGTCAACCTCTAGTTTGTCTGGTCTAAACTTGATTATATACAGGCTGACTTGTTATAGAAAATTGCTGCCTAATAAACTCACAGACACATTTATGAGTGTATGTCTGTAGTTTAGTGATAAGTAAACAGGCTTAACTGGCTTATATAAATGTCGCTCCCTGTTACATTAGTGCATTTGTGTTGACATCAAAACTTAAAGGCTAATTATGTTGTGGTTGACTTCCCTTGTTAAATTCTTGTTACCATACAATACTGTTTTCAGATAAATACCCTTTATGTAGGGCTAAAAAAAAATAATAGTCTTGGTTCTCAGGCACTGCCCGCATCATCATAAAGTCTGTCGCATGTTTTGTTTATATTTCCACATTTTAATCCCATATAGCACACAGTTACTTCCCTTTGCTGCACATCTTGTGTTATGGTCATGGCGGCCATAGGAGTTTGTATGCTTGTGTATGTTGTTGTTCCCAGGTTGATGGTACACAACTGTCAATTTGATTATACAGTAAACTACGGTTATAATGAACATGCTTATAACGAACTGACAGATATAACCAACTAACTTTTTAGTCCCGACTGTTTGCTGTAGTTATGCTGTATATATGCTTATAACAAATTACGGTCAAAACGAACTAAAATTAGTAGTCCCTTTGAGTTCGTTATAACCATAGTTTACTGTATACTAGTTTGAACAAGCAAAAAAACCAAAAAAAACTGCCTGTCTGAGAACCAATTCTTTTATTTTTTTAAGCCTTGTAGTACATAGTGCTTCTAATGTTACGATAACTAGGGCAAGTGGAGAGAAAGTGAAGTGGAGTCTCCAAATAAAAAATGTACAGCCATGCTGCAATATTTTAATCATATCTATGACTATTGAGATCAGTGCATCCAATTCTTAAACAAGCATGGACAATTTGACAGTATCGAGTACCATAATTTTAGACAAAGTATATTCAATTTTTAGAAGTATCCAGTGCCTTTTTAAAACCAGTGTACGTGCCAGAATGCTTAACATCATCTGGTAACAGATTCAAGAGGCGGATAGTAGCAGGAAGAAAAGTCTTACTGCAAAGCAAAGTCTCACAAAATATTTCTGTAACTCCATACCAGTAACTGTATGTCTGTGTCCACAGTATAGAAGAGGAGTGTGCTGTGTCTTCCTGTACGTCAACACTTGCTGCCAAAAACATGGAGCTGTACAAGTCTTTAAAGAGGCTAAACGCCACCTTCAACAAGATAGAGTCCTACACCACCATCCTTGCTACCCAGAGTAATAACCTGTCTTGTTCTCTCACAAATAATCAATTAATCCAGATTTCTGCAAGTTTAGATTCCATAATATGTGATTTCTTTTCAATAAAACCTTATAATGCCTAATGGGATGTAGCCCTCAGGGGAATGAGTTGACAAATGTTGATATTGTATATACTGTAAATCTGGAAAGTTTTGCCATGAAATTACTACGGGTGGCTAACAAAAGCCTTAACTGCGTCTGGAATGTTCTGTGACACTCCTTACGTCATTTATTGTTGGTTTGCAAAATTAACTGCATCATTAAACTGTTACAAGTGTGTGTCACTCGCAGTTTTTGCATTACTTTTCTGCTCACAAAACTTTCCAATATTGTTGTGTGACCTCATGGACTGATTGTAGTGCCCTAATGTTGTTAGAAATGTCAAACATCTGATTTGCCTAGCCCAGAGTCTATTATATGCAAGTTGTGTATGTAATTTCTATTAAGCATAAAAAAATGAAGCCTTTCCCCAAATAATCAGTAAGGTTTATAAACTGTAATGCAGAAACATCTGACATTGCCTGATCACAGGGATATTATGCAATATCAATCACTACTCCATTGCAACCCATGAAGATCTGGGTTAGAACCGGTCTTCAGCAACCCATATTGATGTTCATGATGCCAATCACTGGATTGTCTGATCTAGACTTGATTATTTACAGACCGCCATCATTGGAATATTGCTGAGTACAGCGTTAAACAACAAACAAATATTATATACAGGCTGGAATAAATCAACAGTGTCTTAAACTAAATTTCATTCATTAACTCTAGCAATGGTCATGGTCAGTGTATTTTGTATTTATGTCAAATTATTCTATGGTGTTGCAGGTGACAAGGGCCAGACCCCCCACCCTCAATCAAACTATGGGTCTCTCTTCACGCGGCTGTGTAAAGCTCTCAATGACATGCATGAAGCAGTGAAGGGTAAGTTCTTCAGATTTCTGTCTGCTGTCCTGGGTAGGACCTATCTCCCATGGGGATTCCAGGTTAGAACTTGTCCCCACCAACCTGTGCTTATCATAAGAGGGGACCCGTGAAGATTCCGGGGTAGAATAGGTCTTCAGCAACCCATGCTTGCCGTAAAAGGCGACTATGCTTGTCGTAAAAGGCGACTAACGGGATCAGGTGGTCAGGCTCGCTGACTTGGTTGATGCATGTCATCGATCCCAATTGCGTGGATCGATGCTCATGATATCAATCACTGGATAGTCTGGTCCAGACTCGATTATTTACAGACCGCCGTCATATAGCTGGAATGTTGCTGAGTGCGGCGTTAAACAAAAAAAACAACCAAATATCAGAAGAGGGGCTGATTTGATTGGATGGTAATGCTTGGTGACTTGGTGAATTGTGTATCTTTGTACCATGATGGTGAGAAAAGGTGCTCACACATCAATCATTGGTCTTTTTCTGGACGAGTCTTGATTGTTTGTAGACCGCCTCCTTATAGCTGGGGTATGACTGAGGGTGGCGTTAAACAACAAACAATACAAATGAAACGTATCATGAAGTCCGTGTAGGATTTTTTATATCAGAATGTTTCAGTGTTAAATTCAGGTTTTGTCTGTATTATCATGATCATTTTTTATGGTGGTGTGATGTTTTTCCGACATTCACAGAGGTGTCGAAGCATTACAACTCCAAGGTGTCCCTGGAGCACCAGCTTCCAACAGCCACACAGAAGCTGAAGACAACCGATGAATGTGTCGTTGCATCTCTTGTGTCCCTTGTCACCAACACTGGGAAGGTGAGTAACCATGGTAATGTTAGCTGATCATGTTTATAATCATTGCTGATCATAAGAACAGGTAGTCAGGTTCTGTACAGATTTTGTGGATTGTTCACATGTTTCCTGTCACTATGTTTTGTGCCTACTTGATTATAGTACAGGCTAAATGATATTCTGGAATATTGCTGACTGTGACATACATACTACCCGAATGTCTGTCAGATACCATTTATCTTACAATTAATTGTAATGTAAATGGTATCTGACAGGCACAAGTGTAGTAATCTGTTTCTTACACATACTAAAATCGCACTATTTTGGCATAAAATCCATGCATATTTTGTCCATTGTCTTGATCACAGTGGCCATTAATACAGAACACTATGGTCATATATGACGTCATCCAGCCTACTGCTTCTATCTACTATCTATATCTAGTGTGACATTCCACAAAATAATTTCCGCCATATCTGTGGATTATCAAGATGATGATAATAGTGCAAACTAGATAAGCTCAAAGAACATTTATTAACACTCTAAAGCCATAAAGTTTAGACACAGGCATAGGGGAATTCGACCAAACCACACCATTTGCAGAAGCCCGAGGTCTTCGATTAACTGAAAAGACCAAGGGCTTCTGCAAATGATAATGCCCTGAAAACTAACGTTACCGTTATTATAGCTAAAATGGATGGAATTTGTTATCAATTAAAAAGAAACAACAATATCGGTTTTGAAACATTTACTGCAATCAACATGAATTTCACTGACCCACTTTTACAAATATGGAAACGTCATAGAACAAACCAGATGACGTCAGTATTGAACGTGATGTCACTTATCTCTATCCTATGACGTCACCTAACAACGGGCTTGATAATGGCCCGTCGTCAAGCAATATGAAGACATTATCAAGTTACAGTGGCCCGCTCATTTTTGATAACATGCAGTCGGTTTAATGATAATTCTATCCATTTTAGCTATAATATGTAATATCCACTCACTTACTCCTGAACATGTTGAACATCGCAATGCTCTTATAATTCCTCTGTGCTTTGAACGTCCTAATGTTTATCCTCTGTTTGCAGATAGCAACATTCATGTCGGGCAACCTTTCCTTCTTCACTGAGACTGCTGGGTATCGCACCCGCGGCAGTAGTATCGGGACAGACAATGAGCAGGACGGCCCTCGCTCACATCCAGCTGTTGTCCATTTCCGGCAGCGAGCTGCAAACTACATCTCCTGTATATCCAGGGTGAGATTTCACATCATTTGTATAGTGGAACCCCACTGATCCAGGCGGTAGTATTCCCCGGGAAATTGTTCGGTTTGGATATACTATAAGCACTATCATTATCATCATCGTCACATTATTATTATTATTATTATTATTATTATTATTATTATTATTATTATTGAGCACTGTATCATCATCACATTATTATAATTATTATTGAGCATTTAATTTTTAGTTGTAGTAATAGTAGTAGTAGTGAGTGAGTGAGTTAAAATTTAACGTCACATCGGCATTATCTCAGCCATATAGCGACAGTAGTAGTAGTAGTAGTAGTAGTAGTAGTAGTAGTAGTAGTAGTAGTAGTAGTATTGAGCACTGTGTCATCAGTATCATCATCATTACATTATTTTTATTATTGAGCACTGTATGTTCTCTGTACAGACCTGCCCAGACACTGTGCCTCACCGGGTAGCCGTACAGAACAGGAAGACACTGCTCAGCTCGAAGGAGAGTAAGGAAGGATTAGCCAAGCAGGTTAGTGTTTTGTAGCATCACAGGATGGGCCCACCGGTGCCCAAGTGCAGAATTGTGTCCCTTGGCTGCCAGGATCCGCTGGTTTTAGTTCCAGAACTATGAAAATGATTCTTGCTTGTCGTATGTCAGCTGTGTTCCATCTGTTGTCTGTGTTGCAGGTGTCTGTGTTCCATCTGTTGTCTGTGTAACAGGTGTCTGTGTTCCATCTGTTGCCTGTGTAACAGGTGTCTGTGTTGCAGGTGTCGGTGTTCCATCTGTGACCTGTGTTGCAGGTGTCTGTGTTCCATTTATTGTCTGTGTTACAGGTGTCTGTGTTACAGGTGTCTGTGTTCCATTTATTGTCTGTGTAACAGGCGTCTGTGTTGCAGGTGTCTGTGTTCCATATGTTGTCTGTGTAACAGGTGTCTGTGTTGCAGGTGTCTGTGTTCCATCTGTTGTCTGTGTAACAGGTGTCTGTGTTGCAGGTGTCGGTGTTCCAGCAGAGGTGTGGCAAGCTGGAGCAGGAGAAGGAACACTGGATGCTGGAGCTGCAGCTGCTGAAGATCAAGTACGAGAACGAGGTGCAGGTAGGTGCCGGGTCAAATTTTTGGTATAGGTTACCGGCATTGCTTGTATCCAAGTATCCAAGTGACATTAAGTGTTGCTTATTCTCACACTTGTTTGCCCACATGGCCTAGTTGTCTAAGGTGCTGCAGTTTGTTGTGCAGAGCTGCATCCCTTGGGCACGCCAGAAACCTATGATTGTGGGTTCTAATCCCGGTTCACTCCGATTATGTTACTAGGTTTGTCAGCACCATACCCGTGCTCGTGGGTTTTACAAAAGTGGTAAACGTCTGAGACCTGCAGCACTTGCTTTCCAGTCACATTAAGCTGACACACCGTGATATAACTGGAATTCTGTTGAATGCGGTGTTAAACCCAACTCACTCACTTAATTATTTTCAGACCACCATGAAATAGTAGGATCATTTCACCATAAAACAACATTAGTTGAATTAAAGACAACATGGCCTAAAACCTGGAACAGTTTCATTCGTGTCTTTAGGACAGCAATTCCATTTCTCATCCTTTTACAGTCCAGCAGATTGTTGTTAAAGGATTTGTAACCTTGTAGGAAATAGTTTTTAGCAGATTACCGAAAGAATTTCAGTGTCTGTTGTGATGAAACATGTTAATATTCACAGAAATCCAGGAACCTGGAGAAGGACCTCGCCTCTTTAAACAACAGTGACAAGGTTGGATCAATAGAGGACAACCTGGACACACAGACTGCAACTCCACGCAGTGCCAGTCTCAGCTCCAGTCCCGGAGTTCAAACAAACATGGTGAGAGAGGCAGCACTAAACAAGCTGTGTGGAGACTTAACCACCTGGTTCACAGGAGTAGTGGGAGTCTTGTAGGGAAAGTGTCACATTTGACAAGGGCTCACGTGTTTTGACATTCACTTTTGGCATTATCATGAAAATCACATGGGACATTCAGTGATTCTGACTGGTTCATTTTCAAGGACATTGTCTGACTGTCAACTGAAAGTCGCGAAGACTTTGTTGAAATATGGTAATGATATAGAGGAATGTCCTATCAAAAGATTATCAAAATGTCCTAATGCTTTTGACTCCAGCAAAATCACTGGCAATTAGATCACAAACAATTATATCATTAACAGCAGACATGGTAGTGCCTAAGGAGTTCACAACACTGCATATTTACAATCAAAAGATCATGGTAACTTGTGTATCAGCCCTTGTAGCCTATACAACCTTAGCCAGTTGACCTGACTTGTCTCATTTGAATATGATGTATTTGCCATTAATATCCTGCTGTTAGTGGGGGCACGGGCAGTCGTCTAAGGTGCCGTGATTCGAATCCTGGTTCGCCCCGATTATGTTTCTAGGTTTGTCAGCACCATACCCATACTCGTTGGTTTCATTGAAGTGGTAAACGTCCGAGACCTGCATCACTTCAGGCTTTCCTCCCACATTAAGCTGACACGCAGTGATACGACTGGAATACTGTTAAAAGTAACGTTAAGACCCAACTCACTCACTTCTGCTGTTGATGACACAGAGATGAAAGAGGGAGAAATTATGTTCCAGGGAAAGTAAAGTCTTTTTCAGTTGGTCATTTCCATCAAGTTTGTTTTTATGTTTCAGAGGCAGGGTAATTGCATCTATTTCAGAAGCATTTATGGCTAGGGGTCGGAACTTTCATAAATATGATGATGCACATATTACAGTGTTTCCTACAGTTGTCACTAACCCTAAATATCCAGCCCTTATTTAGACGTGTCTTTTCTCCTTCTTCCAGCTGGGTAAGCTTGAGAGGGATGCAGCCATGAACAATGATGTAGACAGTCGTGAGCAGCTGATAAAGGACCACTTCGGGAAGCGGATCAATGAGCTGACGCTGCAACTACAGCAGACGGACAGCAAGTGTGTCAACTTCCACTCCGAGGTGCGCGCACTGCACACGCAGCTGGTGCTGTCGGACAAAGCGAAGGCTTCATCGGTAGAGGAACTTACAGTGGCCAACCAGACTCTGGCACAGCTCAAGGTGAGGAGTGAGTAAGTGTGTGGAGTTGAAGGCCGCTTTTAGCAATATTCCAGCTGTTATCACGGCGGGGGACACCAGAAATGGACTTAACATATTGTACCCATGTGGGGAATCAAACCTGGCCTTTGACGTGGCGAGCGAACGCTTTAACCACTAGGCTACCCCACCGCCCCTCAAGAGATGGGTCCATAGCTTGGTGTACAGGGTTTTCAAGCTGTATGGTCTGGTGGAACTGTTTGGTTAAACCTTTGAGTGACTGAGTGAGAACTGTTTTATGTCACATCAGCAATTTTCCAGCCATATATTTATGTGGCATGTTAGAAGCTGTTGTATCAATGAAGACAGAGTTAACTGAAGAATTTCAACTTTTCGAAATAAATGCATTAAAAGAATAAAGAAATTGGAAGTCGAATCTGTCTTCTTTAATTTTCCTGTTCTATAAGTTACCTTTGGAAACATCACCTAATAAATATATCGCCAGTGATTCTGTAGCAGCTGATTTGCTATCCAAGCAATTTGTTTTCTGTTTATATTTCCATAAAGTGATAAAGAAATAGGCCATGTCCACAAACGGACTGCTGTTTCTTGATTGGTTGATAATAGAATGGGTGGGGCTTGTATTGCGATATTGCACCTGGGCAGTGTCAATGATTTTGTTTTGTCAACAGAGGGTTCTTTTGTGTTAATGATTAAATAAGCAGTCTTTGAAGGTGTATGTGTTAATATATATATTTTGTGTTTATTGAGATAGATACATGGAAAAAACTGTGTACACACCACTTTCTTAAATATTTTCAGATCAAAATGAAATATCCAGGCATCAAAATACTCAGTTATACCCAATTCTTCAATATGTAATTATGTCTCCCAAACATTAACCTAACAGTCATCACACTTGTTAATGTCTCTTCTATACTACTCAACCTTTGACAGGGATAATCAGATATGTCAGATATATTTAAATATACACCTGACATATTGTGAGAATCAGTTTTGTGTAGCATGGAAAGATAAAAAATATCCCTATCAAAAATGGAGTATATTTCACACAATGGTAAACATGGTAAAGGTTAAATTGTTTCCAGATTACAGAGGTACTCCCCCCAAAAAATAAACCACCTCCATAATCTACTGGTAGAGCATCCGCCCAGAAGCGGAGGTCCAGTGTTCAATCCCCGGCCGCGTCATACCAAAAGACGTTAAAAGATGATACTTGTTGTTACCCTGTCTGGTGCTCGGCATAAAGGGGCTAAAACAAGGACTGGTCGGCTCGGAGTCAGTATACTGTGGGGTATTCATGTTAAACTGTGGCATGGTATCTCAGTGAGCTAACACTATAAATCAGCGTTAGTCAAGACTAGTACAAGCAGCCACACACACACGTGCATGCACGTCGCTATATAAGTGCAATAAACTTGGACACAACGTTAAACCCAATTTCACCTTACCTCACCAGAAAAAAATCATTTGACACCCAGTTTCTGATTAATCATGGTCGACTTGCCGGATATTTCTGAAACCTGTACAGGTAATTATTACTTGACCCGTAAATATTCATATTAATTTTAGACTCTGATGTCCATTTCTTAGATCTAATGGTGAAATGTTGATGATGTTGCCCGCGTGGATGTTCATGTGATGTTGATGTTGTCAGGATGAGCTGCAGACAACGTCACGGAGCTACGAGGGTCAACTGAGCATGATGAGTGATCACCTGGCAGGGATGAATGAAAAGTTGACTCATCAGAAGGACGAAATAGATGAACTCAAAATTCAGCTTCAGAACACATCATCAAAGGTAGCGCTTATTAGGGTCTCCTAGCATTGTTTTGTTCTGTTTTGTTCAATTTTGTTACGCGAGTTTTATTGGACAATGCATAGATTTGTTAGTCCAGCCAAACTATAACTCCATAGCTACAGCCTAGTTCATCAAGGGTGGAAACTGGACTTTTATGTAGTCAGTTAACTCCCTTGCCTCGGGAAGCTGCTGTCATCGATCATGGACAGATCCTGCTGTCGAGGTTCATAACACATTGCTGACAGTTTTGAGAAAAGCTTTATTTTGGGTGTTAAAAGAAATTAAGTATACAATTTGATATTGAGCAAGATTGTGTTGTTTGATAGTAACATGAACTAGTGAAACTAATGAAGCCAGTTCGAATATTGATTCCTCCCATCATGGGCCGAGATTAGCTCGATGTTGAGTTTGTCATGAATGAAAAGAGATTTACCACCGAAAAACAGTATTAAGGACAACCTAACTTTTCATGCACTTGTGAATGTTTATTCTCTTAAAACCTTGATTGTTTCATTCATCCCAAAACATTCTTCCATCTTTTACAGAGTCACAAAAAGGGCAAGAAATAAGGCCATATAACTTGACAATGAAACAAAACATAATAAGTGTACATTTCATGAAGACCTTGGGTTGAGATGCAGACAACTCCACAGAGACAGCATCCATACACAGCAACAGAATGTGTGACCAACTCCAACAGAGGATGCTCAGCTCAACCTGCAGCTCCACATGAAAATGCCAATACTTCCCTTGTTATGGTAGAAGGGGATTTACTGTGATAAGAACAGTCTGACTGAAAATGGTCAAATTTGTCAGAAACATGTTAAGGATAATCAGAAATGTGTACAGTAAATTATATAATATGTGTTGTGGCTAACCACCCAGCATTGACATCTGTAGTTCTCTCAAGTCATAATGTGCCTGCTGCTTCTGACTAAGTAGTGCTAGAAATCATGCAGGTGTATGCTATTTCTCTCCTCTTCAGCCAGTGTTGCAAGCTTGTTATGCATTCATGGTATAAACACTGTTAACATCTCTGTTGTTAGTGGCCTACTAATGTGCAATAGTGTTTCCGCACTGACAATAGTATGCCTGTTGCTGTGCACAAGTCACAGATAAAGCCAAGATGCACCATTCTGGCTTAGTATGGACGTATATATTTTCCATGATATAAACTTCCAATGTACTTCATTACAATTATTGCTTACAGAGAAACCTTATGAAGGGTATCCTCCCATTTGTCACACATGCCATTTGTCACACACTATTAGTCCTGTACCATGACTGTGGAATTTATATGTTTAAGGTGTTATTTTTTCACTAAAAGCCTAGGCAAGTATTGATCAAACCAACCAAATCTAGTTTGCTTGATGAAAACAGCAGAAGAGGAAAGGTTCTTTCGAAAAAATATTTTTATTATTTTAAAGACATGTTTTCAATGACAAGTGTTACTCTAACACACCTTTACGCATCATAGGACATGGTTGTCTGCATGCTGATCCCCTTCCTTGTACCTGACAGTTAGAATGATTCAGGCAGAACAACTCAATACCAGAGTGTCTAGAGCATCTATACATGTGTACTATCTATTATGCACTATATTTTTCATTACCTTAAATATTAGTTATCTAAACTGTGACTTAACCTCACAGCTTCTTATCTCCAAATTATTGTGTGTGAGTTGGGTTTAACGCAGCTTTGAATAGTATTCCAGTTATATCAGGGCACATCCGCTTAATGTTGGGAGGTAAGAGCAAAGTGAAACCCAGGAGCACGGTAATGGTGCTGACAAACCTAGAAACATTATCACTGCAAACCAGGATTCAAGCCCACAATCATAGGTGTCTGACATAGCCAAGGGATGCAACTTTGCACAGCGATTCGCATCGCCTTAGACAACTGGACCACCCCTCACAATTAGAAGTAAGGTGGATTATACATGTACCTTTAAAACAGTAGGTATTGTCTCAATTAATCACAATATTCTCTGTGTGACAAATGACATATGTAACTAATGGTAGAACCTTATAAAAAGCATTTTCAAGCATCATGTTGATAGGTTTCTGGACTAAATGATGTAACATACAGTATTGCCTTGTTAACTCAAAGTCCTGATGATCATCAAAAATATGTATGGAACATCGACTGACACAAATGAAGTACTGGTATCAGGTGGAAGGTCTCCAAAACCCAAGTCAGGCCTTTTGGATTGTCCTTATTATTACTTCATTTTTTGTCAGTTCAGAAACCCAAAATGCAAATGTTATCACTTTGTGATGTGGCTATGTGTTTGCTATTCTACTTTTCTCTGCCTCTGTGTATGCAGCATTAAGATGCTTCACTACAAGATGAAAGGGCCAACAGTTTTTATCCTGCGACAAATTACTTTTTGAGATACAGTAAACTACGGAAGTCAAAGGGACTACTAATTTTAGTTCGTTATAATCGTAATTCGTTATAAGCATATATACAGCATAACTACAGCATATAGTCGGGACTAAAAAGTTAGTTCGTTATATCCGTTAGTTCGTTTTAAGCGTGTTCGTTATAACCGTAGTTTACTGTACTTAATAATGGTCTGATGTCATGACAGCTGTTCAAATCGCCTCCTCTGTATCCTTGGTAATATTGTTCTGTCATTCCTGTCAAAGACTATGACACATCCAGTTATCAATCGGTGAAATAGTTTCTTATAATGAGTCTGATAAAACGTATCATTGCATTGACTGTCGTGAGAATAAAAACAGGCAAGGATGTATCCAACAAAATGTATTGGTGATATGATGTAGAGTCATGTCTTGACTGTAGGACCCCATCGCGGCTCTTGGCTTCATCACGTGATATAGGGTCATGTCTTGACTGTAGGACCCCATCGCGGCTCTAGGCTACAGTAGGGTCTGCACAGTGTAGGGATCATTTCTCTTCCGTTAGCTATGCAAGGTTCATGTCATGACTTTTACGCAGCCTCACAGTATGTATTCACAGTGATTGAGGAACATAGAATAACAAACATGTGACGTATTGGTGGTGTTATGTCCAGGAAGAGGTTTCACAACGTCAATACTTGTACATACAGTATAAGCTTGTGTTCACAACGTTGATCAGTGGATGGGGGCACATGATGCATGCGATCCAGCAAGGTTTTGAAGTGGTTCATGGTATCCGTTTATTGAAATGTATATATGAAGAACAGACAGAGGGTATGTATTTACTCCATATCCTGAGGTCTGATCCGTGATGATGTATGTGAATAATGTGATTATGGATAAATGTGAAGCAGATCAGAAGCGAGGGGATGTGTTGAATCTGTTTCCAGTTTTCGTGTCCTGGGCCCGATTGCACAGAGCAACCTTAGCGCTGAGATTATCGTAATTCCTATACTTTAACATAGGCTTACGATAGCCATAGTCGTAGAGATAAGATGTGAGCCACGTTCCACAAGCGATTGTACAGCTACGACTGTCGTAAGTCCATGTTAAAGTATGCGATCGTCTTAGGGCTAATATTGCTTTGTGGAACAAGGCCCTGGGTGATACAGTAAGCGATCTGTTGACCATCGTTATTCATTGTAAGTATGCAAGTTACAATAATCCAGGCGCTTCGGTCGTTGTGCGGATCAGGCACTGGGTTTCATGGTTTACTCATTGTGTGACAATGCTGTATGTGATGTTTGGATCCAGTCGCCCCTCCATTTCATATCACACTGGGGATGTGAGGTTTGATGCATTGACATACTGAGCATGTTGGTGGTACTCCTGCTATATTAGGTCATGGATGGTTTGGTTGGTGTGTTGTTTTACACCGCACACACCTATATGACAGCGGTCTGTAAATAACCGAGTCTGGACCAGACAATCCAGTGATTGAAATCATGAGCATCGATCCACACAATTGGGATCGATGACCTGCATCAACCACGTCAGCGAGCCTGACCACCCGATCCAGCTAGTCGCCTCTTACGACAAGCATAGTCGCCTTTTACGGCAAGCATGGGTTGCTGAAGACCTATTCTACCCCGGATCTTCACGGATCTATATTAGGTCATATAAACGGTCGAATCTGAGCCCAGAAAATACGTTGACAGCAGCACCAAATAGCCACAAGGTCGGCACTATGACACACAATCAGCTAGGTCACTCTTTGCTACCAGCACTTTCTCATTTGTGGACTCCTACCACAAGCATATACCTCTCCGTGGTATTGTGGATGGAGCGTATCTCAGTGGGCTAGCATTATTAAACCGGCATTTTCCCGAACTTAATACAAGCAGCCACACAACACGTCGCCATATAAGTGCAATAATCTTGAATGCCATTTTCATATCACTTCACGATCACATAGGGGGCTCTTTGGACCTATTTTGCATCGGAAACTGACAAAGATACCAAGGACTGGACCGCCTCCGTGGCCTAGTGGGAGAGCGGAAGGTCCGGGGTTCGATCCACGGCCGCGTCATACGTTAAGACGTTAAAAGATGGTACTTGTTGTTACCCTGTCTGGCGCTCGACATTAAAGGGCTATGACAAGGCCTGGTCGGCTGGGAGTCAGTATACTGTGTCTGAGTGGGGTATTCACGTTAAACTGTGGCATGGTATCTCAGTGAGCTAGCACTATAAGTCGGCATGAGTCCGGACGAGTACAAGCACACACACACACACACACACACACACATACACACACACACGTGCATGCACGTCGCTATATAAGTGCAATAATCTTGGACGCGACGTTTCGCCCCCTTTCACCTCACCTCACCAAGGACTGCTCTTCATTTTGCTTAAACAAATGTATCAACTGTTCCACAAAAACGGCTCAAAATCTCAAAACACTCATAAAAAACTAGCCGAATAATACACCAAGCACACCCGTCAACGTCTAGTTAACTATAACTAAATAGTTCAATAAGAATTTAAAGACTATTTCATTAACAATATAAGAAATATACTAACAGCAAAAGATTTAGCATTTTGGAAACCTTAATAATGGGAACTGTAAGCATTAGCCATCGGCATCACAGGAGCATGAACATGTCACAAATTCTGCACTTCAATATGCAAAATGAACAATCAAACTGATATGATATAAACCAAACCGAGTAATTTACACCACACAAAATCAATTGGAAATATGCGACCAAGTGTGGCCCTTTTAATGTTCAATAAAAGACTATACTTCACAGTGGTCGGTAATGCTTCAAGCAAGCTCGACCAGTTAATATTTCTGTTTAACACGTGGCATTTTGGCATGTTTGCCAAGCATACTTTAGTTTTGGAAAGTAAGACACCACTGACAAGTGGTGTCTTGTCAGTGTTGAGATTGTTACTCAATTGTGTCTTTCACATTGTAAAACAAACGCTGAGGAAGGAAAATGGATCGTCATACAATCTCAGTAAATTTTACCGTGATGCCATACCTCTGCGTGAGAGGTATCGCATCGGAGCAAAAGAGCTGATTTAAGTGAGATTGCAGTTGGGTCGCCAGATGCCATCAGGTGTGTGTCTGTTCATCGTTGAAAGCTCATCTGTTGATGTCTAAACAATAGCCCTACCCATAGACCAGGGAGTCTATGAGTATACTTGCAAATGTGGCTTCCGACATTACCGGATTCACAATCTGAATTACCGATTCCAGTGCTTCTGACTCGGTTCTGTTCGTACGGATACTTGTCCAACAAGCGCGGTCATTTCGAAGTGTGCAGAATGGTTGTCTTACGCTTTCTTCTTCAGGACCCAGCGGATGATCTGCCCTGTTGGTGATCGTGGAATCTGATCTAGAAACTCAACCCCTCCTCGGAGATGCTTGTGTGTGTCCAAGTTGGCTGAAACATGAACGCTGCATATTATAATTTCATGTACAGTCGAGCCTGGTTGTGTCGAATTTCCTTGATGTCTCGTACTCATTTGGGAGTTCCAAGTACTATTATTCAAGTTATAAAATTCCCCTGATGTCTCGAACCCCGATAACATTTTTCCAGCTCCCCCCCGCGTTCGACAGGAATCAAAAAGAAAACGAGGCAAATCATTTATATAAAATTCAGTCAAATGCGTTGAACACAGTTAATTGCAACAGCCATACGTTTTTCAACACAGGGCACTGAGAGTGTGTGAGCGTGCGTTTAATTTGTCCTCCATCGATTGCACCAGTGTAGCATTGCTAGATTTATCCGTTCACCACATGTAAGTCTCATCGTGAGGGCAATTCCTTAATATCTCTAAGAACATTGATCGCCAATTTCTAATGGTAGAAATGGCGTTCACAACTTGGCAACAACGTTGCCTGTGCTCAAGGCAAATTTCTGTCACCAATGTAAAAGTTTGGTGTGGAAATCCTTCTGTGGAGATACCCAGTCCTAAGTCAGTCCATGCTTAGTCCTGCACCATGACGGTGGGATATATGTAGATATTCTACATTGTAAAAAGAACACGTCTAACAAGCTCTATTCAGAACGAAATCACGAGAAACAGTTCAGAGGAGAGAAATAGATTGTTTAATTAAAGTTTTCATAGGCTATATGTTAGTCTCCCAGTCTAATTCACAATATTCTCACGTCGCTATATAAGTGCAATAATCTTGGACGCGACGTTAAACCCAATTTCACCTCACCTCACCTCACAATATTCTCACCCGGTACCTGAAAAGAATCCTGAGTAATACCTGGTAGAACCAGTCAAACTACCTCACAAAGGGGCGGGTGTCCCAGTCGTCTCATTCGCTCTAATTCGCTGTGCAGTTGCGCCCCTTGTGCATGCCAGAAACCTATGACCGTGGGTTCGAATCCCGGTTTGACCGGATTATGTTTCTAGGTTTGTCGGCACCATATCCTTTAGCATGGACGTTACCAAAGTGGAAAACGTCTAAGACCTTCTTTGCTTAGGGTTTCCCTCCCACATTAAGCTGACCCGCTGTTAAACCCAAATCACTCAATCTCTTACCTTCTACAAACTCCTGTATGTCGTTCTGGCTCACAGAGCTCCCGTTGCTCTTGACAACGAATGCTTTAAGCACCTCTCCTGACTGAGTATCGGGGACGCCAATGACAGCACTGTCCTCCACGTCAGGGTGATTCTGGAGAAAGTTCTCCACCTCAGCAGGAAAAACCTGCACAGTAAGCAAGTCTAGGAATATCCACGCTCAGGGAACTGTATCTTAAATAGTTCCGCGGGAGAACTTGTTTTGGAACTGTACCGGAAATAAATAGCCAAAGAACGGGATATGGTCTCTGGATTAGCATCCTCATCTAGTGAGGGATATCGGCGTTACGATACAGACCCTCCAAGACTGTTCTGCGACTGTGGACTAAGCTACATTTATAGTACTACTGATAGATGACCCTAGTACCCCGCCGAACGTTCCAGCATCTATTTGACTCGTTTGGCGTTGCATCTGTGCACAACGAATTGGAAGTTGTGAAATTGTGACCATGAATAGCACATAACAAACTAAAACTGTGAAGGGACTATCTGATTACGCGGAGGATGAAATATGTATGGTATTGCCTATAATAAGTCGGATAAACACAGAAAAATAAAAGACCTGTTTACTGAAGTCCCTGTTGCTCTGTGGAAGATGGTACAAATTGTTCAGATTTGCATATTAAGGCATGCTGTGTTGATATGATACATCACTCGGGTACGGTGATCGGGTCACAAGGTCGCCAGATTTTGTATGTTACAAACGTTCGTTGATTTCATTATCTGATTTTAACAGCAGATCAACGTGTTCGGTTTCAAAACCATTGGCACGCATGTCTCTTCAGACTCGACATTGAGAGTACAGAAGACGTTGGATTTGGTATATTACAACCACATTGCACGATCTATGATACTTAGACCCATCGATTCTTTACCGGTTATTTAAGGTATATTCCTTCCATTAAGAGCCCGGGACCTTATAAATTTCATTCTACTTTTAGATTCGACCCAAATTAGCGGCCTCTTTTTATTTGAGGCATTGTATAAAATATGGTTTTCGCATGTAACGGGGGGGCCGCCTCAATTTTAATTTTATAAACCTTATCCATAGACCCAGCTCTTTGTTGACGAGGGGCGGTAGGGTAGCCTAGTGGTTAAAGCGTTCTCTCGCCACGCCGAAGACGCGGGTTCGATTCCCGACAGGTACAATGTGTGAAGCCTATTTCTGGTGTTCCCCGCCGTGATATCGCTTAGATATTGCTAAAAGCAGCGTTAAACCATACTTCTTTCACTCTTAGTTGATGAAACTTAATCGGGTTCAAAACCGTGAGTCATGGTGCACTATTCGGCTGTATACTTACGGAAACGTCTCGGCAACTGATGACGTCTTCCAGTCTGCCTTCCACAACAATCCGGCCATCTCCAGAGACCCGCGCTAGGTCGCCTGGGTTTGCAGAGAGAAAGCGATTGAGCGAGTGAGTCCATATTACCTAATGTAGTATCGACAGTACAGTGTTCCAGACAATTTTTTAACCATATGAGAACAGTATTGGCAATTATCGTAACTGACGAGTACCAGAGTACTGTTTCAAACCAATAAGTACCGTACTACTCGTTTGTAGAATCAACGAGTACTGGTATGATAATGCGCTGTCATCATTCAAAGACCTCGTGTTGTATATTCTGATGTTGGTGCCAAACTAACGTAAACAACCGAGACAAGAGAATTCGGGTGCATTATTAGCCAATTGTAATGCAGGATTGGGATGAAATCCATTTGCTGCTGACACGTAATGATGTACACCTGGGTCCACTTGCACAAAGCGATCTTAGCGCTACAATTATTGTAAATCCTTAAGATCGTGATCTTAGGCTTACGCTACAATTGTCATCCACTTGCACAAAGCGATTGTAGGTTAAGATCATTGTAAGCTACAATCGAAACTTACAATTGGTCCGGACCAATCTTAAGTAGCGGAATTGAACCATATAAATAACAATCTCATTAAAATCAGATCTTTTACTCCGAGGCAAGGGAGTAAACTGACTGTAAAATTCCAAACTTATAGTCAGTTAACTCCCTTGCCACGGGAAGATATCACAACGTGAATATCTGAGGACAATAAAGTGGACTTTCTAATCATCCAATCAAAGTCGAGGCTTCTAAATTATAGGTTCGAGTGAGCTAAGCATTCCAACCATCGTATCTGATTTCTGTATCTCGAAAACGACTAAACCCAAAGTAGAAAATACAGCGGCGCCACTATATTGTTGATCAATTATCCTTTCGTTTCTTAGCAGCATGAGAGTAGCATAGAAGGAATATTTATGTTCTGGTAGGTTCACATTTGTACAAATAGAAATTTCCTAATCGAGGTTTAAGAAAGCTGAACGCTCATTTGCTCAAGAACCCGCGGAGACTTGTTTCAGATTGGCGGGTCAAAATTCGCTGTGGGTTACCTGACGCGGCCTTCAACGAGGAGTCCTCGGTAATTAACTCAGAGATGGGTCCTATCGGAGTTAAAGATCTGATTTTTATGAGATTGATCTAAATAGTACCATATGAAGTGAAAATTATGTATACTCCTGTGCATGCACGTTCCACCGAAAATAACATATACTTTGCGACATTTTGTTCTATTCTGAATCAAAACACCACGCCACACAACCCCGTCCTTGTAACATCTGGGGTTAATATGGGCGGCCATTCGGTCAAAAAATACAAAGTTGAAAAAAGGACAAAAGTACGCAATTAAGGTCAAATATTACGAATAAAGAACTAAATGTTACTACTAAAGGTCAAAATACAAAACAAACTGACGAGGGTTAAACATACAAAGTTTAAATAAATGTCAAAAGTACGCAATATTAATAGTCAAATGTTACGAAAAGACGTCATAAGAAAAGAAAGAACAATGTGTACGAGTTATATATCTGACAAATACTTACATGTGTTGCTGTCAATATTCACAACATTGAGCCTACGGGCAACGTTGCATGAGACCTTCACATTTCGCGTAACGTATCGCCTCACAGTTTAACATAATGAAATGCATGCATATGATGTGGCCTGCTCGGCGATGCTACAACATAAATATAGGAACGTATACAAAATCTACTTAATTTTCATAATCATACATCAAGGGCAACACTTTCAGTACCGATTGCAAAACGTCAACAAAGCGACCTGGGAGGAACGATCAGCTGATTTCACCGCATCGCTTCGAACGCCTATCTAGTGGTTAACTATACAATATAATCAGTCGTGGTCATCCCTGATGTATAATTATATCAAGGAACATATATTTCCGGACATGGCAATAGATTAATAATTGTTTAGGCGAAAAGATATACTGTCCACACACAAGCGTGACCGTTGCCGACAGAGGTGAAGGTTATACTAGTTAACTGTCTATAGACGTCACAGTAACATGTAGTGCTCGTATCGCGCATACCACATGCGCCGTCAGTTTAAGGTTGGACCGTCCGGGTCAGCGCACCTAGCGGGTTAGTGAAGGGAAGATAAATTGAAAAAGATCGCCCATAAAGAACGTCATTGAGCACGAAAGGACGTTGAAAATAAAGAACGCCAGATGTCGCTGCAATTTGTAAAACATTCCGAGTTTAATCGTCTTGTTCCGCCGTGTATATGATAACTGCGTGCCGAGGTGCACAGTGTATTACGTCATCCCTCGTGCACTCACCGTCTGACGTCACACATATATATACATGTATTTATAATGTATAATGAACTGTTAAATAAAACAAATAAAACAAATTCTCGCACAACGATCACTTTTCCGATGAAAATGTGCGTCTTAAACAAAACTCGGCATCATAGCACCCTAGTGTTGCACCAAGCATCATGAACAGTTATTAGATCACTGTAAATGAATCCTAGATAAGCGTAAAGTGAGTGGGTTTTTTAAGGTGTATACAAAATACATGTACAAATGTTAGGCAGATGTTGGATTATACAGTATACTGTATTTGTGAAAAGGACCTTTAGCGGTGACAAAGCTTAACGCAACATGTTTATACACAATGTGTTCATTATACATTATATAAATACATGTATATGTGTGACGTCGGACGGCGAGTGCACGAGGAATGACGTAATATAATACATTGTGCACCACGGCATGCAGTTATCATATACACGGCGGAACAAGACGATTAAATTCGGAATGATTTACAAATTGCAGCGCCATCTGGCGTTCTTTATTGTCAACGTCCTTTCGTGCTCACTCACGTTCTTTCGAACACATTGTTCTTTCTTTTCTTATGACGTCTTTTCGTAACATTTGACTATTAATATTGCGTACTTTTGACATTTATTTCAACTTTGTATGTTGAACCCTCGTCTGTTTGTTTTGTATTTTGACCTTTAATCGTAACAATTTGATCTTATTCGTATTATTTGACCTTAATTGCGTACTTTTGTCCTTTTTTCAACTTTGTATTTTTTGACAGAATGGCCGCCCATAAGTTAAGACATTCGTAGAGCTAAGATCGATTTGTGGAACCATCCCCTGAGTCTTAAAAGTCAGAATCTGAAATCCCTTTACGTACGAATGTACCAGAATCAAGCGCTACTTATGGAGCTGATTTACAGGTTTTGAAAAGCCACCCGTTGAATTATCTGAATTATCAGAGTTCCCATGGAAATACAAACAATTCCCCTCGGGTCCTAAAGTTATCGTAAATAAATGACACACAACACGTCATACATTACCTGTGTGAAACCATCCATCTTGGTCAATAACGTCAAGTGTGGCGTTTCTGTTTCCATGGTAACCTTTCATCACTTGGGGCCCCTTAATGCACAGTTCTCCGCGATCCCCATCGCCAGAGAGAGGGTCGATAATCTAAGCCAAGGGTATATTGATTACGCAATACCACTATAAAGGACATCAAAATACGTCTCACTTGTACTTGTACCCCATCTTCCCGAGGCAAGGGAATGACAATTAAAGTCCAGTTTCCACACTAGCCGAACTAGGCTGGAATTTCTGGGCTCGATCATAGCGCTACCAGTGGCTGTTGCGAGTTATGTCCGTTATATGTCCCTCCTATTGACCACTCAGATTCCACCTCTCATTTCACTTGCAATTTCTTCAAACAAAATGTCGGCGCTCTGTCAAGACGATCTGATCGATAATCAAGATCTATATTGTAATAAAACGGGCCTTACCTCGCGAAGTGCACCAACTCACTTGAGCACCTTCATTAAAAACATGAAAAGATTTGCAAAATATCTCTCGACGCCCAGTTGGCAGTACTCATGCTTTGCAAATCCTTCGGTCGACCGAAATCTGCACGTTGCAATCCATGTTGTTTGCGAACCGAATGTCTTGTTCGTTACGCGATTTTGATTGGACTGTGCTTAGACTCATTATTCCAGCCAAAATGTAACTCCGGAATTCCAACCTCGTTCGGCAAGGGTGGAAACTGGACTTTCTATATTGCCTCGGGAAGATGCATGTCTACAGATGGCGAGCGAATGAATAATCATAGCGAAAACCAAGTTTGCCAACACCCAAATATACACATTTCTAATGTAGAAGAAATGATACCTAAAACTTCCCCTACGAGGTTAAGAAAGCAAAACACACACACACACACACACACACACACACACACACACACGCACCTCTATATATAATACAGTTAATCATATAGTCATTGATCATGTCAAGCTACTTGTGCAGGCACGAGAGGTCAGTTCTCAACATTTAGTCCCAGAAATGAAATTATCTTATTCAAAATAATTATCTACAAAATTATAAAATACCAATCCAAATGGAGCCAGAAAAATGTTAATTTCAGGGCTAAGGCAATCTAGACTTGCCAAATCATTCTAGACTTGAACTGGTTTCATTTCTTAATTAATTCTCTGGGGTCTGGAGGACTACCAGAACTGCATCACAAACTGGGTTTTTTCAATGGTTAAATTCCCCTGTAGATTTCATTAGTTTAAATGTAATCCCTTGCAGTCTGGTTTACAATTATTGTAAACCCTCCTATGGGAAGTTACTAATACTTCTATACTTATAAATTTGTACTTGGTGTTTCAAACGCCCAATGTTCCAAAATCGAAGATAAGAAATGAAAAATTTCATTATGGATGACGGGAGTCGAACCTGCAACCTCATCATGTCTAGTCTTGTAACCCACTGTTTTCCCACTGAGCCACCGGGGCAGGTAACAAAACTTCCATGTCATTCTGTACGTGTTTTTTCTCTTGCACGCTTTGATCAAATTCCTTTTATAACACACTGCATTGTTTCACTATAAGGTATCCTATTATCGATGTGATGAGTCGCTTTATAATTTGGAGAAACCACTTCTCCTCGGGATTACTTGAGAGTGTAAACCCCCGACAGGAGGGAACATACCGGGGGCACCTCAAGTAACCCCGAGAGAAGTGGTTTCTCCTTTACATGAAGTATACCCACCTTGCCCTCCGTGTTGGGCAGCAACACCCCAACTGTTGTGGGGTCTCCAGGTTCTACTTCAACATGTGTCAGGCCGGTCGTCTCCGTCATGCCGTACCCTGTAGTGTATAAGCCAGGTTAGTTAAGGGCTCAATCAAATCCCCAAAGCATGACGACCCGTGAAGCTCCGGGGTAGAATAGGTCTTGCTTCTTGTCGTAAGAGGCAACTAACGGGAACGATGTTCAGGCTCGCTGACTTGGTTGATGCATGTCATTGTATCCCAAATGCGTGGATCGATGCTCATGATGTCAATCACTGGATTGTCTGGTCCAGACTCGATTATTTAGAGACTGCTGTCATATAGCTGGAATATTGCTGAATGCGGCGTTAAACAACAAACAACCAACAATCAACCAAAGAATGTCTCTCATTGAAGTCCATGTTAAGTTAGCGCCGCCACCCAAGATAATATAGACCTACATTGCTTTTATTACTTTTAATTAATGGTTTTGGTTTATGTTGTTGTTTTTTTGCAATATTCCGAATTCATCAATGCCCATACGCTCTACACACGTCCTTAAATACATTAAACCTCCAAACTGGGTTTACAATATTCGCAAGATTGATGCAATGGTATGGCCACAGATTGTACAATGTGGGGACCTCGACTTCAACATGACGACGGTGGCACGTATTAGCGGTATGGTGTGCCTATGGTATGGTTAGTACCATGTTTTGAATAGAGTATATAGATAGTACCATATACTGTATTCTTACCTTGGTACACCTGTATTCCAAATCTCTCCGTGAACGCTGCGGCTATCGTCCTCTTGAGCTGGGCTGCACCACAGTACACGGACTCCAAAGTCGAGAGGTCGTAGCCAGAGTCGGCTGTCGTCAGTTGCTTGAGTGTAGATGGTACTGTGTACAGTCTGGTGATCTGTTTAATGAGGAGCGAACCGGGATTCGAACCGACAGTTATAGGTTTCTGGTTAGCCCAGGGATACAACTCTGCACAGCGAATTGCGGCGCCTTAGATGACTGGACCAGATTCAGTTAAGAAAAGGTAAATATAACCTTAACATACTGATCAGGATCAGGTCAGAAATAGAACATGTCTATCACGATGGCCTGTATATAATATATAAGCGATAAAATCATTCCAAAGTCATAAAAAAGAGATCAATGTACGATTCCGACTATATCATAAGCATGTGTTTATGAATCCCTATCAAATACTATAGAGTTATGATGCCACGTGTCCGCGAAAAGGTGAGCGTATCCTGTCCCGGCGGTGGCGCCCGTTACAAACACATGCAAAGGCAAGTCAATTGTTCGCCTGAAAAAACACGGGAAAATATGGTGCATCTTTTGAACTAGAATCGTATGATGCTCTATTAAATCGTTGTAGAAAGAACAAGGTCGATTGTACCTCAAAAGTTGTGAAATGAGACATCAATTCAGGCTGAACCTACTAGAATATTGCTCAACCTAAAGGGGAAGCTGGCTACTGGAAAAAAAACACATTCTTAATATGATATAGTCGGAATCGTACAATGGAGATTTCTTATAAGTATCGAACAGGTTTGACGCTTTTATTTACCCCATATGTGTCAATAGCCTGTAGACAGTGATGAGGGTTGGGTTGCTGTAGACTGACAATCATCCCCCCATCCTGTAGAACGCCGAGATGAACCATCATAGACGTGGTGGGAGGGCGTGGCAGACAACACCCTCTCCAGGCCCGACCGGACCGGCACGGGGACTCTGCAATCACGAGTTCTTAAAGTGGTGGATGTTCACACAAAATTCAACTACAGTAAACTACGGTCATAACGAACTCAAAGGGACCACTAATTTTATTTCGTTATAACCGTAGTTCGTTATAAGAATATGTACAACATATATATACAGCAATTGGACGAGACCAAGAAAGAGTTATAAACGTAGTTTACTGAAATTCATTTGAACTTTTTGAAGATTATCCCTTAATTTATATGAACTAGAAAATACAATACTCCAGCTGATTACAAATACATTTTTATAGATCATTTGACAATAAACATATCTCAGTCAAAATGCACCATGGCCTTTTTTCCAATCTCATTATAATCAGATCTTTGTCTTTTGTATCAAGAGCTGACGACATCTCTATCGAGATATAACGCGGGCATCGGAGCACCGATATAACCGGGAAGAGGCTCTATCCACTAGACCACATCTTCCTGAGGCAAGAGAGTTAACTGACTTAAAGTCCAGTTTCCACCCTTGCCGAACTAGGCTGGAATTCCCGGGCTCGATTGTAGCGCCACCAGTGGCTATTACGAGTTATGTCCCTTCTAAGCCTCTCCTATGGACCAATCAGATTCCACCTCTCGTATCACTTGCATTAGCTTCAAACAAAACAGCGGCGCCCAGTCAAGACGATCTGATCGATAATCAAGGTCTATTTCGTGATAAAACGGGTCTTACATCCCAAAATGCATCAAATCACGTGAGCACCTTGATAAAAAACATGAAAAGATTTGGGAAATATCTGTTGACAACGAGTTGGCGGTGCACATGCTTTGCAAATCCTGCAATCGACCGAAATCTGCATGACACTTTACGAACCGGATTTAGATTTCGTTGTGCGATTTTGATTGGACAATGCATAGACTCGTTAGTCCAGCCAAAATGTAACTCCATAATACCAGCCTAGTTCGGCAAGGTTGGAAACTGGAATTTTATAGTCAGTTAACTCACTTGCCTCGGGAAGATGCTAGACCAGGGAGTCGGTGCAATGGAATATGTACTGCAAACAATTCTCTGATACAATAAAGCATGACGTGACGAAAGGAGTATCCGTTACCACTCCCTATACTTTCAAGGAGGTGCTACGTCCGGTAACGGACACCAGATGACACCGTATCTCTCGCTAGTCACATGCATTTTCAACGTACTGTTCACAGTGGAGAGGTAAATAGAAAATTGAGTCAGGTGTCTTAGGTCTTATCTCTAAACGTATGCTGTATGTATAAAATCGTCCGCAATGCGGAGTTTCCGGATTACCAGGGCCCTGCTGTATAAAATCGTCCGCAATGCGGAGTTTCCGGATAACCCTGCTGTATTTGAATGATGGTTGCACATAGTATTCCTCCTGTAAACCCACCTGATCTGATGGAGAGCTGACACGATGTTGCTGTGGGTGAGCATGACCGCCTCAGGTGGCCCCGTGGTGCCGCCGGTGTAGAAGAGACCCATGACGTCGTTGTCGGGGTCGATGACGACGTCTTCACGGAACATCCGGCCGTCGTCTTCCAGGAGGGTGGAGAATGACGTCATTCCGTCGGCCACGCCCAGCACAAACAGGTCCTACAGTGGTGACATAACTAAATTATCCAGCGTTCAATATACTCGTTCTCAAACACAACTAGATCATCAAACATTGAATATAGCCGTTCTCAAACACAACTAGATCGTTACATATCTGATATAGCCGTCCTCAAACACAACTAGGTCATTACATATTTAATATCGCCGTTCTCAAACAACTAGATCATTACATATTTAATTTAGCCGTTCTCAAACAACTAGATCATTACATATTTACTATAGCCGTTCTCAAACAACTAGATCATTACATATTTGCTATAGCCGTTCTCAAACAATTAGATCATTACATATTTGCTATAGCCGTTCTCAAACAACTAGATCATTACATATTTACTATAGCCGTTCTCAAACAACTAGATCATTACATATTTACTATAGCCGTTCTCAAACAACTAGATCATTACATATTTGCTATTGCCGTTCTCAAACAACTAGATCATTACATATTTGCTATAGCCGTTCTCAAACAACTAGATCATTACATATTTACTATAGCCGTTCTCAAACAACTAGATCATTACATATTTGCTATAGCCGTTCTCAAACAACTAGATCATTACATATTTGCTATAGCCGTTCTCAAACAACTAGATCATTACATATTTACTATAGCCGTTCTCAAACAACTAGATCATTACATATTTGCTATAGCCGTTCTCAAACAACTAGATCATTACATATTTGCTATAGCCGTTCTCAAACAACTAGATCATTACATATTTAATATAGCCGTTCTCAAACAACTAGATCATTACATATTTACTATAGCCGCTCTCAAACAACTAGATCATTACATATTTAATATAGCCGTTCTCAAACAACTAGATCACCCAACAATGCCGTTCTCAAACAACTAGATCATTACATATTTGCTATAGCCGTTCTCAAACAACTAGATCATTACATATTTACTGTAGCCGTTCTCAAACAACAAGATCATTACATATTTACTATAGCCGTTCTCAAACAACAAGATCATTACATATTTACTATAGTCGCTCTCAAACAACTAGATCATTACATATTTAATATAGCCGTTCTCAAACAACTAGATCACCCAACAATGAATACAGCCGTTCTCAAACAACTAGATCATCTAACATTGAATATAGCCGTTATCAAACAACTAGATCATCTAACATTGAACATAGCCGTTCTCGTAACGTACAGCAAATGCAACATGCCCTTCACGCCACAATATTAAAATCAGATCTTTCACTCGGATACGAAACCTTCCTTTTCGATGCCGTGTCAGCTGAACTTTCTAATCAGCCTCTCACACATAAGTTCGCAATGTAAATGACAAAGGTCACGCTATTCATTTGCATTGGATATTTTTATACACCCTGTTGTTTCTGGGCGCAATGGCATTCATACCCAAAACGGAGTACCATGAAGGTATAGTTGTGTTCTTTGTGGATTTTCTTGGCTAAAGTCGAAATTTACGGAGCAGGATACGCTCGCCATTTCGTGAACACCTGGTATCATCACTATTGATAGTGATTCATAAACACATGGTTATGATATAGTCGGAATTGCATTGATTTTATAATGGACTCTGCTTTTAGCACAGATTTCGGTTACGATATGATAACGGTAACGTTTTGACGCTTTCCTTTACCTTGATGCCATGTGTTTGAGACATGTGTTTGACCAGAGAGACGAGAGGCTGGCTACAGACCACACACTTGGCACCACAGCCGTGCAGCTGACGGGAGATCTCCTCTATCAGACACAACACAAAAATACATTACACAGGAGACCCGCTCAGATCCGGGGTAGAATAGGTCTTCAGCAACTCATGCTTGCCGTAAAAGACGACTATGCTTGTCGTAAGTGGCGACTAACGGGATCGATGCTCATGATATCGATCATTGGATTGTCTGGTCTAGACTCGATTATTTACAGACCGCCGTCATAGAGCTGGAATATTGCTGAGTGCGGCGTTAAACAGCGAACAATCCAAAGCAAAACTTACACAGGAATCTACGGAAATATTGTTACCACGAGTTCCTATAGCATTAACAGAACTTGCATCTTCTTCATTCGGGTCCACTCGGCTTGTTCCGTTACCTACATATTACTTCGAGAGACCCCTAACAACCTATCCTTGTCGTAACAGATTACATTTTGGGTAGAGTGCTGGTTGACTGCATGTCATCGGATCCCAACTTGTGTGGATCGATGCTCATTATATCAATCACTGTCTGGTCCAGACCCGATTATGTACAGGCCCCCGTCGTGTAGCTGAGTGCGGCGTTAAACAACATCAAAAAGGAAGCAATGGAGTAATGATAGTTTATTACTTCAATATAAACGGCAGAAAATGTTTCTGTATACCATGATGAGGTGAGGTGAGGCAAGATTATTGCACTTATATAGCGACGTGCATGTGTCTGCTTGTACTAGACCCGACTTATGTCGATTTTATAGTGCTAGCCCCCTGAGATACCATGCCGCAGTTTTAAAGGAATACCCCACTCAGACACAGCACACTGACTCCGAGCCGACCAGTCCTTGTTTAAGCCCCTTAAAGCCGAGCACCAGGCAAGGTAACAAAAAGTACCATTTTTTAACGTCTTTGGTATGACGCGGCCTTCCGCTCTCTGGGCAGACGCTAGAGCACGGAGACGGTCCTATACCATGAGGACCAATTTTGAGACAATATGTTATGGCCAACAGAATATGAATATTCAGTCTTGAACATCTGCCGAAACAGATTCCATTGGGCGTAAAAGGCAAGGTAAAAGTAAAACAAGTACAGCTTTAAGTATGTACTGCACATGCCTGCCGATCCACTACAAGTTGAGCTGTACGATGAACACAAAGTCTCACTGCCCTTGAGTGTTGCAGAAAGGGCCCCCGTACATCGAGTCGTAACCAACTAACGTGCCACCATTGTGCGCCATTGTGCTCCATAGACCGTTGTACATCATACACATATATGTGTTTTGTTGTTTGGCTCCCCACTCTGGACCGGACAATCCCGTGTTTGGTATTGGACCAACGATCCACCCCGTCGGGGTACGTTAACACGCCAACAACCAAGTCACCGCGACTGACCACCCGATCCGAGATTGACCACCCGATCCGTTAAGACGCTTACGACCAACATAGCTTGCTGGATACCAATTCTAACCGTGAATCCCCACTGGTAGCAGCCATTACAATCTCATTAAAATCAGATCTTAGCTCTCGCTATCGCTAAACAAAGATCTGAGGACATCCCATTATGGGTCACGTCAGAACGACCTTTCATCCGACCATTCAAAGCCTCGCTTACAAGATCATGAAAGTGACGGTCGGAATGTGTTTTCTAATCATGCAACCTCGAAATCGTTAACACGGGTTAGTTCTGATTCCGTCAAAATTATCGCCTATCTCTCGCTTCCGTTGGATAAACATTTGAACGGAGGAGGCGTTGCACAGTACGTGGGAATCACTGCCATACAATCGCAACCATATATTAGACATTCCGGAATGTTCGTTTGTTCAGTTTTCAAAATTTAAATTGAGAACTGTGTCACAGATTTTTCAATCGTAGTCTGAAATGGAAGTCGCCAGGTTGAAACGAGTGTCGTAAAGCTCGAGAAAGCTGTTTTCTAATTGGCTGATGTCGACATCTTGTGAGTCGTTTCAGTGGGCGTTCAAAGTTCGCGAACGGTCGTACTGACGTGACCCAGCGAGAACTTAGATCTGATTTTAATTAGATTGCAGCCATTATCATTCATTTCCCCGACGCAAGGGAGTTAACTGACTATAAAAGTCCAGTTTCCACTGGACTTGTACAGTCATTTAACTCCCTTGCCTCGGGAAGATGATATCAATATGCATTAATTTTGCTTAATCACAAAGACGCACCAGTTGAGCCTTCAAAAAGACAATAACGTTACATAAGTCGTAACATTAAGGTCACTTCGTGGAATAAAGGCCCAATAACGGGTCTTCTTAACAATCAAGTACAAGTAGACAGTCGTAAGAAATAACATGAAGTGACCGACTGCTTTCAGTATTTTCGGACATACAGATCAGGCTTTTTACTCCGGTACGATACCTCTCTGTGAACTGATGACCGATCCAATGGTAGTCGGGTCAGTTGCTTCTTAATTCACATACGAGTGAGCCAAACATTCAAACCAGCCGATTTGATTTGCTTGCTCGAAAACGAACAGTTCGGAATGTAAATAATGAAGGCCGAGCTTTTCATTGTTGCGGATTTAGATTTCCTTCAATTAGACTGGGCGGTCAAAGCTCGCACAAGTTTCACCTGCCCGACTTTCTGTAGCGGGTTTGTTATATCTTCACGCAGAGGTACCTTATCGAGGAACAAGATCTGATTTTAATAAGATTGTTCCGGACATGAAGACATCGGTGTTAAATTTAATACAACAATAAGCCAAGGTTTTGTATATTTCTATTTTGATGTAGTTACATTTCGTACCTGGGGTTGACGTCGGATCGATCATGGCAACAGTTGCTCCAATCGCCGACACGCCGAGCACCAGTGATGTTATGTGGACGTTGTTGGGAGTTACGACCGCGATGACGTCTCCCTTGACGTATCCCCGTCTGGTGAGGCTGCTAGCGACTGCTACGACGGCATCGGACAGCTCAGAGAAGGTGTAGATCTCTTTCGTGTCATAGTCGACCTTAACAGTAACAGCAAAGATTGTAGAGAGTTTTCACTGAAGGAGGACAACACAGGACGTGAATTTAACGTGGACGATGGTCCAATTGGTGCCAATTGTTTGTTTGTTGCTTAACGCCGCACTTTATGTATTTTAGGACGTGTGTAGAGCACATGGGCATTGATGAATTCGCAATATTGCACACACAAAAACAACAACATTAATTAAAAGTAATAATAGCATTGTAGATCTATATTATCTGGGGTGGCGGCGCTAACTTAACTTGGACTTCAATGAGAGACATTCTTTGGTTGATTGTTGGTTGCTTGTTGTTTAACGCCGCACTCAGCAATATTCCAGCTAAATGACGGCGGTCTGTAAATAATCGAGCCAATCAAGTGACTGACATCATGAGCATCGATCTACGCATTTGGGATACGATGATATACATCAACCTGACCACCCGATCCCGTTACTCGCCTTTTTCGGCAAGCATGGGTTGCTGAAGACCTATCCGGATCTTCACGGGTACACAGGGAGAAATGATGCAGCTGTGAAAGTCATTCCTCTTTTGACAAGACCCCTGTCCTTAGAAACGTTTAGCCTTCAGCGCGCATGGCGAGGAACAGGTACGAACATTATAAAGGTCGATGAGTTCGCCAAAACACAAAGCATACCGTATTTCCTCAAAATAGGTGTCAGGTAAATCATGTTTATGATCATCGATCCAAACAATTGGGATACGACTATATGCATTAACCAATTCACCCCTACTGACTGAAGTGAGACGGCATTTTGTGCATGACTGATTGCATTGCATGTCATCTTGTCCGATTCTTTCAATCACTGGTTTGTCTGGCACATTTACAGTTCGCAGTGACATGGCGTCTATATAGCTTCCACGTAAACCAGAAATGACTTCTAGATAATGAGTGAGTGAGTATGGTTTTACGCCGCTTTTAGCAATATTCCAGAAATATCACGGCGGGGGACACCAGAAATAGGCTTCACACATATTACCCATGTGGGGAATCGAAACTGGGTCTTTGGCGTGAGGAGGGAACGCTTTAACCACTAGGCTACCCTAGTGAGATTAGCATGAATTGAATGAAACTTGGGGCTGTTTTAAGGGCGCGTGTTATAATGTCACATTAACACCATATTTACTTCCAAAGACTGACAGAGATGTGTTCGGTATTTGAAAACGAATCGGAGTGTATGTTATAATCTGGTCGTAAAATGTTGTAAAATGGAGTCTTTGATTTAGAAGTTGGAAGAACGGGAAGGCAAAAAAACTTTAAAGACAACAACTTCTTTATTCGACGTTTCAGGGCTGACATCATCATAAGTAGTGAGTGAGTGAGTTGGGTTAAACGTCGCTTTTAACAGTATTCGAGTTATATCACGGCGTGTCAGTTTAATGTGGGAGGAAAGCCCGAAGTGATGCAGGTCACTGACGTTTACCAATTTGGTGAAGCCCACGTGCACGGGTATGGTGCTGACAAACCTAGAAACATAATCTGGGCGAACCGGGATTCGAACCCACTATCATAGGTTTCTGGTGTGCCCAAGGGACGCAACTCTGCATAGCGAATCTGGGCGCCTTGGGCCACCCGTGCCCCACCAAAATGAAGTCTGAAATGAAATTGGGACAATGAACGTGAGAAGAAGCTTGTTTCTTGCTTTACATAATAAGGTATTGGAAGCCTTGAAATTCTTTTCACGAAAAACGCCGTCGGTTCCAAATGGAATTTCCAAGCATCGAAAGCTCATTAAAACCTACAAATCTGAAAACACATTATGTTTATCTCCTAATTCAATTTCAAAGAGGGATACATAAGTACCTTTAGTTCTCTACACTATGTATCGATATGTTGAATCACAGCCGAAAGACCGCCTCCATGGTCTAGTGGATAGAGTGTCCGCCCCGAGAGCGGAAGCGGTACGATCTCCGGCCACGTCATACCAAAAGACGTTAAAAGATGGTCCTTGTTGTTACCCTGCCTGCCTAGCACTATGAAATTGGAATTAGTCCGCATACGCACACGCAAACGCACATACGTCGCTGTATTGTAAGTGCAACAATCTTAAGCTTAAACGCGACGTTAAACCCCATTTCACCTCACTCATGCGGAACGTATGCTATGTTTATGAAGTGCATGGTGTAGGTTCGTTAACACCATCAATACGCCGCCTCCGTGGTCTTGTGGTAGAGCGTCCTCCCGGAGAGCGGAAGGTCCGGGGTTCGATCCCCGGCCGCGTCATACCAAAAGACGTTAAAAGATGGTACTTGCTGTTACCCTGTCTGGCGCTCGACATCAAGGGGCTAAAACAAGGACTGGTCGGATCGGAGTCAGTATACTGTGTCTGAGTGGGGTATTCATGTTAAACTGCGGCATGGTATCTCAGTGAGCTAGCACTATAAATCGGCATCAGTCCGGACTAGTACAAGCAGCAGCAGACACACACGTGCATGCACGTCGCTATATAAGTGCAATAATCTTGGACGCGACGTTAAACCCAATTTCACCTCACCTCACCTCACCATCAATACCATGGCCTCCGTGTAACATGCAGATAGGAGCCACCGGTAATCTACCACTCAAATGTCTTACCTTATTGTCAATCTAACCTCCGCTCCGAGAACAAGACACGTTGTAAATATTTGAAATACCACTGCGTGTAGCTGCAGTCGTCGGGGTCACACTAACTGGATCATGACACATTTAGTTTTACCTTTAGATGACACGTACCAAGGCATCTAGATCTCCCAGCGAGAAGAAACGATGGAGCATATGTTCAGCCAAAGGGGCCTCAGCGATGTCTTCGTCAGGAAAAGGGCTCCGTAGGATAGTTGACGAGGACGAAGAGAAAGAACACACTCCCACATGATGGCTGAATTTACCAGAATTCTGCAACACAGATCCTCTTAAACAAAGCCTTCCTGGTGGGTTAACTGTCTGATGACATATGCAGCGGATGGTCCTTGCTAGCGCGGCCCTCATGTTTGCAGCCTCTACTCCGGTGTGAGAGACTAGCCACTGAAGCACAGTAGCGACACAAGGGAGTATGACGCTGTCTCTGTTCTAAAACCAACTCGGTTGATAGTGCGTGGACCTTGGGAGATAACTTTACACTTGAAACCATGGTGACATGTTTCTATCTTCTCCTCATCTCTGAGACGGAGTTAAAATTAGCTGCTATTTCCACCAGCTATCTCTAATCTGTAGAAGGAGCAGACGACTTTAGCTTGGTTGTGAGAATAAAACGGATATTTCTGGTCTTAATGTTATCGGTGTGCAAAGGTCAGATTTTAGGAGTCAGATCTTGAGATCAGACTAGATGTTAGTTTCAGATACAATCCACAATTGTCTGTACAAGACAGGTTGGTCTCACGAAGACTTCAATCGATAATATGGCATAACCGTTGCAGCGCTACAATCAAGCTATACGTAATAATATGATATGGCACAATCAACGTCCGCAGAAAAATTGACGTTGCAATATATAATAACTACAGAATGGGTATCTGGCAGCTCTACCCTACTCAACGTCATTATTAAGGGGTCACACAGATGATAAAGGTACTCAAATATGGTCGCATTTACAACTTCCAAGGGCGCAATTCATGTGTATGGTAGAACCATTTTATACTCACATTAACTGTTGCTTGTCAGGAAATGCACGTGCATGTACTAAACCACTGGTGCGTTCAGCCGTGTGTAGTAGCAGTTTTTTACCATCATATACTCTGACCAATTGACGCTTGATGGCATATCTTCATGTTAGGCACCCTACTTACCAAGGTGACCCTTCAATAATGACGCTGAGTATTTATAGCCAGGATACCTTGCGCCATCTTCCCAAGGCAAGGGAGTTAACTGACTAAAAGTCCGATTTCCACCCTTGTCGAACTAGGATGGAATTATGGAGTTATATTTTGGCTGGACTAACGAGTCTATGCATAGTCCAATCAAAATCGCGTAACACAATCCACATCCGGTTCGTAAACTGCGTGCAGATTTCGGTCGATTGCATGATTTACAAAACTTGTATACCGCCATCTCGGCGTCAAGAGATATTTTCCAAATCCTTTCATGTTTGTAATCAAGGTGCTCACTTGTTTCATGCACTTCGCGAAGTAAGACCCGTTTTATCACGACATAGATTTCGATTATTATCAGATCGTCTTGAATGGGCGCCGCCATTTTGTTTAAAGCAAATGCAAGTCATATGAGGGAGGGAATCTGATGGGTCAATTGGAGGGGCATAGAAGGGACATAAGTCGTAATAGCAACCGGTCGCGCTACGATCGAGCCCAGAAATTGCAGCTAAGTCGGGCAAGGGTGGAAACTGGACTTTTACAGTCAGTTAACTCCCTTGCCCCGGGAAGATGACCTTTCACCCATACTATATATGAATAACATGACCAGTACATATGGGATATTTGCATCTATACGATATATACTCTCCAAAAAAGTAGGGGTTAATCGAAAATAACAGAAGATTACAGAAATACAAAGTTGTATTGAGAGATGGTAGTGGATGGATAAGACAAGGAATGACTATTATGACTAGGTATAACCTGGCAATCAACAGAACATGTTGGAGGTGTATTGTATGGATGCAAACAACCAAGAAAGAGGACAGGGGAGTGCAATAAAAAATTCAAACGTTTGAGATGACGTGATCAACAATGGGTCATGCGCCCACCATTGGTCAAGCATTCGTTTATACAGAATCAATCTCCGAATGACAGTTTGAGGGAGTCTTGCCCAACCATCCTGCAGCGCCTGGCTCAGTTCGGCAAACGTAGCGGGTGACCTTTGACGTCGGCGTACACGTCTCCCGATCATGTCCCAGACGCGCTAACCATTGCATTCTGGTGATGTTTTGCCCATTTGCAATGCGTGCACGGTGGGTACGAGCGTTATTGTCTTGAAAGAAAAAAACGTGGACCAGTCGGGCGCAACTATTGGCGCCAGTATGATGTCTCGGTAGTACTATCCAGAGGTCCTTCCATTGACAATATGCAGTGGCGTTCTGGCAGTCAAAGACATCCCGGTCCATATCATTACAGACCCACCTCTAATATTTCGTCTCCAGACACGCCAATGCCTATCCAGAACATCTGGGCTCATCTGGAAACATTACACGAGACCATCGACGATTCATTGAAGGTTACAAAAGAATGTTATGGGTCGAAGAATGTTACCAAGAATGAAGCAATCTCAAACTAGCCATACTTGGGTTACAACGATGTAATAGAGGGTTCAAGCCATCTTGACACTAGCTACACCAGGGTCTCTTTGTAAATTAATTGATAAAATGTTCCAAAGGCGCTTGACAATCATATAATTCTGTGTGCGCTTTTCTACATGCATGCCATCATGCTTGCGAATAGTAGAATTTTTGCTTGTCATTAATATTAGACTTGTAATGTTTATGTTCAGTGTCGATGAGGATATGCATGTATGCATGTTCGTAAGTGTGCCTGTATATGTGTCTATGATTTTATACCTAGTGTCTCGTAGGCCATACCTCTCTCTCTCTCTCTCTCTCTCTCTCTCAGATCAAAGTGTGACATGGTACAACCATGTATGTTCATCTGAAGTGAAGGCACAGGCGGTAGTCTATTGGGTAATGTGGCCACGATTTCCATCGGTACAGTGGCTGAAGCTTTTTATTTTACTCCGCGTAAGCGGAGCATACCCAGGGAACCAGGCTGAGGTCACGTCAGAACGACCTTTCATCCGTCCAATCAGAAAATTTCTTTCGAGATGGTTTTACGCCGCTTTTAGGAATATTCCAGCAATATCACGGAGGTTTAACCATGCAACCTTGAAAGGTTTAACATGAGGCATTCTGAACGACAATTACGGGCTGTTCCACTGATTCCTTCAAAATCATCGTCAATCTCTTGCTTCAATGAGATAAACATTTGAAATGGAAGAGACTTTCCATATCCCCCGGGAAGTATTGCAATACAGTCTCGGCGAAATAGACATTCAAGAATTTTATTTTATTAAGTTTTCAAATTTTGAATCGAGAACTTTGTTCAAATATTTTTCAAAGCGTAGTCTGGAATTGAAGTCGCCAGTTTGACTCAAGTGCCGTAAACTCGAGAAAGCTTCTTTCTGATTGGCTATTGTCGATTTCCTGTTAGATATCTCAATGGTCGGTCAGAGTTCCTGAGAGGACGTTCATGTGTGACCTGTAATGGGATGCCCTCATATCTGTGCCATCATTAAGGTCAGATTTTAATGAGATTGGCACCACACGAGACAACAGACGTTTGGAAACGATGTAAAGTTTATTACTTAAAATTAACTTCATTGTAGTTTGCCTCTTAACGTCATATTGACATCTCTATATATCATAATACAACATGTAACAATACAAGAAACATGATAAAACTATCAGGTTAGATGTTAGAACGCCGTTATTAACTATAAGAAGGGAATTAAAAATGATATAACATTTAAACTACCAGGTTAAAGAAAGTATACACATAAAATTGGATTTGACCAAAACATTACAAACGTTAAAAAAACGTTACTGGGCTGAAAAGGCCAAAACACAACAATGATACCCGTATAAGACACGTCACCATCGAATTACCGTTTCTTGTTTCGTTTTTAGTCACCATCAAACAGAGGTGTAACTTTCTTTTGCCCAGCAGAATGGCATTATGAGCGTTGTCTAATGTGTTTTCGCTTCTCCGTTATACACAATAGACACAACCACTAAAATATGCCTTATAATAGACCCCTGAGATATGTTATCTTGATCGTAGAGCTAGATTACTACCAGAATACACCATGTTATTATGAAGGAACACATTGCAAACACCTGTATTTTAGAAGTATCAAACTGAATATATGAAGCGCCTGTAAAATATAAGCTCCCACTGCGCAGCTGCGTATAGTGGCATCGAAAATCATGATCGAAAATGTCGGCCTACTGACTTGATAATACTGGCAAAGACCATTTTCCGTTGAGTAAGGACTTGTTTATTCTTGAGTCCAAAGTGTTTCTATACTAAAACAGTACTAAGTACCGACACATAAAAAGGTGCTATAATATTTAACACATATGAATGTTATAAATCATTGTGTATATCAGCTAGGCTGAACAAGCAGACTGAAAGAGTTGAAACGAACAACTGTACCAAGACACCAAGTATCTCAACTCTGCACTAAAATATAGTAACACAGCAACGCCCGTGCTAACAACCACATCTTAACGTGGTGGTTGCATACAAACATTGTCACCCCCGACGATGATACTAAAATCCTCTTCAAAAGGTCTCTCGTTTCAGTGCAAGACTCCATCCAACGTTTGACGTTGGTTCCGTTGGTATGTCAACAAAAGGTACAACAACGTTCAGGCAATGTTATGTTGAGATCTGTCCGTCAGTCTACCCTGAGAGATTATCCTTCAACACGCGCCTGAGAATTTTCCCGCTGGGGGATTTCGGAATCTCCTCGATGAACTCCACGCCTCCTCGTAAGCTCTTGTACGACGCCATATTGTCTGTGGGAAGATAAACAGTTTACATTATCTTTGATGGGTTTCATCGCTTTCCATTTTATATTATGTTTATAAAAATATGTGTTCTTTCATTAAATATTGTTTATAAGTGAGTAATCAATCTTTTTTTTTGAAAGTGTTTTTTGAACGAATATGATAATTATTCATTACTTCTTACGGGATGCGCAACTGTGCTAAGAAAACATCAGATGGGGATCTGTTTTAAGGATGTCTGACGTTTTTTATGTCAACACGGCCAAAGTAGGTGCTCGTAATTGTGGTAAGGAAAGCATTTTCGATGGGCGTTTAGTTAGTATTTGAATGTTGGTTGAAGTTCAAGTAACAGTATTATAATTGCGGTATTACCTTCAAAATAATAAATTATTGCTTACCTTCAACAAATTTGGCGATTTCCTCCTTGCTGACAGGAGAGTCTGGCTTCTTGACGACGTATGCGCGGGGGAGCTCCCCTACCCCCTCCTCTGGCACACCAATCACCCCCACATCCTGTACGCCTGGGTGGGTCAGTAGAAACGCTTCTAGTTCCGCTGGGGGCACCTGCAGAATTATTCCAAATAAGTTTTTGTTCTGTTTTTATGTTTATTGTTTAACGCCGCACTCTACCATTCAAGCCATATGACGTTGGTCTGTCAATAATCAAGTGTGGACCAGACAAACCAGTGATTGACATCATTAGCATCGATCCACACAATTTGGAACCGATGACATGAAATTAACCAAGTCAGCGAGCCTGACCTCCATCATGTGACGCTATAATTTAGTTCGATATCAAATTGTATACAAAATGTCTATTAACCATGGAGTAAAGGCCGTCATTTAGTACGTACTATATGTGAGGAAATAAGACAATATGCGGTTTACTGTGAAATAAGGTGTCCCTTCCTGTACGAGGTCTCATATCGTAAGACCGCCTCCGTGGTCTAGTGGTAGAGCGTCCGCCAAGAGAGCGGAAGGTCCGGGGTTCGATCCCCGGCCGCGTCCTACCAAAAGACGTTTGAAGATGGTTCTTGTTGTTACCCTGTCTGGCGCTCGGCATTTAGGGGCTAAAACAAGGACTGGTCGGCTCGGAGTCAGTATACTGTGTCTGAGTGTGGTATTCATGTTAAACTGCGGCATGGTATCTCAGTGTGCTAGCACTATAAATCGGCATCAGTCCGGACTACTACAAGCAGCCACACACACACGTGCATGCACGTCGCTATATAAGTGTAATAATCTTGGACGCGACGTTAAACCCCATTTCCTCACATCCTCCTCTAATATCGTAACGAAATAAGCCGAGTGCACACGAATGTCTGATCCTCTTTCGTGACTGCTCGTGTCATTTCGGGACAAACCGATAGCGACTTGCATGTCGCTGTATATGTCTTTGTTACGGAAACGGGCGAGTGGTGACGATGAATGCTACCTCACCTGGAAGCCCTTGTATTTAATAAGTTCCTTGAGTCTGTCCTCGATAACCACCCGACCATCCTCCTGCAAGTACCCGAGATCCCCGGTGTGCAGCCACCCGTTCTTGTCCAACATGGCCGCGGTGGAGTCAGGGTCGTTCAGGTAGCCCTTCATCATCTGCGGGCCTTTCGCACAGTATTCGCCTAGCTCGCCTTTGCCCAGGGTTTTGCCTGTTTCCGGACACTGGATCTTTGAGCAGAGGAAAGACAAGTTAAAGTCACCTTGCAATGTTCCCGAGAACTAGCCAGTCAGTACGGCTACCGTAAACCCTTGAATGAACGCCCAGTGTATGTTTATTTCAGAAGGTCATTGAATAGCCAGTCGTTTATTCAAGGCAGACGTGTATTCAAGGATATACGGTAATTTGTGATTTATTTCAATATATCGAAATAATTCGGACGGAGTAAAAGATCTAAATTTAATGAGAATTTGATTATTTCTTTTTCAAATATTCGTGGATGATAAAAACATGATTTAACATGACAAAGTAGAGACAGTTTAGATAACAACTTCTTTATTTACTGTAAAGGCGACGTTTCGGTATAGATCCTTATCCATAAATTATCTCCACATTGTCATCCATCAACTAAGTCATACCTATCAAATAATTCATGATTTAACACGTCTCTAAAATCTAAGAACTTGAACTTAGTTCTCTTTAGATTTATAAAGAATCATTCGAAATCTCTTAAACATTTCATTTGTAACAAAATAATTATCAACATTCCTTAATGAAATATGACATACACAATTTTACATTTGGGTCACACAAAATGAATTGAATAATGTTATTGTATCATGGTTCTAAACGGCGAATGTGTTGATGTGTTGTGTTGTATAATAATCCCATCGGGCGGACAAGCTAAATATTTAGTTTGACTATCATAACAATACTTGGCACATTTGAATATTCAATGAAAGATAGAGCTCGAGGGTCAAGGATATATAATGCTGTAGCTCATAAACAATTTACGTAAATGGAAGGTATACATAAAAAATCTTGGTATAGAATTAATATAAGCCATTGTCAGAGTGAGTAACAGGGAACGGCCTCAGATGATGTGGGTCTTGCAAGGACGTCAACAGACTGTTGATATACAGCCTCAGTCATGGACAAGATGGAAATTCAGTAATGGTAAAAACGTATTTGTTGTTATATCTGTACCAGTGGCTCTCTGATATTTCACAGAAATACCAAACGCCTTCAATGTATCCGTTTTAACGAAATAATCATTTATAACATGTTTTGCAAAACAGCAGAGGCACTGATTATCCATACATATAAGACTAGACCATCCGGTGTGCAGAGTTACTTCCCTTATGCGTGCCAGAACCATATGATCGTTGGTTCGAATCCAATATTCTTGGTTTGCCATTACCATACCCTTCATCAAATCGGAAACGTCCAAGACGTGCATCACTTTGGACTTTTCTCCCACTTAGCCGACACGCCGTGATTTAACAGACTGTTCAAAGCCGCGTTAAACCAAACTCGCTCATTCCTCAAGAAAAAGGCATGTCTGAGTTGTACTGCTGCTCTATCTCATTTCCGGACCACTCCGAATCGATTCACATACAGGTGAATGCTGGGTAATGTCTTACCTTCACCGTGGTGTTTGGGACCACGTGGCCAATAGACCCGGGTTGACCTGGTGCAGTATCAACGTTGATCACAGGGGATGCCTCCGTCAAGCCGTACCCTGAAATATACAGGTAACTCGTTAATAACAAAACTGGCCGACACGTTTGAGTGCGTGAGTGAGTATGGTTTTACGCCGCCTTTAGCAATACTCCAGCAATATCATGGCGGGGTACACCAGAAATGGGCTTCACACATTGTACCCACGAGCAAACATATACAGTTAACATGTTAAAGAAACGGGGGGCAGAAAGTTTGGCGCAAACATGTGCAGTTAACACGTTTAAGGCAAAAGTGACCAATAATGTTTAATTCTGTGTTCCCCTCAAATTATGTCATTTTGTTAAGGGGAGTTGAAACGTCTCGTCATCGTGTCAAGTTTGGCCTACCCCGAAAACGAAACACGGGAGACTTATGACGTAAGTCACAGGAAAGTAGTTTCATACAAGGTTACTCCAACTATTGATCAGGTTCTTCTTTGCAAATGTGATAAATCGATTGAGATGCGTTGATAAGATGCAACGAACTACCAAGGAAATTGAACAGTAACATAAGCACGTATATTGGGAATTTATTCAAAGACAACTTTGCTAAAGAGTGACTCTGCACCACGAACCTGTGCCAACTCTCGCGCACGCCAGAACCCCGTGTCAAACTGGGCAACTGTCTCGTGTCGGCGATGGCATTACCGGAAGTAGTATTTTCTGAATCCCCAATTTACATAAATGCATTTGATTGGTTCAGTCATTCAGTCACAAAAGCAGCCATGTGGAGTAGAGACAACTCACCTTGATACACAGGGGCCTTCAACCTGTTCTGGAACTCGCTTGTCAAACCTTCTCCAAGCGGCGCGGCTCCACAAATGACATACTTCAGGTTGGAAAGGTCAAACTTTGAGACAACCGGATGTTTGGCAAGGAAGAGAACTATGGGAGGCACCACGTGAAGAATACTAATCTGTGGAATAATGGACATGTCAGTTTTACACCTTGAATGGTTTGCCCGAGCAAAGTCCTCCTTTAATGAAATGGGTGCATGATAGGGTACACATAATACACGTTTCGGAGAGGGGTCCTTTAACTTAGGTCGTAAGAAAATTGAACGGATTATGATGTTCAAGCGCGGATTATGTTGCTCAAGCTTCTGGATATGAGTGCATTAGAAGTGTTGTACGCCACTTTTGGCAATATGTCTGCCCTCCCACGGCGGGTAATTAACAGAAAATATATTGTCATATATTGTTGCGATATGGGTAATGGAACGTTTCAACCCATGGACCTCGATATGAGATGCCAGAGTTTATTTAGTTTTATTGTTTTTATTTGTTCTCTTCCTTTAGATACTAATATCTCATCCTCTAATGGAATATGAGGCTATATATTTCTCTTGGAAAACGTTAATGTTGTTTTTAACGCAATGTGTTGGTACAGGTACTATAATCCACGCTGTCTGGGGTATCATGAAAGGAGTACTTTGCACCTATCTGTTAACATGCACGGGGTCTTTTAGACGAAAGGGTTAAGGCTATTCCCATGAGTAAAGACTTGATTCGTTGTTGTTGTACCTTGTGTTTTTGTAGTGTCGTCAGGAACATTTCAGGATCAAAACGAGGCATTGTGTAGAGAGTGGCGCCATCTTGCAGCGCGCCAAACTGGACGGGTATCATGCCGTATATGTGATAAAATGGCAGCACGCCTATGAAGTTGTCGTTGCCTTGGTCTACCGTCAGTGGTTTTCTGCAAGAAAGTATAATAGATTTATACCAATTTTATATACGTCCCTCCAAATCGTATGGCGGTAATAATGCTCTATGAAGAAGTAATAACTCGACAAGGAACGGCCCCCATACCGTAATAGATATTGTATCTGATCCTGGTTTTTTGTCGAACACAGAGACGGCGGGGTAGCCTCGTAGTTAAAGACCCAGGTTCGATTCCCAAACATTCGCGTAATATGTGAAAACCCACTGTGATATGAAGGGAATAGTAGTAAAGCAACCTTTGGTAAACTAGTATCTGGCATATATTGTAACTGTAGAAATAATCAGTTCATAACGATGTAACAGGAAGGTTGATCATGCGTTCAACACCTATACGAACGAACGAACGAACGAATTATCGGTATCAATACTGCCATTAAGCTGCCGACTTATTTATTTACTTCATGTATAGTCACAAACAAAGACAAAATTGTATTCATTCCGATTGAATTTAGGTTACACTGTTTATGTTTCCATATATCGGTTCAGTTAATACTCTATGCCAGCTAAATCGAAACTGCCGGAACTATCGTATATTTTGTTAAAGTTATCTAAAAACGACACCTATACATGTATACCTTTTGTACGCACGCTCGTACGCGCACGCGCACGCACACGCACATGCACACACACACACACACACACACACACACACACACACACACACCTGATCTGCTTGAGGTTGGCTACACAGTTGTGGTGCGTCAACATGACGCCTTTAGGAAGGCCGGTGGTGCCACTTGAAAAGGGGAGTAAGAGCACGTCGTCCTTGGGGTTGACGTTGACGTTTTGAGGCAACGCTGCCCCGTCGTCCTTCATGAGTTCCGACACGGGTCGACAACCCTCAGCTTCACCCAAAGCAAACAGGTCCTGATAAAGAAAGGGATGAGGAATCAGAGTTAAGGTATGAGATTCTTAATTGAATAACGAGGGTCTTGATGATAACTGCTGGGTGAACAGACGCATAGTTCGAACAAAGTCACTTCCCTAAACAGACATCGCATGTAAAATGTGCTTTTGTGTGGGGCAGGGTCGAAGCACTAGAAACTCTCAGGAGTCAAGCTGCCGAACATCGGGATCCATCCACCTACTCTCCGCGACCAACGTTACTTCCCTTAGCTTGATTTGAGACTCGTGTGCCACGTGCCACGGGTCTTGAAAAGATTATTTTTCCTGATACGAGATAGTATAAAAGCTATGTATTTCAGCACCAGGCCATCACGTGGCTCTTGGTCAAATACACAAACAGCTTTAGTTCCAAAGGAGAAGGTCCATCTGTAAGACGTGGTTCAACGAAGAGACATTTGAACTTACTTAAGTTTCCTGAGTATAAGAGGTATATTTACATCAGGTACGTGTTATAACAGGCATGTCTCTAGCAAGAGTGAGTGAGTATGGTTTTACGCCGCTTTTAGCAATATTCCAGCAATATCACGGCGGGGGACACCAGAAATGGGCTTCACACATTGTACCCATGTCGGGAATCGAACCCGGGTCTTCGGCGTGACGAGCGAACGCTTTAACCACTAGGCTACCCGACCGCCCTCTAGCAAGAGAAATGGGGGAAAAACAGCACGCATTCTGTTTAATTTTTTTCAGTAGTCATTTTGAAAAATATACGCTAAAGCTAGTACCACCTTAGTATCGATACAATCCGTACCTTGGTGGTGTTAAGGTATTGGTGTCATGCGAGTGCGCCTTACCAGTGATATTTAGATCATACACGACATGTACATACTTTGACTGTTTTCTGTAGGATGGGTGATGATGACAGCGCTTCTTTGACTGTTGGGAGAAGAGGGGCGATGGTGAAGACAGCCCTAGCCTTCGACATCTCCAACTGGCGGGCTAACTCGCCTGCAGCACAGACGACAATATAAATGAGTCATTTGTAAAGTAAATTGTTGAAAATTCTGGTTGGGACACACTGAAAACGCAAAGTGGGATTTGGGAAATATTTTTTAGCGAACTGACAGAAAACAAAGAAATGGGTAGGTGGTTGTGAGGCCTGGAGGCGTGCAACATTGCTTATCAAGACTCAAAACTCACAATACGTTTTTAAAGTGTTTCAGTTTATACTCATGGGAACGGTGTGGTCACCTGCAAAGAGTAGACATGCCAGTGCTGTAGCTCGTGACAGAATACTACCTTGTGTGTGTATCAAGCTTAATGGGTATCGGGTGGTCAATAAGGCTTCTCGGTATGAATAGTACAGTGTGACAAATGACCAACAGGAAAGACCTGAAGCTGTGGCTCATCCCTCGTTTTCTGGAGGTGTGGATCGTACCTCCATCACTGATCAAGTAATGGTTTGTCTGGTCCAGGTTCGACATGCTTGCCAGATTACTCATAAATTACCCATCAAACACTTCCAGTTCTATAGATTAAATTGATACAATGTGGTGGGGTAGCCCAGTGGTTAAAGCGTTCGTTCGTCGCGCCGAAGGCCCGGGTTCGATTCCCCACATGAGTACAATGTGCGAAGCCCATTTCTGGTGTCCCCGGCCGTGATATTGCTGGAATAATGCTAAAAGCGGCGTAGAATCATACTCACATATGGCAATGGAAACTTTTCGGAAAGTGTAATGAAGTTCTTTTATATAGAGCAGTTCAAAATATATTATTGCAAGTCAAAGATTCAATTAAATTGATGATGTCATCGATTTATTCAGACATAAAGCTCCTTATCTTCTGCTATATTTGATTTTCGATTTTATGTTTGTGATGATGATTATGATTATGGATGATGTATTTCTGGTCCAGTAAACAAGATGTGCTTTTTCCCAATCAAATCTAACATTTTAATAAATATGTTTGAATAAAAAAAACAGCTTAAACCGAGAACCGTCTCCATCGCTCAACACAGTTTAATCATTTATAAGGCAGCATGATTCATGGCAGGAAATAGCCAGGTGGACGTAGAAAGTTCAACACTTGGCTCTCGAGCTATGATCACGTGACGCACCTGCAGTATACGCGGGGTTTGCCGGAGTGACGACAATGCCACACCATGCAGCTGCCAGGATAAGTATACAGTATTCCGGAACGTTGGCGCTGAAGATGGCAATGACGTCGCCCTTAGTATAGCCGAGCCGAGTGATGGCGCTAGCCACCTTGATGGCTGCCTCTTGTAGCTCCGTGTATGTGTAACTGCGGCCTGTGGGAACATCGACCTGTATGAACAGCAGAGAAAAATGAGAATTTGTGTGATAATGGTTGGGTGAGGTGAAATGGGGTTTAACATCGCCTTTAAGAGTGTGTCCCTCACATAGTGGCGTGCATGAACGTGTGTGCATGTGGCTGCTGGTACCAGTGCGGACTTGCGCCAGTTTAACATGGATACCCCACTCAAAAACACAGTATACGGACTCCTAGCCGACCACTCCTTGATTTATTCCGTTAATACCGAGCAACAGCCACGGTAACAACAAGTACCACCTTTTAACGTCTTTTTCTTCCACTCTCCGAGAGTATAGTGATAGGGCATGTTGAACTTTTGCTGTTTTTGCGCTCAAGTTTGATTGTTTTTTATTAATTCAAAGGTTCAAGGAACCCATTGGTCCCATTTTTTTCGTCGGCCATTTTTGCGACCATCTTGGATTTCATATCTGTCCGAGGCAAGGGAGTTAACTGACTACAAAAGACCAGTTTCCAGCCTTGCCTATCTGGGCTGGAATTATGGAGTTATACTTTGGCTGGACTAACGAGTCCAATCAAAATCTTGTTTTAAAAATAGAAGCTCAAATATGTTGTTCCATAAATTGTTTTTAAATATAACTTGTGAAACTATTAACTTGGTCTCGTCGCTATATGGCTGAAATAATGCCGATGCGACGTTAAACTTTAACTCACTCACTCACCGCAATCAAAATCGCGTGACGAAATCGACATCCGAGTTGCTAAACATGTGTACCGCCAACTCGGCGTCAACAGATATTTTCCATATCTTACGTGCTCACGTGATTTGATGCACTTCGCGTAGTTAGACCGGTTATATTACAACATAGATTTTGATTATCGATAAGATCGTCTTGACTGGCCGCCGCCATTTTGTATGAGGCTACGATCGAGCCCAGAAATACCAGCCTAGTTCGGCAAGGGTGGAAAATGGACTTTCACAGTCAGTTAATCCCTTGCCCCGGGGAGGTGAAGTCGGCTGGAATTCCTTAGCTTCATCGTCGCGCCACCAGGGGCTATTACGAGTTATGTCTATGTCCCTCCAATTGACCAATTGTGAATCCACCTCTCATATCATTTGCATTTGCTTCAAACAAAATGGCGGCGCCCAGTCAAGACGATTTGATCGATAATCAAGATATATATTGTAACAGGATAACTTTGATCAAGAGGATCAACACGTCGACATTTTGTAGCATTCCTGCCCAACGATGCAAGTACTTATACTTTCAGAAAGCGCACGTGTGTAACCATGAAGGTGAAATAAATTGTAATTTGCATGTGGTACCTTCAGGTCAGGAATGAGAAAATAACACATTTGAATTAAAATACATATGTAATATACAAAATATACTTTGTAATATACATTGTGTTACTGTATTTTCGAGGAACAAGAGGAATTAACACAATCATAGTGGCATTTATGATAAATGTCTAAAATGTTAAAAATGTTAACTGAATTGAATGGCATACAAATTATTTTGTTGCCACACACATGTTAGCAACATTGTTGCATTGTCTAGAATTGAACGAACAATTATAACAGTGACACAATGGGCAGAGTGGCATAAAACATGTTTTGTATATCTACATTGGTAAAGTTATTAATAATATTTAATCACAAACATGTTCAAAGTAATAGTTGCTTTGTTGTAATATAATCTAATAGAACTAGATCAGAGGAGACAAATGCAGATATTGTTAAAATTGAAACCCAAAACGTATGTGTGTTATTTTTATAACCTTTATTCATTTCTCAGTGAGTGTTCCCTTCCTAATGCTTAGGATACTGTATGTTTACTCCAGTAGCAAGGCACGGCAAGTATTCACGCTGTACAAAAGTGTCCATACCTCGCCAAACGGAAACCGGGTCAAAGTTTCCCGCCTGACCCATGACAGAGCTTGACTCCCTTTGCTCATTGAGCCCGGCTAACAGAAACGTGTTAAGTGTAATAACTTACATTAAAAAATGTTATAGCCATTTTCATGATTTATGCATTTCGTATGTACACATACCATTATACATGTGTGAGACAAAGATATGGTTTCATTTAGAAAAATTGTTTTCATCTCTGTAACAAATACTCATATCATAGGCATTGGCTCCCTTTGGCCATCGTGCCCGACTGGCACAAACGTCTTTAGTGTAATCATTTACAGTTAGGAATCTTTTAAGATATATTTTCTTAATTATTTGTGTATTTCGCATGTACACATAATACTGTGCAAGTGTGAGAACAAAGTAATGTTTCTTTTCAAAGTTTGCTTACATCTTTCCAACTAATATTCGTCCCCTTTTAACGTTCTCAAAACAAACAAAAAGCACGGCGCCATAATAAAACGGGCCTTACCTCCCGAATTGCATCAAATCTCTTGAGCACCTTGATAAGACACATGAAACGATTTGAAAAGTATCTGTCGACGCCCAGTTGACGGTACACGTGCTTATCAAATCCTGCTGTCAGTCGAAATCTGCGCTTTGAAATCCATGTTGTTTACGAACCGGATGTCTAGTTCATTACGCGATTTGGATTGGACTCAGTGCATAGACTCGTTAGTCCAGCCAAAATATAACTCAGGAATTGTCAAGCCTTGTTCGGTAAGGGTGGAAACTGGACTTTCAGTTAACTCCCTTGCCTCGGGAAGATGGGATTTAAAAAAAGGTCGTCATGTTTTTTACTATTTTTAATCAATAAATATCTTTCGATTTAATTCAAAACAAAAATTCAAATGTCATTCAATTTGATAAATGCTCAGGAATGGCTTGAGTAGAAATTCAAACATAAAATGCATTTCAAAAATAGAAAAGGTCTCAGAAACCATTGGATATATTGTTTTCACATTTTCCCAAAGTATGTTCATGAAATCCATCTTTACTAAGGTTGCAACTTTTAAGCTTAAAAAAAAATTAAATTTGGAAATGGTTTACAAATTTCAAATTATATATTTTTTCAAAGCGAAGTTTAGTTACAGGTGTTAGTATACCTTTACCACGATATCAACAACTGGGTATGGGTAGGACATGGTTATATAGTTGAGAGTTGCGTATGCAGATTAACATAAACAACATACAAAGAACCCCTCAGTCCCAATAATTTGTCGAATAAATGGGTAGTGACCATGATAGGGGGCTCAGTGGTTGATGGCGCATCATTGTACTCCGACGGCATGAGAAGGTGTTCATAATATCAACCACTGGTTTGTCTCGTGCGATTTTTTTAGAAATAGAAATGTGATAGCTACTCACCGTTGCTGTGAGTTTGGCATATGGCTGCATCATCTCCAACACATACTGAGCGAAGTTCACATTGGGTATGTCCTCATCGGGGAAGGGGCTTCGGACGATGTTGTCAGGGGAGATAAGTGAGCTGAACGGCCTCGCTCCCAGAGTTACCCGCCCTGAAGCTTGGGTCACCCTGCTACAAGACGGGCAGACGGACCCTTTGGGTGACTGAAGGACCCGAGCGGTCGCCGGGAGGGGGAGGCGAGATCCATCCCTCAGACAGCGGGAGATCGCACGAGCGGTACACGACCTCATTGTAGTAATTTATCTGAAATTAAAAATAATGTCACTTTTATGCACATCTTGAAAACATTTAGGTTAACTTTGCCTTTGGGCAAATAATGCGACAAGGTTATAATACGTTCCACGAAACGCCAAGATACGTCATCTTTGAAACACATGCTCCAAGATGTTGATAAAGATCATGTCAAAAGTGAAATGAAGTTATTTTGTTATTTTGGGGGGTTAAAAACAAGCTGGTTTAGCAAATCTCCAGTGTAGCCCAATATGTGGATTTTTCATATTTCGTTTTTCATAGTAAAATCACTATTCCGGTGTATACTGCCCTAATTCAGCCCGATAAGTTAGGGAGCCCCAAACAGCTGATCATCACAACCGAAAATCTTACTCAACATCATATTTTACCCGATGAACATGCATGGTTTAAAGTCCCAGGTATCACCTTCCTATCGCACCCATGATGATCCGGGTTAGAATAGGTATTCAGCAACCCATTTTGCCTCAAAAGGCGACTACCGGGATCAGGTGGTCGGGTTCACTGATTTAGTTGATGCAAGTCATCGTATCCAAATTGTGTGGATCGATGCTCATGATGTCAATCACTGGATTGTCTGTTCCAGATTCGATTAATTACAGACCGCCGTCATATAGCTGCAACATTGCTGCGTGCGGCGTTAAACAACAACCAAACAAACGCATTCCTATCGTAACAGCGGGCTCTTATTTACAGTGTGTGTGACCTAATTGGTGAGTGTCATCATTCCTCTAAGACGTTAGTCGGTCGTGCGATCAACCACGGGTCTGTCTTGCCTGTGCTCAATTATTTACAGGGAGCAGTGAAGCAGATGAAAAAATGAATTACTTCTTTGACAAGACCCCTCATATATGAAACGTCTCAGCCTGCAGCGCATGGCGAGGTACATGTACAAAACATTTTAAAGGTTGATGAATTCGCCCTAACATAAAACATAACGTATTTCCCCAAATGGACGCTGGTGAGAAAAATAGGCGTCAGGTAAAACATTTGGTAGAATATAACCAAGGTATCTTAAAAACACAGGACCCATGTTCAACAAAGCGACCTCAGCATATGTTGAAGTATGGGGGTTGAGATTGTCTTCGTGCTAAGATCGTTTTTGGTACATGGACCATGTCTCTGCTACACGGCGGGTGTATGACGGAAACACTATGTTTAGCGTGACTTTAAGAGGTAATACGGTTTTGGGCAACAAGACCCCCTCGAGTCTTTGTAACGTGTAGCTTCATTATTTATACAAAACGTAAACGTGAAAGAAACGGATGGCAGATATAGTGCCACAAGGATGTAACAATTCGTCTTAGAATAAGGTCAAGGTCAAATTAGTCATCTATGTCGCCTAACGGGGCCAGTAGGAGTGAGAGACATACGATGTCTTCCTCTGTCCAGAGTCCAATGATGACTTTCACCCCAGATAAACTTTTGACAACCCGAATCCTTATGTTATATGATTTGACACTGGGTTAATGATAAGGTACATTATACTGCAAATAATTTCTACAAATGATCGGAATTTTTGGGTGCATAGTTTAAACGACAACGGGTTTTTTCATATATTTCTATAATAACACATTTTATTTACTTAAATATATTCAGAAAAATAAATATTTTACACCAGGAGAGAGCGTCCAGAAATACCAGAACGACAAACAATTCCATTACAATCGTTTACTACCATTATAATATATCCTACAATAAAAACAAAAATATATAATATCAGGGATGAGAATATACAATAATGACATTAAAATTCATGTAACTTATAACGTCAGGTTTACTTTACAATTTCAAGTATCTTATTCAGTAGGTCAGGTGAAATAGAGTTTACCATGCCGCAGTTTAACATGAATACCCCACTCAGACACAGTATACTGACTTCGAGCAGACCAGTCCTTGTTTTAGTTAGCCCCGTTTGTCGAGTGCCAGGCAGGGTAACAACAAGTACCATCTTTTAACGATGGTAGGATGCGGCCGGGGATCGAAACCCGGACCTTCAGCTCTCCGGGTGGACGCTCCACCACTAGACCACGGAGGCGGTTTCTTATTACGTAACACATTGGTATGAAATTCTTCATGATAATATATGCTGTGGTTAAGAATGAAATATCTAGTATTACCGTCAGACCCACGCTTGCCTTTACAAGCACACCAATGCCATTTCGTAGACAAAATGCCGTGTAGCCCTCTGCGTTGTAATTCTTACATATTTCACATATTGCCTTTGCATGTTCCCTTTGGTAATAAGCATTCACGAAGTGTCTATCGAAACAATAGTATGACGTCATAGAAAGGGTCTCGTGACGTGTTCGGTCCGGTTTCACAAAGCGATCTTGGTTCTGCGTATGTCGTAACTCCTTGGATGTAACAGACTTACGATGATCGTAGCGTTAAGATCACTTTGATAGTAACCCATTGTAATTGGGAAAATTTGGAAGTTATGTTAAATAAAGTTACATAAATATTTACTTATAAGGTGCATTGCGTTTTATGGATGCATATACGTAAAAACCAATGTAGAGACGCTAATTTACGCAAGTGTGCACAGCTAGTTAACCTCATTTAAAAAAAACACTGAAGTTTCAATGTACATTTATATTTTTATTATTCATTTATTTATTTTCTGCCTGTTTGTTAAATCACTGACACAAAAGCTTGTAGACAACAAAACGAAATCGGTGACGTCCTTCAGCAATATTATGCAACCCAAATTCCGCCCACCCTGTAACAGCCAATCCGGAAACAGTAGTCCGCACAGGGTCATGGACATCACTGGGTTTTTTCCGTTTATGAAAAACTAAACGCAGAAAGGGCTTTGTAAGCCAAACAAATGCCATGAAATTACTTGCAATTTTTTTAAAGTTAACATTGAGGCAGTAGCGGAGAACAACATTGTCCGTCACGACGTTTCAAGGCTGCTTCTTTCTTCATCATCTTACGCTTACGGGACAAGACGTTCTGTGGAGATCAGCAATACTGAGTTATCCATATGGAACGTTTCATGTCTTCAGGAGTTAATACATTTGTTTTCGTAAGCCTACTTTTGGGCCTGAAAAAAATATATCCAATCCCGCCCTTGCAATATTTGGCAAGTCTAGATTACTCCAGTATCTGAAAATGACAAGACTCTCTGGGTTCTCTTTTTATTATATTTCATAACTATAATTTTACAACTGTTTATATCTGTAAAATATGTTCATTTCAGAGACTAGATGTTAGTCTAGCCTAAACTGCATGACACATATAACCAGGGACCGTGGTCCAAATACTCAACTAATCCTGTCACAAGGTAGCTCCACTCTGTACCTGACATAAAAATCACCAGCGAGAGTCTGGCAGCGAGAACACTCCCCATGAAGGTTCATCGATCGGGGGAGGTATGTGCATGCATGCGAAGAATGGCGGGATGGCACTAATCTTAATGGCGGAAGCTTTATAACGGCACGCAAACAAAGGGATAACATGAATTAAAGTAAACACAGGTTTACGCATCCCAAACCAAAAACATACAAACAATAAACACAATCCTGCAGTATGTTATAACAACGGTACTCAGCACCTATTGAGATGTCCGGCTGTAACTATTCACAACAGTGGTTTAGCTAATAACATCAACACAACAACCAACAACAAATCCCCGGTGCATAGCGTTTTATCCACAAGATCTGTGGAGTAGCGTTAAAGGTTCTTACCGGGGGCGCTATCACGCCTGCTGCTGCGACGTCGTCGGTGGGACTGATAGATACAGATACGAGACAAGTCACCAGGGGGTTTGGATATGTGTGAACTTCGCTCCCATCGGCTGTCTATCGAGAGTCCTTGTCCCGTTATGGTCAGATATTGATTTGGGTATCTCAACAATGACATCTTCTCGGCTGTGTAGGCACGTGTTGTGAAGGTATGTCTGTACCATGCATGAATATGTAGACACGTGGGGTGGGGGTGTGTGTGTGTGTGTGTGTGGGGGGGGGGGGGGGGGGGGGGGGCTGTACCACGTATGAAATCTAAGTTCGTTGTGAGTCCTGTAGGTGTATAGGTGTTGTTTAGGCTGTGAGACGATAGCTCATTTCGTGTGTTTAATATAGAACACACCAAATGTCCGTTTAGCATTTAAACATATTCCTAAATATATACATGTTTATCTTCTAAGCACATATTTACAGTGTACATCAGTCAAATTAACAAACCCACGCGTCAAATTGACTTGTCCCTAGCTGGGTAGAAACGAAAAGTCCCATTTGACTGTTGGATCGACATCGTCATAAAGTATCATGCATCACTTCACCTTGGACAGGCTTAATGGTCGCTCAATTTAGGATCACCACTGTTCAGTGAGTGAGTGAGTTGGGTTCAACGCCGCTTTTAACAGTATTCGAGTTATATCGCGGCGTGTCGGCTTAATGTGGGAGGAAAGCCCAAAGTGATGCAGGCCTAGGTTGTTTACCACTTCGGTGAAACCCACGAGCACAGGTATGGTGCTGACCAACCTAGAAACATAATCGGGACGAACCGGGATTCGAACCCACAATCATAGGTTTCTGGCGTGCCCAAGGGACGCAACTACTGCACATCGAATCGCGCGCCTTAGACGCCTGGGCCACCCGTGCCCCAACCACTGTTCTGCTTTGAGAAAGGTGGAGTTCACTACTCAGTACTCTTTTGGGGCGTGTCACTCTGTCTCCTGTCACCAGGTATGGGTTTTGTCAAAGAATTAGTTATGATAAAACATTGATCAGACAAATGACAAAATATTATGTTGTTATATTATATTTTTTATAAATAACATAACATTTACAACACTATATATGAAGCACAGTTACTCTTTTCCGTCAGTATATATTCAAACTCGCTCCCGGCTTTCAACTTGATTGAGTTCAAGTACTGTACAGAACAATGGGATGACGTCACAGGTGTATCACGTGTTTCCAACTTTTACGATCATCTGAAGTCAGTGGATCGTCAGAGATAGTTGACTAGGTTGCGCGATTGTTTTA